CACCACCATGGCCGCATTCCGTCAAGTCAATCAATACATCAATTCATCAAACAGCCTAGTCGAGGCAAGCCAGCCAGTCAGTCACCCCACCGGCCTGCCCACCAGTTCATCATCACCAGAGGCGCTGCAAGTAGGGACAGTAGTGCACGCAGAAGAGCTGAGCTGAGCGAGGCCAGCGGCTGATTGCGCCACTGCCGCCAGCGATGTCGTTCTACAGTTTCTACTGCTGGTGCTTTGCGTCTGCTTTGCAACTATTCGCTTGATTGCGAGCGAAGCAATTGCGAGAGTAATTGCAGCTTTCTTGTCCCTGCTGCCATCTTCACGTTCTCTTCATGTTCTCTTCCGTCAACTCCTCGCGGCCAATTAACCGAAACAGGCCCCAAACCGTCCCCCTCTTCTGCCTCCGTTCCTAAAATCCTACCAGCCGGGTCCAGATCGACCGAAAATGAATATTGGTGCAACACTTCTTCCTTGTACGCCCAAGAAAAAAAAGGCCCTTATCGATGAGGGGTGATAAACCCAATTGCCCCTCCTTTCTTGCTGGTACTTTTTTTATCGCTTGCTATCGCCCGTAATCGCCAAAAGTTGCCCCTCTATCGGCGTTTAGTCTATTATCAATCAGGCCCCATCACCAAGTTCGTTCTTTCTAATTGTTAGTCAACCGGCGGGCTTGCAAGTTCGGTTTCTTTCTTTCTTTCTTTCTTTCTTTTTCTTTTTCTTTCGACATTGGGCAGCATTGCTAGTGCAATTGATTTTTTTCTCTAGGGGCATGGACATGAATTTGCAGACCCGAATTCAAGTTTGATTTCTCTGCCACCGCTTCAAACACGGACAGATTGCTATAGGGCGACTTACACACTGACCTGGATCAGTTTGCAGGGCTTTACTGAAAGCTTGTAGAACCGCAGAGCGCGGGCAAGAATTTCCGTCCATTGTAGCTTTACCAGTCATTCATCAGGCGATTATGATACAATCTGTTCATGACGACGGGGCAACGCTTTCTCGGCACTACTCTGTACTGTACATGGTAGTTCTCTTTTACTTGGGTTTCTTCTCTGATTTCTCTTCTCGCGACGCTCTAGCCGCCGGCCATATGACAACCACACCCACTAAAACAGGGCGAATGAGAGACAAAAAGTCCATCTCCAGAGATGCTCCCACGCCATGTGATTTCTGCGCGAAATCATGTTGCGCATGTCGTCAATTGACCCTCTTTCTCTCCGCTCTTAGCTTCATTTGACTATTTTCTTTACGTCTTTGGCAGCTCGTTCCCCTGTATATTGAGTTGAAAAAAAAAAAAAAAGATTTGCAGAAACGTTAGGGCTGGTTTGGTTTTGCGCCTCTCTTGCGGTGAAGCTTCCGGAGGAGGCGCTATAAGGGTCCCTCTCTCACCACTAACAGCCGCCGAGCACAACGCCTAGTTTTAATTGATTGCAGCTGTAAGTCCTTTTTGGTAAAAAGGGAAGAAGAAGAAGCGCCAATTGCCGCCTTCATTTTCTTCAAGTTTCTAGTGCAAACGCCATTCGCAATTGGCGACTGTAGAGTAACCGTGATTTCAACTTTTGCATGCTGATCGCAAATGTCGTACAACGATTGATTCCCTCTGTACAGCATCTAGATCAATTCAAGGGAAAAAAAGCCACTATCCTTCCTGGATTCCGTCAAGCCCAGAAGAGGGGGGGGGGGGGGGGGGGTAGGCGGAAAATCAAATCAACCCTCAGCCCACCCCTTTGGCCTTGTCCGGTGTGCCTGATGACCGCCTGAAGGCCGCACATGACTGGGTCCCGAGTGAGATGGAGAGGGGAGTGGGCGTAGCAACAAAGCTCAAGTGCGTGCGTGAAGAGAATGAAACTCTCCGTGCAGAAGAAAGAAGCTGCCATTTTGATGTTGTTTGAGGTCCCGAGATACCTTTTCTGGAGGGTGGATGGCGGCATGCATGCAAGTACTGGTGACCTGCTTCCATCTTCTGTCGATTGCTCGCAGTACCTTGATTGTAGCATCATACAAACATTGGGCTTTTTTGCTTCTTCATCTGCGTCTGCCTCATTGACAGGCAGCCAGTGTTACACGATCGAAAACATGACGCGTCTTGACTGCCCAACGCCAGCCAGTCGATAGGCATCAATTCGCTTCCAATTGGGCCAATTCCCAATTGCCTCGCTGCTAAGCCTTACCACAGAATTCATTCGCCTCTAGACTCCCGGGCAATGAAGTCACCGGGACGCCTCCAAAGACGGGATTCGGGCCATGGCCAGCCGTACATGCTACACGCGCGGCCCTGCAGGACGCCACCCAGAGTCAGGGTACTCCATACATTAGTCGATGCCACTAAAGAATCCCCGGCCGTGGAACCCATGTCTGCATTTTCTCTCGTCCGTCGATGATGCAACTTGATTCCCTTTTGCATTTGGGGGCGTAACTTTTTATAGCAAGCCCAACCACGTTGTTGCAAGGCCCTTTTTATGCAGTCACGTACATACATGCACTTACACATGTGCAGTAATGGGCACAACGGAGATCGCGGCGGTTCCCGGGTGGTACCTCGCAGAAGAGCGAAAAGACGCAGGTCCTTTTTTTTTTACCCTTTTCCTTTTATTTTAGTCTGTCAATATCAATTGATCATTAGGTAGCTATTGTCTTCCCACCGCTACTTGGGAGCATGAGCATGAATAGAAAACGTCATGACGGATTGATGTGAAGCGAGAGTGAGGGAAAATGGCGGTCATCTCTCTGATACGAAGGGCTCCATGTTTCAGCATTCCCGCAAGACTCATCCATACAGATGAAAATAGGTACAATGATTGATTGTTTGTCTACCCACACGCCCCGTTTCTCTTTCGCTCCCCCCTGTTCTGGCATCACTGCCTCCTTCTTCCTCCGTATCATAAAAAAAGAAAAAAAAAAAAAAAAACGATACAGGAAGAAACATGGTGTGTAGCCTGACCGCAGCGCGTCCTCCCAATCACGGCCCGCCTATTTGTTGAGCCGCTGCCTGTGTCGCTTTTGCGTGTAGATTCTGCGCTGATGCGTCGATACCTATCCCGCTGCTGAGGAGAAACACGGGTACGTGAGTGCGTATATGTGTGCGTATGTACGTATACGTGTAGGTTCACACAAGTGGAATAATGGCGCTATCCGCGGATCAAAAACGGTGAAGATACTTTGAGGCAACTAGCAGCAGCGCCACCAAAGCACAAGACTCAGCTTGCGCGAAGGCAGCAAATATGAAGCCTACAGTCTACAGTACAGCACCTAATGTACTCACAAGCAACAGCACAAGCAACAGACAGGCAGCGTTCTCTTGTCTGATACCGCTATCTCATATCCACACACCCTTCTCTTCCTGGCTAGTCAGTCGAGCTCAGCCAGAAACCCAGTCAGTCACAGGCACTACTCCATCAGGACTAGCATCGCCAAAGTCCCCAAAGCTATTCCTCAGCAAATCCGCCATCCCATGCCGCTTATACACCCACCCCCCTCGATGTTCCCGCTCGCTCTTCTGCTAACTGCTAATGCTGCTCTAAGCTCCTTCCCCTGCGGGGGGGCGTGGGCGCTTCTGTGGTGCCTGCATCTGCATCAGGGTCTCGCCGGCCGCCACATCACGGCTTTTTAATACCAGGACGCTTCCTCCTCGTCGGGTATCAACAGTGATTCACTGCTTCTCTCGCTTCTCCAAGGAGGCAGAAGCACCGAGTGATTTTGGACCTTTTGGCCGTTTGTCTACTTCCCATTTGACTTGTGGCTTCTAGCTGAATCGCCCACTAGGTCCCGTGCAAACAAGCCAAAGTCTACTTCTTCCACGGAGCAAAGTTCATGAGCAAGAGATAACCATAACGTCGCAAAGTGAAAAAAACCGCCGCCAAAGAATCATCGCCCCAGGAATCGGACCGCCAGGTTTTTTCTTTTTCATTCTTCTATAACTACTGCCTCCCTTGTCTCTGGACGCAACTCAAACACAAACCAAACACAATCCGCAAGCCCGCCGAAGATTTCGTCTTCAGCTTCGCCTCACCTTGTAAACCCTCCTAGCCACCGAGTCTGTACCTGCAGCTTCTGCCGGGGACAGATCCAGTTGATCGTTGCTCTTGCACAGTCAATCTTGCCAATTGCATCGTCCGCAACGCTCAATTTATCCAGGACCAGAGCAATCGGGAGCCTTTTGCCGATCCCTTTGGCGAACATCACCACCGTTCTTCCTTCCTCATCCAACGGATCTTTCCAATTCCTTGAGTGAGGGCCTGGATTATCGTTTGACGAAGCGAAGCCTGCCACAAAAGGTGAATTCTATCCCCAGCGCCACAGCACGCATTGCTTGAATGGAACCTGCCTGTTCCATTCATCCACCCATTCATCTATTGTGTTCAACTCAATTCGCCTTCCCAATCTTTACTAACTTGCCGTCGCCAGAGTGACAGCAGATATAAGCCCAAAGAGTCTCTCACAACCTGGCTTCTCTTCTTCCTCTTCTTTCTCCTTTGCTCACCACCACCATCAATCACCACCATCACCAATCAACTACACATTCCATCTCCACACTAGCTGTCAGAGGCGGACTTTGCACAAACCACAAAGCCAAGCTCGACGCTTCTATCTCCGGCTCGCAACGCTAAATTCCGAAAGGGCTGTGTGAACTGATTTGACATCAAATCCAAATCTGTCCAGCCGACCCACTGTGTTGCCTGCGTCGATACGGCCTTTGCCACCGGCCCAAACCACGTCAGACGGGTCATCGCCATCTAGGAATGGCTGACAAACCCGCCGCAAGCCACGCACGTTTCCGCGCCGCCCAGCAAGCTTCCACTCACTTCGACAAGATCCTCAACGCATCAGCTGCCGCGTCTCAGAAGTCGGTTGCTTCTGATTCTCTGCATCGTCACCCATCTCTCTCTTCTCATTCACAATCTCAGTCGCAGCCCAGAGTTCAACTCTCCACCCTGGCCCCTTCTCCTATTCACGCCTTGTTCAATAATAACCGCCAATCGGCCATTGAATCTCGCACAATGGCCGCCAATTTCCCCCACAGCGACTCGGCCGCTGTCGCCCAGCCAGCAACAAAGGCTGCCCCGGTGCCCAAGGCCAGCAACCGGCTGGACATTAGCAATCTCATGTCCCCCCCTGAGAACCTGCTCGAGACTTTTAACCAGGTCAAGGCCCGTCGTCAGGATTCAAAGACGCTCAATGAAATGACTTCGGTCCTCGCCACCATGTCGGCAAACAGCGGCCGCGCTGCCTCGGTGTCTGACAAGCTGCCGCTGCCCATGTCGCCGCCCATCTCGCCTTACACCAAGTATGCCTCCAGCAATGCCAGCAACGCCGACAACACTCCAAGCACGCCGCAGAGCTCGACCATCCAGGATCCCGTTCTGTACCCAATTGATGAGGCGTCGCCATCGGGCCTGCCTCAGCCGCCATTGTTTGCACCTGTCGAGGATGAAGACACTCACATGCAAATCGTCGATGACCATGTCCGAGCCCTCAAGTCCACCGCCAACATCTTCACCGTTGTCCCGCCTCCACGCCGTGAGGACTACAACCTGATGATCTCCATCAAGTCGCAGGTCTTGAAGAACTTCAACAGCAACCCCAGAGCGTGGCTGAAAAACGAGCGAGCCTATCTCAAGGCCGATCGCGATGCCGCCATTGGAGCTCGTCGTCTGCCTGCTATCCAGCCGGCCAAGCCAATTGCAGCCAAGCCAGCCCGATCTCAGCGCGCTGATCGAGTCCTTGATCGAGTCACCAGCCGGGTCTCCAAGCCACAGGCTCCGCGACCAATTCGCTCCAGCGGTGTTCCCAACCCTGCTGCAACTGCTGCTTCCAGCGCTTTGGTTTCGACCCTTGCTGTTGCTCGATCTACTGCTGGCCGCCGCCGTCCTAGTGCTACGCCGGAGCCATCTCGCCGCATCGTTGCTCCCAGCCGCGAGGACAAGAACTTCCAGATGCTCCAGGACTTCTGCCCGCCTCTTGCTTCTCTTTCGGATCGTGCTGCGTCCCAGCTCAAGCCAGAGTGGAAGGGCCAGCCCATCGACCTCAGCAACGACCCCAACCGCAAGCTGCTGCACCCTGCCGAGCTCAATCTTGCCAGCGGCCTTCGTCTGGACTGTGCCACGTACCTCACCAGCAAGCGACGCATGTTTATGCGACGTCTCGAGCGCTTCCAGAACGGCAAGGAGTTCCGCAAGACTGATGCCCAGCAGGCCTGCAAGATCGACGTCAACAAGGCTTCCAGACTCTGGACTGTCTTCCACAATGCTGGCTGGCTCGAGCCTCACTGGATGGTCCCATTCAAGGACGTCAAGATCGAATCCACCACCCGCTGAGTCTCTTATTGCTTAGCCGCCTGACTCTCGTCCTCCTCCTACTCATCCAAATCTCATGTCCCTGTTAACGCCAATTATTCCGCTCTTATTTTCGCTACATGACTTTTTTACGACGTCTATCGAAATGAATTCAATGGAACGAACGGTTCAACTGCTTTAGTTAGAGCTACGACTGCTTACAATCTCGTACTCGCGCGTTTTCTTCTTCTTTTTCTTTTTTTAATTTCCTTCCCCCAATTACCTCTTTCTACTGTTTCCTTATCGCTCAAAATCGTTTGCTCTGGCAGCTCTGTATATTTGTCGGCCGTGCGAATTCCTCGTCCTAGACGATGAATTTGCAGGTCGTCGTATACAAACGCAGCCCATGCACATTTGAAGCTACTACTCTTTTTCCACTCCCATCAACCTTTTGATGTTTTCCTTTACTTTACACGATACAAATGGTATCTTACTGGATTAGGGAATTGGTTTTGCATTGTTTTTAGCACGAGGATAGTACACATACACCAAGCATTTGGGGGATTTTTTTCCATGATACCCAGTGGGCGAATGCGCCAGCCTGTTGGCGCCGCCCCATACACGATTTCCTTTGTCGTTTGAGTATTTATCTCTTGATTCACTAGGTATGGGAGGCTACTGCTTGTTTATTTAACCCGATTTTTTTATTTCCTTGAACCTTTCTCTCCAGAAATTTCCTCTACCCCTTTGATACGACAATGAGTTTGGTTTTTTCTTATTTTTGTTTGTTTTTTTAGCCTCGCTTAGGGACATGGATTTAGGATGAGATCAGGGACGAGAGTCCTATGCATACGTGCACGGCGTTGAATATCTTTTCTCCCCACTTTGAATCTTTTTTTTTCTTTGTTTCCTGCATTCAACTATACCACTCTCGGTGTGCGGAAGATTGGAAGACGATGGGGATTGCCTAGATGGTAAAACCCGTGGACGAGCACAGCCGAATCGATTTAGCTGGAGGGACGGAGGGAGGCATACATTTGCTGTTTTTTTACAGGGCTTCTTCTTTTCTTGCGAGGCAGGCTACGACACGATCGACTGCCTCGCCCGACTTTATGCAAGGCTCTGTTGAAGGTTTCATGGCGAAACTAAACACGGTACGAGATGCTTTTTTCGCTATGGAGATCATTTAGCTATGGTCTGCATGCAGCATTGCCAGTACTTGTTTCACAGGGTGGTTGGAATCATAATAGTCTTAGGGTTATGTTTATCGGTGCGAATCAAGACAATCAGTATCAATTGCAAATCAGAACGACCATGTGACTTGTAATACGCAATCTCCATCATCCTCCCACACCGTAGTATCAGACAGTAAGCGGCTTCAAGACTCTTGCCGCCTTGGGAGTGGCTCTCAGCCCTACCAGACAATACGATCCGATCTTGCCAGATCTGAATCGCAATCTCCAGACCTGCAGCGGGATCTCAACGGGTCCTGCAAGATGAAGAGGGGCGCATCTAGTAGTACTAGCATCCAAGGTTTAAAAAAAGAAACACAAGGTCAAGGTTTCATCTCGGGGGCGGGTGAGAAAAAAAAATTCATCGCTCTTACTTGTACAATCTTAAATCTCGCAGGCCGTGTGTGTGTGTATCGGGCTGCAGCAAGATCGGACAAGGATTGGGGGTCTAAGACGAGTTCTGAGTGGACAGAAGGACGGCATATTTTTTTTTTAAAAAAATATTTTGCTTAGTTTTTTTTTTTTTTTATATATTTTTGGCATGGTATGGTGGAGATGACGAGAAAGAGACCAGCACCAGAGGCGTATAATCCCGCGTTTGTACTAGGTCTAGGGGACGGGCCGAGGATGGAGACGGACAAAGAAAAAAAAAAAAAAAAACTTTTTCGAGGCTAGTTTGATGGAACAGATTGGGATCGATCTGTCTATCGGTTGATAAGTTAGATTGGCGTTTTTTGAGACGGGATCGTTGGGTGTAGCGGTTCAAATGTATCGATAATCTGTAAACTATCGCACTATTTCGATACTAGCAAATGTAATGTACCGTACCTATGGATCTACCTAGTAATGTCCTCGTCCATCAGAAATCAAATAATACCACCGCCTCCCCTTCAAACCTTTTCCCCTTTCGATCATCCATTAACATAATCCATCTAGGCTAATTGGCAGATGGAAAATAAACGAAAAACGTAATCTTCTAGCCGTGCCTGACTATATACCTTGTAAAGCAATATTGGTACAATACGAAGTTGATTAAAACGACAATATGCATCCCGTCTTGGAACATCCATCCATACCCCTCTTTATCGTACACGCTCAAATGGCTTTTTTTCTAACGAACTTCGATATGTTGAACCGCAGCGAGCCACTTCTTCTCATCAGCCCTATAAGAAGAACACTGGTTAGCCAAGAGAATACGTAGATGTAACCAAGGATTAGTGAATACTTACTTGTCAAACTTGAGGAGCTTGCCCAAGACGGGCACCAGCTGCGCCCTCAGTCTGTTGTCCTTTTGCTCCAGGAACTGCAGCAGAATCGTCTTGAGGTACAGCACTTCAGACAGTTCGCCGCTGACAGACGAGGTGCGAGTCGAATCTATCGACGTGCGAGACGTCGTGCCGCTCGTTGGTGTGGCCGTGGCCGTGGCCTTGGCCTGGATCGCCTTGAGCTCCTTGGACATCTTATCGTACATGAGCTGCAGCGATTCGTAGTCCTTGCGCAGGGACGTCTTGAGCCTCTCCCCGTCTCGGACCTGCTGCTCAGAGGCGTCCAAGGCAGACCGCAGCGACGAGATTGTGGTTCGCAAATCTGCAGCCTCCGTCTCGCTTCTGCTCTCGACTGATTCAAGCTCCTGGTTGCGGCGGCGCAGGGTCCGCTCGCGCTGCTCGACTCCCTCACGCTCGCTGCGAAGGTCCTTAACCTCCCCTTCGAGTTCTCGCACTCGAGACTTGAGCTCTCCGACTGCCTTTGCGTTCTTGCGCATCGTGGTGCTGGACTCGTCCTCGAGGCGCTCCCGCTCGGCAATTGCCGCCTCCATTCGGTTGCGCATGTCCCGGATCTTGGTCTCGGCCTGCTGGTCCACGTCTGCAAGGAGCCGCCGCATTGTCTCGCCCTCTCTGGTGCGCTCCTGCAACAGATGCTGCACCTCGCCAAGCTCCTCTTCCAGGGATCGTGCCTGGGACTGCGACTCCTTGAGCTGCACCGTCATCTCCGACACCTGGTCGCGCATGCTGCTCAGCAGGCCCTGGGCCGTGGTATACTGCTTGGCCTTGAACTCAGTCTCCTCCTGGGCCGCCGCCTTCTCGCGCTTCAGCTTGTGCACCTGGTCCTCGAGATCCGTCACCCGCGGTCTAAGCTTGGAGATCTCCTCTTGGACCTTGTGCAGCTCGCGCTCCACCTTCTCCGACTTGGCACTCAGCTCAATCTTCTCGGCATCGGCCTTTCTAAGGTCTCGCCCTGACACGCGCTGGGAATTCTCCAGCTGGGTTTTTGCTTCAGTCTCTGCTGCCAGCTTGTCCTTGAGAGTCTTGGTCTCCGAGACGTGGTTGGCCGCCTCTTGTCGAGAAGTGGCCAGATTCCGCTCCAGTTCCTTTGCCTTCTTCTCCAAATCCTTGAATTCTTTGACCTTGGCCGCAAGCTCCTCTTTGGCCTTCTTGAGCTCAGCAGAGTCCTGGCGTAAGCTCTTAACCTCAGGCTGCAACTTCTGCATAACTTCGCGCAATTCAGTCACCTCCTTAAAGCGGCTTTGCGCCAGCTGCTGCGACGCCTCAAGATCAGAACTGACAGTACCAAACTTCTCCTTCAAATCTTGATAGTCCTTGATGAGAGTTTTCAGCTCCTCTTGCGCCTGCGAGCTGGCGTTGGCTATGGAGCCCATGGCAGCAACTTGCTTCTCCAAAGCGGTAATCTCTGTCGTCAACTTCTTCTTCTCCTCTTGGAACTCCTTGATGCGTTGCCTATCTTCGACGTGATCTTGGCCAATGTTGATCAGGTTTTCCTGCAGAGTTTCAATCTCCTCGCGAAGATCCTCCTCAGTCTTACGCTGTTTGGATAGTCGATCAATCTCTTTGTCTTTGACCTCAATTTCCTGGTTCAGCAGGGCGATTTGAGCCTCCAAGGCAGCAGTATCTTGGCCTTGGGCATCTGTGGCAGCTTCAGGAGCGTCAGAAGCTGGAGGAGCGGAGGTGGCAGGAGTGGTAGGAGTGGCAGGAGTCTTAGTCGGCGTGTCATCTTCAGTCTCGTCTGCAGCTACAGAGGGAGTAGCGGAGCGGGTAGTGGAGGGAGCGGGACTAGCAGCTCTGCCACCGCGGCCCTTCTTCTTCTTGTTTTTCTTCTTGTTTTTGCCGGTGCGCGTCGTCGACCGCCTAGCTTTAGATGGAACTTCCAGCGAGCCGGAAGCTTGCGGCGGATCCTCCACAGAATCAGAAGCTTGTGGTGGTTCCTCCAGAGAATCAGAAGCTTGCGGTGGTTCCTCCACAGAATCAGAAGCCTGTGGTGGAGGAGGTCCTGGGGGTGGTGGAGGCGCGGGGGGTGCATTGTCTTGAGCCTCAACCAAATCGGCGAGCTTATCAACCGTGGCTTGGAGATCTTCCTTGTCCTTCTTCAACGAGTCAATTCTTATTTTGAGCTCGTCAATCACGGCAGTAGAAATCGTCTTGGCCGCATCTGCTTTGCTAAGTTGATTGGCCATGTCAGTGGCTTGGGCCTGCAGCTCCTTGTAGGCGCTGTCTCCATTGGCAAGTCTGTCGACCAAGCTGGCCATTTCACCGCTTCGGGCATATAGTTGATTCTGGAGTTCATCGTTTGCTTCACAGGCTTTGCTAAACCTGGTCATGTCTTCGGTGTAATGCTCCATGCTCTTCATCAAGTCTAGTTTCTCTTCGCGAGCAGTGGAGAGCTGCTGGTTCAGGGTTTCCACCTCAGCTTTGAGCGTCTCAATCTGTTCATCTTGCTTGGCAGAAGAGTCATCCTGCTTCGAGCTGTCAACCTCGGCTTCAGGTGCTTCAGCTTGCTCTGCTTTCTTGACGTCGGAGAGCTCTTGCTTCAGGTTTTCCACTTCGGTTTTGAGAGACTCGGCTTTAAGAGACTCGGCTTCTTTGTCTTGCTTGGCAGTAGAGAGCTCTTCTTTCAGGCCATCCACTTCAGCTTTGAGCGTCTCAATCTGTTCATCTTGCTTGGCAGAAGAGGCGTCCTGCTTGGAGCTGTCAACCTCAGCTTTAGGTGCTTCAGCTTGCTCTTCCTTCTTGACGTTGGAGAGCTCTTGCTTCAGGCTATCCACTTCAGCCTTGAGCGTTTCGATTTCTTCCGTCTTGTTGGAAATTTCAGCTTGGAGCTTGGGGACCTCGTCATCATAGGAAAAGAAATCTCCATCATCTCCTCCAGATTTCTCGTTGTCACCCTTGGTTGGCTTTTCAGCTTTGAGTGTATCAACTTCGGCCTGGAGCTTCTTAATCTTCTCCTCGTGCTCCGCGTTCTTCTTCTTGAGCTCTTCTTTCTCGACAGAGATTTGCTTATGTTCCTCCATTATCATGCTTTCCTTGAGTTTCAGCTGGTTGAGATACTCGATCAAAGACTCTGGGTCGCCAATAGTGGCCAGAGGTGTATTCTCGCGCAGCGCTTTCTCGAAAGGCTCGATGGCAGTAGCACGACGATGAGCAACGCGGTAGGATCGTAAAAGTTCTAGAACATGGCGCTGTTAGCTCTCCCCCTCTTTGTGAATATCTGTCGTTCAAAAATCAAAGACCACGTACCAGGATAAGTGGCTTCAAGCTTCTCCAGCTTGCGAAGCTTCTGCTTGAGCTCCAGACTCAGCACCGGCTTGGTCGTATGGGCAGCTCCTTCGCCCTTGCCATCGCCACCAGAGTTTGATTTTTGTGCAGCCTCAGCGTGGCCAGTAGATTCTCCGTTCGGCGTGTCCTTCTCAGGAGGCACAGGCGGCTTGGGAGTTCCTGCTCGACTAGGCTCGTCGCCATCGTCGATGACAAAAGCTGCCTCGAAAAAGGCAGGATCAGGATTTATGGCAGAGCCTCCAGCGTCAGAGTCTGGGTTCTTGGAACGAGACCGTCTGCCTGCGCCGCCTTCGTTTGTTCGCGATGTCGACGAGGCAGATCTGGACATGGGGGCGCTCGCCTCGAACGCCTTCTGCTGGCGGGCTTGCTCCTCCGCGATGGTGCGGTCGATGGCTCCTTTGATTCGCTGCAATTGGGCAAGTCACAGCCAGTTAGCGAGATATGCTCTTCTGCGGCTGCTTCTCTCCCTTTTGAGGGTGCACACGAGCTGAGGAAGCCACTTACCTGGAACATCGTTGCGTTGGGGCCACCTTGCCAGATGATGGTGAAGCTAAAAAGCGTAAATCGTCGAGGCTTCGTATCAAGGCAAGGCACAAGGCTGGAGTGGGATGGGAAAGTGACATCCAGTTCAGCCTAGCTGCATTGGGCAATTTTTGGGACTGGCGCTGAACTACAGCGGCTAGACCACTGGAAATATAGCGGAGGGTCACTAAATTATAGTGCGATGAATCACTGTAGTCTAGCACTCTTACACTTAGCGCTGCCCTACAGAAGCCTTGACAATAAGTAGGCGTCCTATCTTTCCCCGATAGTGGGCAAGAGCAACGCACCTCAACAAATGAGCTTCTCATCTCTCCATCACATCTGCTTGCAAGAAGAAAAACAATTGCTTATTCCAGCTCATTTCCTTCAAGCTTTTCCAATATTCTCTCTTTTTCCTTGAATCTCAAGCCATCCAATTCTCTCCCCTACTGCCATACCAAACTCAACTACTCGTGCGAAGCCTCCAGCAAACTTCAAATCCAATATTTCTGGTGAGTATTACGTTCTCCTCTCCTGGCGACGTTTATTTTGTTCTCGTCTCATGTCATCATAGTCATCTTCAACGGCACCGGTGTAGTTTAGATTCGCCACGCGGATTCGGCCGAGGACCTCTTCCACAACACCCATGGTGGATTCACAAAGGGGTCGGCCGCAAGACCCAAACGAGGCCTGTATCAGATATATCGTCACTACCTCTCCATTCCGCAAAGGAGGCATCAACCTAGCTGCTACATCCGATCGATATAGTAGCCGTTTCTTGGACTCCTTTTCCAGGGCCGAGCCCTAACCCTCTGCTACATGGGAGGTTCTTTTGGAGTATTTCAATTGTAGGTATTCTGTGTTGATGTTGAAGATCTATCTATTTTCTCAGTGATTCTGACTGCATCTTGGTTAGTTTGTTTCTTAAAAGATGTCAAGATGCCGCTTGTATTCGCTCCCTGACCCGATAGCTGGTGGTGGTAAGTTGATTCCATTTTCTTCAATCTCGCATGTTGCTGATCATGAGACTAGCCTTTGGCTTTCTCGCACGAGAGGCATGTATGTCGGACTGAACAATTGCTCAGCCAGGATACCACAAATACTTGCCTGCAATACTGGATCGATCAAAAGCCCTCGAAGGCGAGGCATGGGGGAGAGTTTGGAGCAGCATTCATTTTCAGGGCTAGTATAATAGGTGGCTAGTAAGTCCTTGTCTCTTCTGTCTTATTCCTCGATCCTGGGTGTACGAATTGCTGACAGGGTATTATTCAGCTCCTCTCGAACTCGACTACTATCTGGTCTATACGGCGACTCATGGGTGGCAGCAAGGAAAAGGTTGTAGCAGTAGAGCGCACGCTCTTCGGGGCTTGGAAGGACAGGAGGAGACGACGGTGTTGTCATCCTGAGAGATCTGGTTGGATATTCCGTCTTGTTGCAACGACTGTTTGAACTTGAAGGGGGCTGAGCCGAATAGAGGGCGAGCCGCAAGGCCGGTGTCATTCCGGTGGCTACCATGGGATGAAGCCGGAAAACAATTGGTGGCGAAGGCTGAGGATGCCGCATCTTGGGAGTTTCTCCAGGCCAAGAACTTCACCTGCTCGATGACTCTTACATACAACAATGAGCAGTAAGGAAATTAATTTTAAGCAAAGGGACTTTGGTTTGTTAGGTCTGTTTTCACTGTGGGGTTGGTAATTCAGTATCAAGAGATAGCAGTCAAGTCAGAATACGGAATTGGTCTTCCTAATCACTTCTATTGCTTCGCTGTGTAATTTCTATCGTGGGTTGCAATACACTTTGCCCACTTTGTAGTCATGTCCATCTCTGGTAGTTCACTAGATTATAGTGGATATATGTGCTATTGTTGTTGGTTTATCGCTATATTATAGAGCAGATAGCTTGAGATTACAGTGAGCTGGAATTGACTAAACTTTGCCGTTCATTCTTAGGTGTTACATTGATCAATTTGATTTTCTACAATCAACGGTACAGGCCACCGATCAAACGGCGATCAATTTCATCAAAGACAGTCCCAACGCAGATCGGGATTGATGCTTGTTAGCTTCAGCGCCATAATCGAACCAGACTCCCCCACACGGGCCGACCCGCTGTGACAGCCTGCCAAATGCTACCCTGGATGTTGCAAACATTCCGAAGTAGCTCTGCTGAATCTTTGTTCTCCATCGACGATCGATGGCTATAATGGCATATATTGGCTGATAATTGCTCTTCGTGTACGGCTTGCTTTGCTTGTAATTCGCTGGCGGCTGCGTGTTTTCGGTGCAGGCTACAGTTCTAATCGATAACTCGGCGGCTTAGGAGCGAATGATTGTGACATTTCCTCCCACAACACAAGCATCGACTTTCACATTGCCCAAGTCCGAAAATCAACAATCAATAAATCGAAGTCTAGCATCGGATAAACACCAAGTGCTGCCAGTTTGATCAACCAGCAGTCCGCAAGAGGCCCAGAGTTGCTAAAAACCCTGCCTAAGCCAATTCGCGAACGAAGCCAGGAGATGGAGAAGAGCCTCTTCTATAGATACTGTTGTAAGGTATCGTCTAATGCGCCTCTGGAATGGATTTTTCAGATCAGTCGTTCTGGTATTGTGTGAATCTATTCCTTTTCTTGCAATCATGCCATCTTATAGATGACAATATGCTAATTCAAACTGATTTGGGCAGATTGTCTCCCCACGCTCAAACACCAACATTCCACACGAAATTAGCCGTTTATCGAATCGATATGGAACAATGATGGTTTCTTTCTCTTCGACCCCTGCCCGTCTATCGCTGTTCCATAAGCAACATTTTCTACAAATATCCACCACCTCCCCCTGTCTTGCCAGCCGGTCAACCATTTCGAATCTAGCACGACAATGGTTTCTGCTGCCTTGGCATATCCAGAGAGCATCGGAAATACGACCCTGTGGGTTTGCGCCAGCTTCCGAAATATCCGACACAAGATTCCTGCGAGAATTCGGACCTGTTTTTCAAATCTGGGTACTTCCGCTGACACGGCAACGGGCCTTGGCGAGACAGAGTGCTCCCTACGCTCTGCCTCTGGCTCTAATAGGCTCCAATAAACTTTTCTCTGGACATTCAAGCATGCTACTACGGTGCCGATTTATTTTCTGCCGGCTTGAGGCACAGTGTGGCGATGGAGCTGAGGCTAGCAAACAAATCTCTCTGCTGTGCTGGCTGGGTAAGCCACGCCGAAATCCGAACAATTCTTGAATCTGCTCTACCTGGAATAGAATATGATATATCGCATAATCAATCAAAAGAAAAGCAGTGGGCGCTTTCTTCTTTGAAGCTTATTGAACTCACAACGAGAGTCAGCAGGACATTACGGCATGATGCTTGTTTGCCTGCCGGTTCGATCCTACAAGGGTTTTGCTCGTAGCCGGGCAATCTATTGATTTAATCTTGCATTAGTGCTGCAAGGCTGGAAGGGCTAATCCGAAGACGCCATGAGAACGTTTGTCAAATAGACAAAGAAATTACCTCTCGTTGATACTACAGCCCATAGTGGAACAGAGTACAGGCATACTGATTTCTCTGGAGGGAGTCTGCAAGTAGATTACTGACTCACCGTGCAGTAGTACCCTGAGTCATGAGCAACATTACGGCACATCACATTTTCAAGTGGATATCATGATTCAACCGAGACCAGCCAAGACACAAGATGACCAGAGCCACGAGAGCACAGGGAGCTTTCTCTCCAGACCGGTGAGGGGCACCGTGATGTCAACGGAACGCCTCTGCAGAGCAATTTAAGCTGCCAGCAAAGCGAGACACTCAGTCAGGCCAATCGAATCGGTCAACGCAAAAATCACATTACTGATACAGGGATCACCAGCCTCAGCGGAAGCAGGTGGATCATGGTTGGTCGCCGAGCAGGCTCACCGGTCGACTTGCAGGACGGTCTGCTTAAGCGACTGCTACATGGACATGGATAGAGAGCAAACAAGACACCGATTTGATCAGATGCCTCCGAGGAGGGCTTGTCTGGCTAATTTGGCTTGTGATACTGCTTGGGCTGAACTGGGAGAGACGCGTAATGGATGTGTTTGGCATCGCGTTCGCTCGATACCCTTTTTTGAGGGGGGCCTCCGTTATTACACGTACGGCGCAGAGGAAGAGAGAACGAAGAGGCATGCAGGAGGGACTTTGTGAGTGCATTGCATGCTGCTTGATATGCTGTTCGAGCATGAGAGGACAGACAGCGCAAATCCTTGATGCAGAGGAGCCTGAAAATTCCCCCAAGGTTGGGCATCTATCCGGGCAGCACGTTCGGAACAGTTCGGGTGTCAATAGACAAACTGGGGAAATCCCAGACCAGGAGAGAGTCAGCTGGTCCAGACTTTTTCACCGGCTGCCTTGCGTGGGTGGGATGTCGTACAAACTGACCGCAAAAGAGAGTGGCTTGATGTACAAAGGCAGGGAGAGAGGGTACATTCTGTCTGACCGAGAACGGAGAGGAGAAACAGGCGGCATCAAAGCCAATGATAACCAGCAGGCCAGGGTCCTTGGTGTTTCGAATTCTGACGATGTTTGTGTTTGTCCTCGTCAGCAGGTTGGGGAGTTCAAGGGATATGCGGGCAGCCGTTGAGCTTGGACGGTGCTTTCCCAAGACGGACAAGATGCAAGACGCTTTTGTTCTGTTTCTTATTATATCCAGCGTCTCTACGGCTGATACGGACCTAGTTCAGGTACATCGAGATCTGGCGATTGGCTGATTGGGTACATGAGGTTGCAGCTGAGAGGCATACAGTGTAAACACAGTACATCATGTGCTTGAGGGAGTCATATCCGCACCGTGTGTCGCTCCTCCCAGCAACCGCCGTCGCATCCTGGCCCCGCTTTTATGCGCCTGCCGTCCCACGGAACTGGGGTATCGTATCCGAAGTTGGACCTGTCCAATCAGAGGATTCAAAACTACGGGGCTCTGAGACAAGGTGCCACCTACCCGAGACTTTGCTTTTTCAGTTGCGTACTTTGTACTCCATTCATTGGGCTGTATACGCCATGTGCCGTGTTACTTTTGATTACCTGTAGTTGTACTACTATCAGGAAGCATCTTCGGCGTCGGGCACGTTCTTCGGATGCATTACCTTAGTAGAGACGCATAGGTAGGGGCAGTATTGGCAGCAGGATCATGACCACCTTGGGAGTCAAATGCTACAGCGCAGCTCAAATGTCACTGCAATTTATACTTACATCCCGGCCTGGTTTAAATGCCCTCCCAGGCCTTTCTTGGCAGGTATCCGTAAGCCGGGAAACTCGACATCTCTCTGCTTATATATATATTACCCAGTAGACTAGGTACTAGTAGTATATAATTACCCGAGTATTCGCTCATCTATATAAGCAACATGCAAGAAAGGGCACTCATTTCTGGACGCTGTTTCAAACCCCCAAGACATCGATGACTGCCCAGCAAGCCCATTGCCCAATCTCCCACCCTTTGGGCAAATACGCACATAATACTAGTCCTCGCAAACAACGTCTCCCACGCGGACACCCCCTCTTTCAGACGCGGCTAGGACCTGCTGTGTCTCCCTACCTATCCAGGTATCAATGCACGATGGCAGCGAATGATATAGGCTCAACGGCCTGGGGATACCGTCTAGCTTGGCGCTGAGGCTGAAGTGTTTGTAGGTAAGGTATGCAGCTGCAGCCAGCCACTTGTTGACCGACAGCCTTGTCCCAGTTTATTGCTTTTTTTTTTCTTTTCTTTTTTAATTTCCAATACCGACGTTCTTACTCATGGGCACTCAGCTTTTTGTGAGAGAGGGGCATCTCTGTCTTTCCTTGCGTTCGTCCTGTTACTAGTATTTTCTGCCGCTTCTCCCACCTGTTTCTTTTCTCTGGTTTCTTCCTTCTCCTCCGTTATTGTATGCTGTTATTATAGAAATCAATCCTCTATATTACAAGCGTTGCTGCATTCGATTTCGTTCCTCTTATCCAACGCTTTCGGACTCGGACCATTGTCATCATGGAAGTGGACAAGACCAAACCCGGGCTACTCGACATGCCCAACGAGATCCTCATCCAGATTGGGACTCTGCTCGTTCGCGCTGGAGACATTGCAGCTCTCGCAAGGGCCTGCCAACGCCTCAACAGGCTACTCGGCGACTACTTGTACCGGGACAACGAAAAGAACGGCAAAGGCTCTTGCCTGATGTGGGCTGCCAACCTAGACAAGATTGAGACATTCCAAAGGGCCATTCGAGCTGGCGTCCGTCTCCAAGACCACGGCTATCTCGTTTTTGTCGTCTCGTGCAGTGGAAGCAGCCGAGTGGCCGAGGTGGTGTTGGCGTCTCCTGGGGCCGATGTAATGGCTGAAGACACAGACGGATGGACGCCCATGACTCTTGCGGCCAGCTACGGGCACCCGCACATTGTCCAGCAGTTGGTGGAACACGGCGCCGACATCTCGTCGCTCACCAGGGGCGGCTGGTCGCCGGTGAACCTGGCCTGTTGCCATGGAAGATTTGGTGTCGCAAAGCTCCTGTTGGACGGCTACGGGGCTTCAATGGAGTGCGAAAGCGAGACTGGCTGGTCGGCACTGCGATCTGCCGCTGCCTATGGTCACACAGAGATACTCAACTACCTCCTCGGAAGGGGGGCCGATATCAAAGTCAGGAACAACGTTGGCTGGACCTGTCTGCACTCGGCGGCCGACGAGGGACACACGAGCGCGGTTCAGGCTCTCCTCGATCATGGGGCGAACCCGGAAGATACTGCGTATCAGGGGTGGACTGCCCTGACTCTCGCTGCCGACAAGGGCCATCACGACACGGTCGAGCTCCTGCTCGAGAGGGGGGTTGACGTTGAGCAGTCGTGCACCAACCAGTGGACTGCTCTTTGCATGGCTGCCGACCATGGTGATCTCTACATAATCAAGCTTTTGCTTGACCATGGGGCGAACATTGCGGTGAGGGCAGCAGGTGGACTGTTTCCGCTCTCTCTGGCTGCAACAAATGGCCATTATCCTGCTGCCAACCTCTTGATACACTATGGGGCTGATATCCACATGACCACCAACGCAGGCTGGACTCCTCTCATGATGGCCTCGGATAGTGGGCATGCCGAAGTTGCAAAGCTCTTGATCGATAAGGGCGCTGATATAGAAGCTAGGAGCGAGACCGGATGGACAGCTCTTGTCTGTGCCGCCGACGGCCGCCATTTATACGCCTGCAAGGTCCTCCTGGGCCATGGCGCCAATCTCATGGCCACGACTCATGCCGGATGGACTCCGAGCATCAGAGCAGCCCATTCTGGGGGGCTTCGGCTTTTGAACCTCTTTCTGCAGGTCCATGGGCTTGACATGGATCATCTCGACAACTGTGGCCGCTCGCCATTCTTCCACGCCGCCATGCGAGGGCATGTGGGCATCATCAAGAAGCTTCTCCCAATGACGCAGATGGCCAACCACAGAGACCGTTATGGGACAACGCCAATCTTTGCCGCTGCCAGAAACGGCCACCGCCGCGTAGTAGAGCTTTTGATCGAAGCGGGCTTGGCAAACTTTGAAGAAAGGGATTTCCTAGGCGCCACGCTCTTTGCCTCGGCCCAGAGATCGAAGAAGAAGCAGTTTGTCAAGTTCCTCAAGCGATATGCGCAGCAGGCGGGAATCCCAATCTGGCTGGGCGATCCTGCGGGCCAGCGCACGCGGTACAAGTACGACTATTCGGCATGCCAATGTGGCATCTGCGGCCGATCCAGCGTGCATGAGGAGCAGGCGTATGTCTGCGATACGTGCGCCGGCGGGCTCATAATCTGTGCGGAATGCATCAGCCTGGGCCAGATGTGCGAAGATGGCACGCATGTGTGGAGAGCGCACAAGTGTTGTTGGAACCACCACTTTGGGACGGTGCCCGAGTATCGAGCTGCGAATACGAATATGGAAGCTGATGGTGATGGTGATGGTGATGTTGATGAGGCCGTTGGAGTTGATGATGGTAATGGTACAGCTAATAATGCTGCTGGTGGCGAGAATGGATTTGGTGACTTTGATATTAGCGAGGATATCTACGATGCTGATGTCGATGGGAATGATGTCGATGGGAATGATGTTGATGGGGATGATGTTGATGGGGATGATATGGTTGCCGATGTTGGCAATGTCTGATGCTAGTGCTTATGCTAGTAGTGACGGTGATGGTGACGAACACTTGTTTTCGGCTCACCTCGACGAGGTTGAAATCAATTGAGATACGCGGGATATGGAATACGGGATATGGAATACGGGATATACGGAATACAGGGAATACACGAGATATGGGATATGGGATGCGGGGAATCACAAAGATATTGAACTTGGGACTATGGGCGATATATACAAGCTGGACAGAATGCCTTGTCACGATCAATTCCTGTATCCAGAACCAACAGATCTGGCATTAGAAAGAATTGGAGCTTTACTAGCTAGGAAGACCTAGAAGAATTGATCTAGCAGTATAATGTCTTCATCTACTTGTACTTGTCCACCATTTGCTCTCAGTTTACAAGATACATTCGCCCCCAGTGACATGCCAGATCGTGCATTGCACCAGCCAAAAATACGTATGGGTTATGCAAGATCTATTCTGACGCAGTCATGGTCCCTGATTTTTTTTTTTAGCGTTGAGGGTGGGCAGAGATGCCGATCGGCCAACGGGCGGTGCCTGGCATGGGGAGTTGATTGAAACAAGGATGGCGTTTCAAGGGTTGTAGTTTGTACAAGCAATATCGCCGGCAGAATGCGGATATGTGACTTGGATGGACGGCAAGATTCAAAGAGCGCAGCGTTTGCTTGATGCCATCTCGCTGCGCACAGGTCGCAAATGCTCACAACTTGACATGGACACAAGATCTAATGTAATTCTCAGGCATGAACATGTCTGAAATTCGAGATCCTTGCTGCTGCCTTGGTACCCAAATCTGATGCTGATGCTGATGCCAACAAACAGACACGGCAATTCCTGGCCACAACTCCCGGCTTCTGGTGTCGCTTTTCTGCAGGTGCGCGATGCAGCCGCTGTGGCGCAGCCTCACCCAACCGCTAACCCACAGCGCCTCGGTCCCCTATAACCGCCCCAAAGCAATTGCCGTTTGCTACAGGCAAAAAGGCCCGTCCTACAGGGGCAAGGGCAGCTCCCAGCTTGTCAGTTCAGTTCAATTTACCCCTCCCCACCCCCGGCCACCTGCCCAATGAAGTCACCACAAGCTCATGCCCGCCCCAGGAGCTAAGGCTGCAAAGTAGCATCACCTGTCTCTCTGGCCTGTCTCGTGCCTTGCTTCGTGCTAAACCAACCTCTGCTTCTCTCCTCTGGCAAACGTTCAAACGCTTTCTTTGGGCGAGGCTGGGCGACACAGAAGGAAGAGGCAAAAAAGCAGCGGCAAACAAACTTTGCGATCTGGCATCACAAAACTGTGTTGCACTGCGGCTGCGCCGTCATAAGAGCGCCGGGCTTTTTTTCTTGTTTCCTCGTGACGGAACTCATTTCGTGTCCTTCTTTTTTTTTGCGTCACCTGCATTTTCGTTCCTTTTGCCCAAAGCTTGACAGCTGCGCATAATTTCATACGACGTAATCAGCCTACTCTCATTACCTTTCTTTCCTTCTCTCTTCTTTTCTTCATTTTCCTGTGTTTTTTTGTTTTTTTTTGACTCTCCTTCACATCAAAACAAGATGCCCATCATGGGCTGGCTTTGGCCCTGGAAGGTAAACACTTCTTCTCCCTGGCTCTAAACATCTGGCTAATCTGGCAACCTCTCCGGCGCGCTGTGCAGAGAAGCGACCCCTCTCCAGCTTCCTTCGAAAAGGCCCTCTCCGGCCTCTCCAAGAAGATTGCCACCACGCAATCTCGCCTTGAGTGGACTCGTCTGCGGTTCCGCAAGATCAAGGTGCTGGGAACGCTGTATACGTCCTTTGCCTATCTGGTTGCCGTCATTGTCCTGCTGCTGGTTGTTGGATATCCAAATCTGGGGCCCATGGACTGGACTGGCATGGCCGGAGGTCCTGTATTGTGAGTTGTTGACCTTTCAGTCTCTCTGCTTGCTCTCTGCGCCTCATCCTTCTCTTACTCTGGTTGTCCTCCCTTCTCTTCCCTCTACACTTTTCCTTCACATGTCTCACTCTTACCCCTCACACTCACTGTCACCTCGCTTTCTTCTGTGCCTTGCTTGATTTGGGCCTTGCAACTGCAAGACTTGATGTAATCACACTCAATATCTACCTATATAAACAGTAATAGGGGTTGGTGGATGCAGATTGAATGGACAGCACCTTCCCATACTTGCATGTCACTTAAGCTCACAAAACCCTAGCATCTACACTACGCGCGTGGTCATCACAGGCTACTACAACTTTCGGATTGAGAATCTCGAAGCAAAGCTAAAGGCCCTTCAAGAAGAGCGGCAGGACACCATCCAGAAGCTCAAAGAGGCAACCAAGTATGAGTCTACTCTTGAGCTCCTTGAAAAGTATGGTGGTGCGCAAGGCAAAGACGGCAACCCCCAGATTAAGATCAAGGAAGACGCTCCGCAGCAACAGCAACAGGCTGGATTCACGCTGCCTGAAAGAACTCACATCCCACCCCCAGCAACTGCAAACATCCCTCGGCGTGATCTCTCACCGGCCTCCTTCGCCAGCAGCAGGCCGGTTACCCCCCTGACCCAAAGCGTCACTTCAAACGACGAGCCGAGCGCCATTGGCCAGCACCTGCTTCGCCCCCAGTCCGCCCAGAGCCAGCACCACGGCTTCCCGCCACCGCCGCCTCAGGCCGCCGCAGAGCCTCACTGGTACGACCGCATCTTCGACGTCCTCCTCGGCGAGGACGAAGCCGCCGCCAAGAACCGCATCGTCCTGATATGCCAAGTCTGTCGCCTGGTCAACGGCCAGGCCCCACCCGGCACCAAGAGCCTCAGCGAGCTCGGCATGTGGAAGTGCATGGCCTGTGGATCGCGTAACGGCGAGATGGATGAGGGAAAGCGCATAGTAAGAGAAGTTCTTAAATCGCACGCCAAGAAGGGGGGCAAAGCAGCAGCTGCCCAGGACAACACCACCAATACTGCCACAACTCTCGTAACTGACCTTGGTGACGATCAAGCCGAGCCTGAAACCAGCACGGAGAGCCAGCCTACGACGCCCCTTTCCGCTGCTTCGCAGCCCCCTAGCCCCTTGGAGGACAGCCATCCCGCAACGCTCAAACCCAGGCGTTCTACTAGAAACAAGAGGTCGTAGTAGGGGGCTGAGGAGGGTCTTTCAGGGGTATCTTGAAGGGTAATATGGGCCATGGATGGATGGAGTAGGGATGGTGGGTAAAGGAGGGGGTTTTCTCTTTTTTTTTTTTTTTCCAACTCTTTTTTTCATTTGTGTTTTTGACAAAAGGGCTATCTACTTGGGGGAAAAAAAAAATCAAGAAAATTATCTGATCCCTGTTTTCGAAAAAAATACGGGGCTATATATCGTTTGAACACGCGTAAATGAGGTCTTGTCGATGGTGGTCCGTGTACATGTACAGAGTGACATATCCACTCCAAAAGGCCAGAGTCGTCACCACATATTTGCTGCATATGAATTCATGCACGATATCATCACCACTAGAATGTGAAGTCATAGACAAGATTATCAACTTGCAAAGCGTTGATGCCTGAGGCAGCAACTAGCTCTCTTCTTCATCGTCACCAGCGTCCAGTGCCAATCTTGTCGGCAGCTCGCATCTTCACAATATCACGTAGTGGCGTTGACAGGGTTTCGGCTGAAAAAGAAGAAGACAGGGAAGCAATGAGCTGCAAGGTACCGCAAGGCTGGCTGCAAGGCTGGGGATGAGGATGTGGCTGGCGACAAAAGGTGACTTAAGCATGGCTGCCACGCAAGCAAGTTTGAAACTCTAAAAAAGCTACTTCTATTTTCAGTTGCCATGATGGGCGGGGTACAACGAACTAGCAAAGTCTGAATGAATACATGTAAGTGAGTGGGCTCTGCCTCACTCCAGCTAGAGAATATCGTCAATCATCAATACCGCAGTCGCCATCTCTGGGTTGATGAGCGCGCTCAAAAATTGTATTACTGCATGAAAATGACACACACACACAACGCCTGACGATAGGAATCTCTATGCGCGATCGCGGGTTTTTGACGCATCAAGTCTACACGGCTCCCCGTTTATCGTCTCCGCACCTCCGTCGCCCAGCCGTCGATGCCCTCGCCGCGGCCTCCAACCTCCAGCCCCTCAATCTTGACGCCCTTCATGCCGGGGGTATCGTCCAGCCATGGATGGCCGGCCATGCCGCCGGCGTTTGCTCGCTTCTCGGGCACGAGCTCCAGCATCGGAGTCAGGAAGGCGGAGATGCGCTTAGCCTCGTCCTCTTTGAAATGGTATTTCTCCTTCAGGACGTCGGGCAGCGCCCAGTGCCTCAATCTGTGAATGTGTCGCAGCTCGCCCTTGCGGTTAAAGATTTCCTGGCTCCACTTGCCGCTAAGGCAGAGAGAGCGCGGGAAGGGGCCAAGCAGTTCGATGATTTGCGCAATGTGGTCGTCGTCCTTGCCGTATTTTGTGCCCGATTGTGGATCGAAGAGGTAGTCGCCCGTAATCAGCTCAAAGACCTGTTTGCGAGATGAATGGTTAGCAGAAGAGCGATGAAATGATGTACATGATGAGGAAGAGGAGGGGACGGCGGGGTATTTTAGAGAAAAGAGAGACAAAAGACTCACCATGGCAGACATGCTCCATACATCTGTACTTGCTCCCCATTTCGCTCCCAGTATCACCTCCGGCGACCGATATTGTCGCGTCTGGATATCATTGGTGAAATGGTGGTTAACCCAACACGCGTTACCCAGATCTGCAATCTTGACGCTAATCACATCATGGCCATCCTCGGTCGGGGTGTTGAGAGAAATTCCTGAGACTTCGCGAGACAAAAGGTCACTGGCAACGGTGCTTGACGTTAGATGCATGGAAACAAAGGAAATGCCAACAATGGCGAAGCTGATGCGACATGGGAACGGGGTGACTGATGGTCGAGACTTACGCAGACTTTTCTCTCTTGTTATGAGCATCCTCGGCCTTTAGAGAATCATCTTTTTGCTTACCCGCTGCCAGTGTTTGGTTAGAGACATGTTAGACAACAAGGGTGTCGGGTCAGTGGCAGACATACCTTCCGTCTTACCAGAGGCTCGATCAATGCTCGAGTATGGGGCGTGCAAATAGGATTCAAAGTTGCCGTGGAGGGGAGATGGCAGCGGCTGGCTGCCTGTGATGAGAGTCCTACGCCTTCTGCGGCCGTTGCGATTGTTTTCCTTGTCGTCCTTGTCGGCGCCCTGGGGCAGGACCCTCTTGACAATCTGCTCGACGTCGCCAATCTCGATGAGGACGTTCTCGGGCTTGAGGTCGGTGTGGATGATGCCGCATTCGCGGTGCAGGTAGTCCAGGCCCAGCAGCACCTGCTTGGTGATTTGCTTGACCAGCGGCATGGGGATGCCGCGGTGGTTCCAGCGCTTGATGAGGCCCAGCAGGTTCTCGCCCAGCACCTCAAAGACCATGCACATGTGGGTGCCGTTGGGGCCCTTGTGCTCAAACGAGTCCAGCAGGCTGACGACGTGCTTGCGGCCGGGGTGGTCGGGATTGGCCTGGACAATCTTATTGAGCAGCTTGATCTCGTCGACGGCCGTCTCGGTGTAGTGCGTGGCGGACCGCACCACCTTGAGCGCAACGTGCTTGCCGTTGCTGTTGTCGCGCGACAGCCACACGGTCGAGAAGTGGCCCCATCCCAGCTTGCGCACCACCGTGTACCGGCCGTCCTTGAAGTTCTCGCCAATCTGGACGGGATGGTAGCCGCCCTTGCAGTAGTCTTCGGAATCCTCCTCGTCGGCCGTGTTCTCGGCGGGGTCGTCGGCCGTGGACGCGGAGGACTGTGAGCGAGTCATGGAGGAGCTCGGCAATTGCTGGGTTCTGCGGCGCGCGAAAGAGCGAGACGGAAGGCGCGGTCAGCCGGCGATTGCGCAACGAGGCAGGAGCAGAAACGAGATGGAATGGAGAGGGGAGGAGAGGCTGATGAGATGGAGATAAAAGGGTTGGAGTTTGGTTTGGCTGGTTTGGAGAGACTGGCGGGCGCAAGGGATGGCGGCACATGATTGGGCGGTCAGCGCGCGAAGAGGGGGCAGAATGAGGCTAGCGGTGGAAGAGGCCAAAAGCACGCTTTGCGGGGTGACGGCATCACCAAAATCCGGCATCAGCGCCCAGCAACGGCCTCGGAGGCGCCAGATGGATGATCAACTGCTGCTATTGTGCAGCCCGCAGCTACCAGCAAGCAGTACATGGCGACAGAGGGCAGTGGCAAGCAGAAAGTAGCAGCCAGCAGCGGCAAGCAGAGGCCTGAAGCGCAAAGGCGGGCCGCCCACTTGGGCACGATAGATAAGGCACATGTGTATGTGGCGTACATGTATGTGATGTATGTGATGTAGCAGCAGGTAGGCAAAGAATTAAACCCCCCTTGCACTGGGGGTTTGAAGGGGGGGCAAGTCCCCGTTGCTTGGGGAAAGGGGGGTAATTTTTAAGGGGAATTAAAAGAAGAAGAAAAGAAAGGTTCAAAGAAGAAAGAAAGGCAACAATAAGATGAAAAGGAATAATAGCAAACAACACAGATGCCCAAGGTGGGCGAGTGAAAACTACCACATACCTAGTCTTAAGGAAGCTCATGTTGCCGTTGACATTATGCGGCGTCGCTGTGGTAAATGGTTGGGCGGTGATGTCAGGCGGCCGGATCTAAATCTCCCAAGGCCGCATAAATAGGCAGACTGAGCACGATGAAGAAGAGGCGTCTATTTCAGTTAGGCGAGCAGAGAGCGGAATATTGGAGCAAATGTAATGCAAAAGAAATGAGAATCAAAAGCGAATGCAAGCAGGCAAGGACGGCAGAGGTGAGATCGGGTGGCGAGTCAGAGGCGCGGGCTTTTCTTTCTGGGCAGCAAAAATCGATGAGACGTGACGGGTGAGGGTGAGGGTTTATCGGTATCGTGACAAAGTGGCAGATAGAGAGGAGGGAGGAAGAATGAGAAGCGGAAGAACCAAGAGGTACAGTAGCATTGGCGTGAGACTCGCTGAGCACAGCACACGCTCAAACACGCACTCATACACGCACAGAGGACCACTCGAGTTCTAGCGTTCAGGCTTCATTGGCTGGGCACGCCATGATGACGGCGACCAGCAGCTGAAAGCGGCGCCAACCAGCTTCAAGGCTGGGGCGTTGTCCATGCTCCAAGGCCTCCAGTGGGGCCATCACAGGCGCTCTGCAAGCGGCAAAGCGCCCTGAAGCACTGCCTTGCGGGACAAAGCATTTGGAGGCAACAAAATGACTAGCAGTAGCACACGATGTTGAAGGACAAGATGTGAGATGAGGACGGAGACACCAGGGCCCTGTGCTTTGTAATGCCATGGACAAGTATCATTCATGTAGGCACAATGTACACGGCTGGGACAGACAAGCAAACGGGGGATGCCGAGCAGCACAGCACACACAGGTGGGATCGGCACGGCATTCAGACCGTACATATGCCATGGGGGAGCAAACAGAGTCAACGGCAAACGACTCCGTAAATCTACATCACAGTAATAAACCGAAGCCCCCGTAGGAAGAGGAGGAGATGATGAAAATTCAAATCGCTTCAGGAGAGGAGATATGGAAAACCAAGTCAAGACTTCAACTCAGCACACCAAGCTCGTCACTTGACAAAGCTGGCTGAAGCAGGCAATCAAAACAGAAACCATGTGGTCTTTTTGGGCTGAACAACGCCCAAATGCCGTGCTGGAAAGGCACCAAAAGCGTGGTGGAGCCAGCCATGTCATAAAGCGGGCACAAGCCACGGAAAGAATGAGGGGCAGGGCAGTGGCTTGTGGTTGCGGCACGCCTATCAAGCAGATCGAGCAGCTTTGCGCATGGCATGCTAAAAGGCTAATGTAAGACGGCGGGCAGGGGAAGCAAACAGGAACTCGGCATGATGCGTGATGTGACGGTGGAGTTGGGCAAACTCGGTCAGGCACCCGGCCAGGCGTGTTGCCAATCAGCTCTCGAGCGCATCCTTGCGCAGCTTTGCGCGCAGCTCGGATTCTGCTATATGACGACGTGCTGCAGATTGACGAGGAGAGAAGAGAGAAATGGAGCACGAGAGAGAGAGAGTCGGTTGCAGAGGCGAGCAAAAGAGGAGATTTGAACAGGTACTCAGCAGGTGGAAATTGCATAAAGAATCAAATCTGATGACATACCAGAGTTCTCACCTGCAGGATGACGTTGTTCCGCAGAAGAAGAAAAGACGAGGAAAAGGCGACCGAAACTCAAACACGACGAGGAGGAAGCAGTAAGCAAAGCAAATGGTATAAAAAGCAAACGAGGATAACAGCAGAGGAAAAGGAGCAAATGATGGATGAGAGATTGTGAGAACTGGTTGTGGCCAGCTGGAGGAAAATGGTGGGAGGTGGCAGAATAAAGGTGGTGAAGCTCAATCATCCATTGCTACCGGCGCTCTTTCTCTCTCTGCGCAAGTCATAGCAAAAAGCACTTGGCAGATACCTGCCCTCAGACATAATTTGGCAATGCTAGGAGGTACTGCACAGGAACCGTGCAGTACGCGATGCTCGACCGACTTTTGAGCATGTTGTTTCAAATGACGAATATCAAAGAAAGTTCAGGCAAGAGGCAAGAAAGAGAGGCAGGAGAGAGACGCAAGAAGAATTCGAGGCGCGCAATTAGCCACCGCAAGAGATGCGCAGTTGTTGGCTGGGGCTGCCTGTAGATTTGGAGATGTCGAGCTGCGAGACGGATGCTCTATTCGGTAAGCAGATTTTGCTGCGAAATCGGATTCAAATCCAAAAGAAGGGAATAGGCGGGAACAAGAAAACCAAAAATTGATTTTTTTTGCCTATTTGGATGGGAGACTAGTACCATCGGGTACTGCGCTTTCAATTTTCAAAGCTGAGCCGGATTGGCCATGCGAAAGAAAAATCTCCTGTTGTAAGACGACTGCGTCAGCCGAGATCGACCCACGAGAGCGGCCGGCTAAGATGGGTGGCAACACTTTACGCTTCAGGTAATGTGCTTTTTCTCCTCGTCTTTTTTGGGCCAGTTGATGACTTGCTAAGCGGTTTCACCTTGGCAGGAAGTAAGGCTGCACGATTACGAAGAAATGTCGAAAAGCAGCATCATTGCAAGGGGCGCATCTCCACGAGACAACACACTGCCCGAGATGCTGTAGGGTGATATACCTCTGAGCTGACTTGCTACCAAGAGGGAGGTCCGCCCGATCCGGTCTGGGCTTAGCAAACAGGCGCACCAAACCCGCTCTCGTGGCTCTCTACACGTGCAACTGAGAAATGTGGCTGGCAACACTGGCGATCAACACATGCTTGATAAGTTGGGGGCGCCAACAGGCTGAAGATGGGTCTCTGTAGGAAGTATGACGCTGCTGGCACTAAGAATGCAGTCCATCAACATCCACACCATCCTCGGCCGAGAGAAGCGTTGATGGCTTGATGGCCCAGCTGAAGAGCAGAAAAGACCGACTCCACCCATGGAATTCTTCTCTCCTTCTTTTTTGCCCGTTCTTCCATTTAATCTCGGCTGCGCTGTTGAGTATGGGGTTGTTGGGACTCCCTCTCCACATTCAGAGCCTATCGCGCGATCTCGACTTTCCGCGGCATGTACGGAGCAAGTACATACGAATGTTTTGCAGTCTTGGATCTACGGGGAGCCATTGCGATTCCGACTTCTCCCTTTGGTGCTGTCACATGTGACGTATCACACCAATAGTTCTCTTTTCCACTCGTCTAATTCGAAGCAGGCGTTGAAGTATGCGCAGACCGGAGCCAAAGGCAGCACGGACGCCGCAATTATTTTTAGAGCATACTTGAATCTCTTTAAACCACACAGTCAAATACTGGTATGTAGTATTGGGTCATGTAGCTCTCTTCCTTCTACATCTCTCCTGTCTCAGCATCCCGAAGAGCTATGCGCATTAACAATCATCGAAACAGCAGGGAGCACCACAGCACCACCTCGTACGATTCTACATCCATGTCCGGAGCGCGGAAGGCGACAATACCAAGGTGCCAAAGTCATAGGGTTTGACGTCTAGAAAATTGCCGAATGCTACCAAGAGCTGGTACCCAGGTAGGCCTAGGTGGTATTGCTGGTGGATCAAGCAGCAGCTGACGAGTCTCAAAGGGGGAAACGACCTGTGGCTTCACAAATAAGCACCACGCACCGCACGCATACCGTATCTTATACGACTGGCTCCCCCCGTGGGAAGATTATAGGGATTACAAGGAGCTGTTCCGTCATCTCCAAGGTGTCGCAAGCGCAAACCGCCGCCCGTACGTGCAAGGGTTTGTTATTTCGACGCATCGCGATGCTGTTCATGCAAAGAAGCACGGGGGACGGTCTTTTCCGTAGCGCGGCCATACGACCCATTCCATGATGAATGTCCGTCCCGAGGTGCTACTGCTGCTGCCACTGGTAGCTGTCCCAATTCCAATCAGGACTAATATGCACATGCGGACCCTTATTAGTCTCGCCGTCTGTCATCCGCCAAAGTGCGGCCCGTGTTGGTCAGAGTAGCGGCATCAAACCATGTGGATAGGGCTGGAGCCTCAGTCCCGGATACTACCATGCAGTGCTCTTGCTAGTATCTGTCTGGATTTCCAGTACAAGTACCTATGACTACCGCTGTTACAACACTACTTATATACGGATGAAGTTACCAATTACGCACAAGACAAAGCCCAGTCCATCCGATACACATGAGGGGCATTGACCGGAGAAGCCTTGTGCGTCTCCTCATGTTTGCTTTTCCCCCTTGTTCCTAGCCGAGCTCAAAGTCTCTTCCAAAAGAATCACAACAGATGCTACTGCCGAACGCTGACAAGTCAACGAACCCTGCAAGACAAAAGGGTAGAATCCCTTGGTATTTGCCGCGGCTTGATTGGCCCCCAGTTCCCGGTTCTCGGCAAGTGACCTTGCATATATTGCCCGCACAGCATACCAGGAACCAACAAGGCTCAAATAACAGGGTGTCTACAAGACCAGAGAAATTTTTTATCCTTTTTGTTATATCCGCCTAATGGCGTGTTGTTGACGGCAAGCCCCCATTTTTAGTCGTTCGATTTTTCGGCCGCCCCAGAAGACTAGGGCGCCAATCTACAAAGACCCTGATGCAATAGTTTAATTTGGGAGTGACAGCATCCCGGCGGAATAACCGATTGCTCGCGTGCTTACCGGCCATTGTCCACCTTTTTTTGTCTTTTTTCTTTTCTTTTTGTCTCGCCTCTGGACTCCTAATTGGTTTCCAAGTTCCGACTCGGCAGGGCTCTATTTCCATGGGTCCGAGGGAATAGTGCGGGTCGAGTCTTGTTGTAAGTTGTACCTATTCTAGAACGGGCGCCTCAGATTGGTGCTTTGTGAGCCGTTCCCACGGAGTCAAGCCCCCCCCCCGGTCTCGAATCATACGATTCCACTCGGTCTTTGAAGCCTCCATCGACGCAAGTGTGATGCAGAAAACGCGGTGACGTTTTGTATAGCGAAAGGATCAGAAGGGATTCAGATTTTTTTTCTTTTTTTTTTTTTTTCGTTTTTTTTTTTCTCTCTAGTTGCTGCCGGGATTGGCGCTGTGAAAATGCGGCATGAATGCGGCTTTTGGACCGGGTCATTACGGGGAGAAGGCGAGACAAAGTCGTGCCATGATCTTTACTTTTGTTGAATCTGTGGACCTTTTCTTGAAAATCTTTTTTTATAGATAAACGTCTTCGGGCCTGTCTGTCCCCGGGATCTTGAAATCTTTCCTTCTCCGCATATAACCATTAGGCATATATAACCTTGATTTCCCACTGCTTGTTTGTTTTCCTACGGAGTATCACTGCTACTGTTTTTTTTCATTCTCCAAGTTCCTGTCGTGTTAGTGCTTGATAGTGTTTTGAAAGTGTCTTTGTTATATCTTCTTGTACTATTACCATCTACCCTTGACTTCCACTCAGAGCAGCCAGCATCTTCAGCATCAACTCAGACAATGGCCTTGACTGCCCAACAGGTCAAGCTAGTCAGGGATACCATCCCAGCCCTGACGGAGCATGGAGAGCTCATTGCCAGCACCTTTTACGGCAACATGCTCAGAGCCCACCCCGAGCTCAACGACTACTTCAACACGGTCAACATGGCCAACGGCCGCCAGCCCCGGGCCCTCATTGCCATCATCCTCAGCTTCGCCAACAACATCACGCACATCACCGAGCTGATCCCCAAAATGGAGCGCATGTGCCAGAAGCACTGCTCGCTGGGCATCTTGCCCGAGCACTACGACATTGTGGGCAAGTATCTCATCGCCGCCTTTGGGGAGATCCTCGGCCCGGCCATGACCCCCGCGGTGCAGATTGCCTGGAACAAGGCGTACTGGGTGCTCGCAAAGATGCTCATCGGGCGAGAAGCCCAGCTGTATCACGACTGGCAGCATTGGCAGGGCTGGCGGCGCTTCCGCGTCCAGCAAAAGGTGGAGGAATCCGACGACGTCTTCTCGTACTATCTAGTCCCCGAGGATGGCAAGCTGCTGCCGTCGTTTATGCCGGGCCAGTACGTCTCGGTGCGTGTCATGGTGCCCGAGATTGGATACTGGCAGAACCGGCAGTACTCGCTGAGCGAGCAGCCCAAGCAGGACTTTTACCGCATCACCATCAAGCGTGATCGGGGAGCGCAGACGGTCCGCCAGCCGAGCTATCTGTGGTCCTCGTACGGCACGCATCCCGGCGTCGTGTCCAACATGATCATCGACCAGAAGAACGTCGGCGACATTCTCGAGCTCACGCATCCCGCGGGCGAGTTCTTCCTCGACACCTTCAGCACGGCCAACGCGCCGCTGGTGCTGCTCTCCGCCGGCGTGGGCGTCACGCCCATGGTGTCCATCCTCAACGCCGTCATCGACAAGCAGCCCAGCCGGCCCATCTCCTGGATCCAAGGGTCGCGGGACTCGGTGCCCTTTTACCTGCACGTGCGCAAAATCGCCCGCGACAGGCCCAGCATGAAGGTCAACATCTTCAAGACGCAGCTTGCGGACTCCGACCTGGCGGGCATCACGTACGACCACGACGCAAAGATTGACCTTGCAAAGGTGCACCGGGAGGACCTCTGGCTGGACAACTCGACGACGGAGTACTTTGTCTGCGGGCCGGAGCAGTTCATGATGGAGATGGCGAAGCGGCTGAGGGAGTTTGGCGTCGGCAGCGACAGGATCAAGCTGGAGCTGTTTAGCACGGGCGATACCGAGTTCCAGGTCGATGCGCTGAGTATTGCTTCGGGCCGGTCGTTGGGGGCGCCGAGGTCTGGAGTGGCTTCTGGAGCGGCATCTACGAATAGCGGCGGCGATTAGAGAAACGACGACGACGACGACGGGGAGTGTTTAAAGACAGCAACGCAAACGCAACGCAGATTGCATATTACATCAAGATGATTTCTACACAACAATTAACGCAAGTCAAGGAAACGAAACGTAATGGGTCAAATTGGTTGGAGCATAGATGGTAGATAAACCCAGGCAACATGGAAAGGGATTTTGATTGGAATGGATGGATGGATGGTATTCTTTTTTTGGAACAACTTTTTTTTTTTGGAATCATGCATTGTTTTTACAAGAATGGTGGTTAGAGAGAGATGGAGCATAACGACATGTTTGAATATTGAATACAACACCATTTCTCCTCCTTTGAAGCACCTGTACGTATTAGAATTGGATAATACCTACAAGAGAACACAGCCACATGACTCTCCTGTACCTTATCAGACCTTCATGTCCAAGTCTATCTTTGCCAAGCTCCTGCAGTCCCTCTTTGAGAATTCCTCGCAGAGTCGCTTATCTAGTCCCACCGCTGCGTGGATATGGAGGATCCGTCACATGCAGCTTTGCCTTGCTTTGCTGCCTGTATACGTACACGAGATGTTATACTCAATCACTGTTGGCTACCAAACTGCTTAGCCCCTTGTGGCGGTCTAGCCCTCTGTCTCTCCTCTTCTTCTAGGGAAGCTTCATGACGAATTCTTCATCCTTGACGGTGGATCTCTGCCGCCCGTCCTTAATCAAGCTTGTTCTGGGAGGAGCCGTCACCGCGTCGTCGGGGAAGACTCCCTAGCTGTCGATCTTCCATGTATGGCGCTCCCCTTTCAAGATGGGCTCAATGGGTCATCGTTGAGGGGGAGGTCCCTAATACACGCAGCAAGATGAGCATTTGGCATTCTTCTATAGTTTCATTCCATGTTGGCATGCTTTCCAGTCCGTTATCCTCAACACAAACCTGGCCAAACCTATACCCGCAACCGAGGCAAAGTGTGCTCCTTCGAACCATCTCTTCTCCACTTTTGCTCCCCTAGAGTAGAGTAGCGTAGCATTAGAAAAAGCCATGGCAAGCAGCTACAGTAGAAGCTGAATAGCTCCCTCCGTACGTTGGCCAATTACCGCTCCTCTGCCATCACAGTGTGATTCTTGCCGCATCCTTTCTGCACGGCAGCTGTATGCAGCATACAGCAAGCGAGAACGAGGGAACATCAGTCAGCAGGCAATCCTTCATCGCTCAACGCTGCAGGGGCATTCCATGTTTAGTCATTTTGAACCATTGCATATACGATACAAGCTCCGGCTGTAACAGTAGTGGCACAGAAGCCCTACACCATCCATTGGCTCTTAACACCGAGCATGGCTTGCTTGGACCTGGCTTAATAATGAATGGGTGGTGTGTGTCCTCCAAGGGTTTGCGTTTCCGTTCCCCTTCCCACCTCGCATGAATATGACTTGTGATAGTTTGCGTTTCTCCTGCTTTCGTGCATGCGGCCTGGCTCCCAGCAATATTTGCCGAGTAGACAGGTATGCTATCCTATTGCAGGCATTTGTCTGGGTAGTCGAGTTGCTTTTTTGGGTAATTAGTAGCGCTTCGGGCTCTTCGGTTATTCTGTAGTAGTCGTAGTTATACGGCTCCGAGTGTGCGGACTTTGCTTTAGGCGAGTCGGATGCCTCACTGTGTGCGGAGATGGCCATTTCTTATGCACATCGGCTCAAGGGACAAGTGAAGCAAAGAATGACTCGTACTAGCAATGACTTTGAGGTTGCTCACAGTAACAGAGGACGGCTTAAATCGAGCTGTCAAACATCAAAGGCGTTTAGGCTCATACCCGCTCTCCCCGAGTAGGTAGTCTCGTCGGTAGGGCGAATCTTGGCGCCTTTCGCGGACGCCTCCCGTCAGCACTTTCAGCGCGCCCATCAGCAGCCTAATGATTTAAACTCCATAACGGGTATCGGCAAATCGCTTCTGCGTGTTTGTGGCCGTCGCGATTAGTGCCTAGCAGCAGATTCTAGGCTGTGGGCTTGGTCCATGATACGCGTCCTTAGCCGGAGATCTACTCCGTGGAAGCCTGCGAGAAGCACCTTGGCCAAGAGGCAGACGGCGGACGGATAGCTCGCCTCGACGCTGCTAATCGCAGGCTGTGCGGCTAGTTTTGGAATACCGCCATCGTAGAAATCTGACCAGTCTCTTTTGTGCTTGACGTTGCTGTTGCTCTGGTCGTGACGAGGCCGCTGACAGCAAAACGACTACGAGCTTTGCCTGCCTAGCACAAATCCAAGGGCATCCATCCGTTGAAGATTTGCTGCGATTCGCCTCACCCCCTTTTTTTTTCCACCTCTCAGAAACCCGTGTCTCTCGCACACTCTTTCTTTCCTTCTCTCTTCTCTCAGTAAACCTGGTCGTGTGTGATTTCTCTCTTCTTTTTCCAAATCAATCATACCATGACTCTCGCCCCTTTGCCTTTGTTTTCTCCCAGCAGGAATGGCTAATTGGACTGGCAAAACAATCGGCAAACTTACCCCGCGTCTCTGTCTCTCTAATCCTGTCCTCGCATTTCCTTCGCTGCCTTTTCTCGCTTTCATAATTTTTGGGGGGGCCCCAGCCAGGTCCAGGCCTTTGTGCTGATCTGGAAGAAGGCTTTCGAATCCTTGCGCGCGGCCTGAGCGTCGACTGCTTCTCTCTTCCGCCATTTCGCAGGCCACCAACCCCGGCCGGTTTTCTCCTCTATTCATTCCAAGGACACTTTTTTTTTTTTTTACCGCCAGTGTGTAGCATTTTAATTCTTTTAGCAAGCGATATTGAAAAGCTGCCTTTGATATTGGCCTCTTCTTCCCTTTTATAATTTTTAGCATGTCTTGAATCCGTTTCGTCTTCTTCTTTTTTTAACCGATTTTTTTTTTCTTCTTTCCTTCTTTTGAGGCTCAACTGTTGGTTTGTAATTCAAAGTCCCAGCCACACAAGGCTTGTCCGGGAGATCAAACGAGTTGCCTGCATGGAAGAGCCGGTCAACATCTTGGACACTTGAATTTACCAGTTTGTCCGCGACTCGTCATGCCACGCAGAGTCAGGAAGACGCCGTGGAGTCGCACAGGGTGCAGCACCTGCAAGCGCCGGAGAAAGAAATGTGAGCTTTTTCGCCCGTTTGTTTTAGTTCCATCCCCAAGCTCCAGTCCGTCCCGATCCAAGCTCCAGGCGTTAAAACTCCGAGCCGACGGGTCTCTTTGGAGAAGGCATCGACGGCTCTCGCGGGATCCCGCGTGTGCGTCAGACACCAAACAAAGACGGAGAGATGCAGGGACAGAACAACAGACAAGATGACTGACTTTGACCTTTTGAATCTGCAGGTGACGGCCAGAAACCAAAGTAAGTCGATATGCTGTGTCGGAAGGGTTGTCAACGGCTCTAGAAAGATTCTAGCCGACTTTGCCGCCCCTACTACGATGATTCTTACGGCTTTGGGCATTTATAAATAGATTTTTTAAACCAGGGAAATCCACTAACGGCACGGCCTTGTTAGATGTCAGACTTGTCTTCGGCTGGGCCTGGAGTGCGTGCAGTTCGACATCTTCTGTCCCATCAACGTCGTCACGCCGACTCGCGATTCGCGGCCGACCAGAGCAGTGACCGACGGCGAGGACCAGGAGGAGTCGAGCCCGTCCTCGTCGGGGTCGGCTGATGACGCGGATGTCTCCAGCAATGCGGCGGAGTCGTCGCCATCGTCATCTTCGTCTGTGGCGCTGATCCCGGCATCGACAGCATCAACAACGGTATGGCGACACTCGGAGCTGATGCTGTTGGACTCGTCCCCGCCACCTTCATCATCTTCATCTTCATCACCGCCCTACGGCCAACAGCAGATCGTCTTCCGCACTCGCGGCAGCGCATCGGCCATGCGGCACGGGCCGTCCATGGCCGGGCCAGTGCCGTCGCTGTCTGCCTTTTCCTACCTGTCTACGAACCAATACTTTTTCCTGCAGTACTACCTGGAGCGGCTCAGCAACGTGCTGGTCAACGCCAACAGCGATTCCAACCCGCTCAAGTCGCTCATCTTGCCGCGCATCGCCTCGTCGAATCTGCTGCTGGACGCCATCTGCGCCACGGCGTCGTTGCACCGGTCCAGCGCATCTGATGCGGATCGATCGGCGTACTCGAATGCGGCGACGCGGTACTACGTCCGTGTGCTGTCTGCCGTGCGCGATTTGATCCCCCAGGTGACCAATTCGAGCTCAAAGTTGCTGAAACCGGGCAGCAGCGGCGGTATAATGATGATATCCGAAGAACCAAGTCCTGGCAGCAGCAAAGGCAGTAGAGGCAGCAAGAACGGCGACAAAACCAGTAAAAAGAACCTTGACAAGAACTTTAACAGGAACAGGAACAGCAAGAACAAGAGCAAGGCGGCGGCGGGCGTCGAGGACGTTGAAACGGCTGAAATGGCCATCCTGGCGTCCATTTTCCTCTGCAAGTACGAGATTATCAAAGACGGCGTAGAAAGCTGGCGCCTCCATCTCAAAGGCATCGAATCGCTTTGCCGGTCACTAAGCGCCGACCAGACGGCTTCCATGGCCAACACGCTGGCCTATGTTCGCAGTTTGTAAGCCACCATGGAGCCCTGAAAACGATGGACATCAGCAAGACTAACCAGGATTTGCAGCATGTCGTATCATAAAAACATTGCGCGCGTTACCGAATATGCGCCGCATTCGACAGAGGACGAGTTTGAGCACGAGCCGTTTGAACTTGGCAAGCTGTTCCCCGTAGATCCGTACATGGGATTCTCCCAGAGTCTCATCATTCTGCTGGGCCGGGTCAGCGATCTGTTGGTGATTAACACGAGAGACGGGCCATACGAGCTGCGGCGAGAAATAGAGACACTGTATGTAAAGACCAAAGCCTCTCACTCTTCTCCTCAAACTCCCTGCTGTTGCTTCCTGACTGACTCCCCGTGTTTAATAGATTAGAGTTGCTTTCCAGGAGAAGCTGGGACGCAGACCGCTTCGCCATTCCCCAAGGCATGGGCATGTCGACGATTGAAAACTCAACCACCATTGCCGAGGCGTATTATTGTGCCGTCATCGCCTGTATCCATGCCGTACTCGAAGTTGTAGCCGAGAGAGAAGCCGCAGCCGCCGCCTCTCCCATGATCATGACTGAGGAACAGTTTCAGTTTGGGTCTTCTCAATTCCAGCCTTCATCGCAGCCCTTTATCGACTGGGCATCACTGCACGCCCTTCTTCCAATGTCCAAAGCCGATGCTCTGACCGAATGCCTTGCCGGCATAGCGCGGGTCCCGCTTGGAGCCCCGGAAGAAGCTGGTCTTTTGCCGCTGCTCTTCATCGTGGCAGTCGAGACGACGCGAGAAAGTCAGGCACAGGAGGCTCTGGTGCGGGTCGAAGCTCTGGGGTGCCACATTGGATTGGGAAACGTGCAATGTGCGAGCGATTTGCTCAAGCAGGTGTGGCAGAGGCGGGCGACGCAGCCGAATTTTCATGATTGGCGAGGACTATTGGCGCAGCTGCAGTGGGATCTCATCATCACTTGAAAAACTCGCAAGGTACATGGAGCTAGTTTCTGTGAAGTGGTCCCTTGATCAACTCTATCTCATTGTTCATGACTGGCATGAAAGAGACGTGTCGCATTTTCAATCTAAAATGATGTCTTTTGTTGCTTGACTTGTACTTTCTCGACATCTTTGCTGTGGCTTTCCTAGCTCGTTTCACCTCGGTCTGGCGTTGTCTTTGTCCGCTATCGCTTTGCTATTATTCGTTCTGGAGCTGTTTCTGGGGCTCCATGCTTGACCAGTTTGTGATATCTGCAGAGTATCTCATGGGGCGCACAAGATATGGAGGATATGGCGTTATGTCGTAGCTGTTGATTGATAGCGAAAATGAAGAAACATTAGCCAAAATCGGCAAATCCCTGAGAATTCCATCATTAAAGGGCGACAAAAACCGGGGTTCTGTCACTGAGCTTTCTCTTAGCTCGACACACTTGGTTCAATGGAGTTTGGTGCAGTCTCCACGTTTTTGATTCCGAGAAAAAGTAGCGCCATTCTGCTTGTTTGTCGACTTGGACAAGTTGTGTGCAACTGCAAAGATGAACCTGACCAGCAGCAGTAAAAGAAGAGCACAAGCCAAATATATAAAAGAACAAAGCTGAAAAGGAGATGAATAAGAAAAAAAATAGACAGGAAGCCCCCCACAGCGGGATGTTTAGTGCGCGTATCTTTGGCCCAAACGGGGCATGGAAAAGGATGGCGGAGTGCGGCACAGTACAGCTACAAAGTATTTTGGGGAAGCAAAACCTCCGCATTTGTTGGCTGTTGGTTTCTTATTATGGGTGAATGGACGGACAGTCAGTTGTGGCTGCTGGCGTGTTATTTCCGGTTTGGGAAGCTCAGGCGTAACTTGTACCTTAGCTGGCCAAGATATGACAGTTGATCTGATGGTACTATCAGCAGGATATACTTTCTCAACCTGTAGCACTGGCTAGTGCCAAGACTAAGCACCGCATAGTACGAGCAATGGAGCAATGCACCGACTTACGTACTTTGTGTCACAACCGCTGGGACAGATGCTGCAGATAAGGCCATGGTTGGTATGTATAAGATGGCGGGTGGCCCCCCTTCTCGGTTCATCAAGCCCTGGGCACCTGTCACCTTCGGAGGGTTTCTGACTAGGCATCTTGGATCTCGGCTTCGTTACAGACTGGAGCGGCATATGAGACATCCTTGCTGAACAATACCTAGACGCTTTAGTGTTGGCACAGGGGTATAGGTATTATTCATAACCACATCTCACATACACCATATTGAGGGGTAGAAGCATAGAGGCAAGGCAAGAGAGAAAAAATGGGAGAGAATATACCTCGAGAGTATCCGGCCACAGTGCCTCACCACCATCCCTTCGATCCCATCCGCCCAGACGAAATCTCGCTCGCCACAACCATCCTCAAAGCCTCCTTCCCCGGCGTCAACCTCCGCTTCAAGGTCATCGACGTCAAGGAACCCATCAAGAAGGATGTCATCCCCTATATTGAGGCCGAGCGGACAGGCCAGCCGCTCTCCCCACCACCTCCACGCCTGCTGTTCAGCTACTTGCACCGACTGGACACCCATGCCTTCCTCAAGGCCGTCATCAACGTAGACACCAAGGCCGTCATCTCGCTCAAGGAGCTGCCGAGCCATATCCAGGGCCCGGTCGATGTCGACGAGATGATTGGCCTGGAGACGGTCTGCCTGCAGCACCCCCGAGTCATTGAGGAGATTGCCAAGCTGCAACTGCCGGAGGGAGTTACCGTCTGCACGGACCCGTGGATCTACGGCACCGACGACGAGAACGAGCACCGCCGCCTGGTGCAGTTTTACATGTTCATCGTGCCCGTGGACCATCCACAGTCAAACCACTACTCGCTGCCGTGTACCTTTTCTCCGGTGCTGGACGCCAACACCGGCGAGCTCGTCCGTATCGACTATCTGCCCACGGGGGGCGACCACAGCACCACCGAGACGCAGCCGTGGAAGCCTGTCAAGGCCGTTGAATACGCCCACGACCTCATTGAAACCCCGTTGAGGCAGGACCTCAAGCCATTGATTGTGCAGCAGCCCGAGGGCCCTTCGTTTTCTCTGGATGGCCAGCTCGTCCAGTGGCAGAAATGGAGGTTCCGCGTCGGCTTCAACTACCGCGAAGGGCTGGTGCTGTACAACCTGACCTTTGACGGCCGGAATGTCTTTTACCGCCTGTCACTGTCCGAGATGACGGTTCCTTATGGCGATCCACGACGGCCCTTCCACCGTAAGCAGGCCTTTGACGTGGGAGACGTTGGGTTGGGCATCACCTGCAACCAGCTCAGCCTGGGCTGCGACTGTCTGGGCCACATCAAGTACTTTGACGGCTTCCGCATCGACTCCCAGGGCCGGCCAGTGCATCTCCGAAACGTCATCTGCCTCCACGAGCAAGATGCCGGCATCCTGCACAAGCACACCAACTACCGTAACGGCCAAGCCACCGTTGTGCGAAACCGACAGCTGGTGGTGCAAATGATCTGCACCGTGTCCAACTACGAGTACATCTTTGCCTGGGTGCTGGACCAAGCCGGCGGCGTCGAGTTTGAGACTCGTGCCACGGGCATCATGTCGACCATCCCCATTGACGACGACAAAGGCCTCGATCTACCCTTCTCGACCCCCGTGGGCCCCGGCGTCTCTGCCCCGTTTCACCAGCACATCTTCAACCTGCGAATCGACCCGGCCATTGACGGCTTCAACAACACGGTTGTGTACGAGGACAGCGTGCCGCTGGTGCCTGAGGAGCACGGCATAGACGATCCCTACGGCGTTGGATACGTGGCCAGAACAACGGTGCTCGACCGCGCAGGCTTTTCCGACACCAATGTCGAGCTCGGACGAGTCTTCAAGATCCGCAACGACAGCGTCATCAACGCCATCAGCCGCAAGCCCGTCGCCTACAAGGTGCAGACGGTGGCCAGCCAGCGCATGATTATGTCGTCTCGCTCCTTCAACGCCCGCCGAGCGCGCTTCCACGAGCATCCCGTCTGGGTGACTCGCTACCAGGACGACGAGCTCTTTGCCGCCGGCGAGTTCACCAACCAGAGCCGTGAGAGCACCGGTGTAGACAAGTGGGCGGCGCGAGGCGATGATATCCTGGACAAGGACGTGGTGTTTTGGCACACGTTTGCGCTGACGCATAACCCGAGGACCGAAGACTTTCCGGTGATGCCTGTCGAGAAGCTGAGCGTGCACTTTAAGCCGAGCGGGTTCCACGAGAAGAATCCGGCCTTGGATGTGCCAAGTTCGCAGCAGGCAGTGAACAAGTCGACATTGGTGGAGGAGGCGGCGAAAGCAGCGTGCTGTAATTAGACGGCGAGCAGGTCTTTTGTTCTTTGCAGTAACACGTAAAGTTGGTTAGCCAAGAGTCTCAAGCTTGAATATGTGACTGTGGTAGTGGAATGATCTTGGATGACACTGACAGTATTTGACTTTTTAGCCTTGGACTCGGCCGCCATCTTTGCCTGAGCTGGCGCCGCGATGTGAGAATACTAATAGAATTTGATGTGGATGGGAACTCACGACGAACATACCACAACGTGTCTAAAAAGACCAGTCTCCTGATTACCAGGTGGAAAGTGCCTAACCAATCAGCAAACTCCCATGCACAGAGACAGTAAATGAACAAACCATTGAATATGCCAAATGATTCCAAGGCGCCCAATGACATAGTCATAGACAATGACAGTGCCAGGTAGTTTGTTCTTTGTCAACCACAACGCTATGGTAGTCTGACGGATGCTATCACCATTAGCATGCAGTACGCCATCGGAGTGTAAGCCAATTTACCGCGCAATGAACTCATAAATATGCTCCGATATAGTAAGCGGCTGAAGCAGAACCGGAAACGGGAGCTGGGGTAAAAAGAGATTGATTAATCGAGAGAAAGAAAATGGCAGTGCAAAGGAGAAATAAAGAGAAATAAGAGGACATGGGGAAGGAGAAATGATGTGACATGTAGAAGACAGGATATGGACAGAGGAAAGAAGAGGCCAAGGTCCGACATCACAATGTCACGTGGCGTTTCTTGAGTTTTCCAACGCCACTGTCGACGTCGCGAATGAACTTGACACGAGATGGAAGAGTACTGGAAGGAACCACACAATGGGTCTCCTAGGTTACATGTATCTAGTCACATATATTTCGCCTACAACAAACCTTGGTTTAGTTTAGTCCTCTAAACAGCAGACAGCTGAAAATTCATCTCTCAACAAGTCATCAGCCCAAGTGCCTCTCTGAGTGAGTCTTGAATTAATGTGTGTGAGTATGACTGACGGTATATCAGTCTTGAGAGAGGTTCTTCCCTTTCTCTCTCCGGCAGCCTTCGCAGCCGCCCCGTCACCACTACCGTCACCACGAAAGACTAGTTGTTTTTTGTGTAAGTGTTTTTCCTATATTATCCTTTAGTAGCTAGCTGTTTTACTAATCTATAGTTCTAGGGTTGGCATAATGTATAAGAGGACAGCGTGGGTCATGGCCGTTGAGGCTATTTTCATGGTGGCGGCTCTTTTCCCTTCAAAGTCGATCCGTCGAGTTTGCAGATCTTTGGGACATGGTTGCCGTTGACGTCAAGATGCCGACGGAGGTGGACTCATCAATCCAGAATACACGACTGCATTTGAAGTGGAAGAAATTGAACAAGTAGCGACTAGAAGGATTACTGGTGGAATTTTCCCCGAGATGGTAGTGTTTTACTCAGATACTACCTAGAGCGTTTTGATGATACCACGATGCAGCACAGATTGTCTGCAAAGCCTGGGAAGATGTTGGCGTCCGATCCTAGAAGTATCCAGGTAATCGGTGGATTGATATGTGGGATATTCTGGTAGCGATTTACTCAGATGCTGCCTGAAGCGTTTGAATGATACAACAGCGTCTTATTGAGATACTTACATGTCCCATTGTTGTGAAAAGGAAGGAATATAGATTGGCATTTGCTTTGAAGAACTTTTCTCCAAACCCCCTTTCTTTACTTCCGTCAACGTGGAGTTCGAAAGGTAGATCATAGTTTGGAAAGGCGAGTTCCACTGCGTTGCAGAGTAGATCTTTAAGTGTGTGCCAGGCCTTTTGGGCGTTCTTCCAGATTTCTCGGCGGTCCTCGTTTATTTTCCTAACTCGTTCAGTCTCCTTCTTCGGGTCTTTCTTCATCTCATCTACGAGAGAAGAGTTAATCAGAGGAATCAGTGAGAGAAAACGAATACCGCATTGTTAGTAATTCCATTGAATCCTACTGGTAGTTATCCTTGAGCAAATATATCAATCATATCCATCTACACATCCATAGCGGCTACTGCCATCAGTGCTGCCTCCATTATCCTCTACTTGGCAAGCAAAGCCTTCTCAATCACCCGCGAAGCCTGCAGCACCATTCTCTCATGATAGCGCTTCCCAACAACCTGGATTCCAATCGGCAGTCCCTCGGCGTCGTCCGCGCTGTAAATCTCCCAGTAGTGCTTCTCCAAATCGTTCTTGGGCGTGTACTCGCCTCTAAGCTCGGCGGCACTTGCGCCTCCCACGAGCTTGGCCGCCGGCATTGCCACAGCCGGATACTGCAACAGATTCCAGATGGCCGTGTAGCCCCAGTATCGCGTAGCTCCGTGAGGACCAGCCACGCTTGGGTATATCGGCGCCAGCACGACGTCGACGTCGAACTGGTTCCAGTGGTCGCTGTAGGCCTGGCGGTAGGCGTCACGCGCTTCCTTGAGGCCCTCTGGCGACGGGGCAACAGACGCCCGGCCCTTTTGGCACTCGTTGATGATCCATTCCGTCAGGGGCAGCACGGCCTCGCCTCCTTTTTCGCAGATGGCGCGGATATTAGCGCCGCCGTCTTCAAAGTAGTTTGCGGCAATGATTTCCCAGCCCTTAGCGTGGTCCATTGGCGAAAACGTCACGACCTGGACGTCGACGGCTTGGCGCAGCTTGTCGGCCACTTTTTGCAGCACGGCTCGCACAGGGGGCAGGGGAGACACCACGCCGTCGTCGAGCAGGAGACCGACCTTGAGCGGGCGAGTTTCGTCCAGTTGACGACCCATGGACGACGAGAAGATGTTGCCGGGGATGAGGGAGACGTCTTCGATCCAGGGGAGGGTGGACGAGTAGGCCTTGCAGAAGAGCTCGATATCGCGAAGAGAGCGGGCAAAGGGGCCAAGAGTGCCGGCGATGGAGTCGTGGCCAGGGGTTGGGACGGTGACGCCAATGCCGCTGAAGCGGCCAGGGGTCGGAACAAAGCCGTAGAGCTATGTTTTGTTTTGTCTTGTCAGCATACTGTTGTGATGTCCATGATTCCTCCTTCAACTCACGTTGTTAAAGGCGGCTGGCACGCGGATCGAGCCTCCAATGTCGCCTCCAATGCCCAGCACCGACGCATTCATGCCCATCAGCGCCGCCTCGCCGCCCGTGCTTCCTCCCGCCGTCAACTGGCGGTTTCTGGGATTCACCGTCGTGCCGTAGATGTTGTTAGACGTCTCTAGGTGCATGCCGGCCTGGGGCTGGTTTGTGCGCGCAAAGACAACAGCGCCCAGCTTGCGGAAGGTCTTGACAATGGCGGCATCGTCTCTGCTGGTGTTGTTAATCCAGGTGACGAAGCCGGCGTTTGTCAGGTGCGATTTGACGCCGATCTGGTTCTTGAGCGAGAGGGGGATGCCGTGGAGGGGGCCCATGAGGCGGCCGGTCATGGCGAGATGCTGGTCACAGGCCTCGGCGTCGTAGATGGCTTCGGGGAGGAGCTCAGTGAGGCAGTTTGTCTTGATTGTTTGAAAGTCGGGTCAGCCTTTGCTTTGGTGGAGTGGAACAAAAGGGCTTCAAAGACAAGAGAAGTGGCATGATATGATATGATGCGTAGAAAAGACGGCAAATTCAATAACTTACACACTGTTGCGCAATCGTTGCCCGCTTTCGAAACGCCGCCAGCAGCTCAGCCGCGGTGATCTTCTTCGCCGCCAGCCTCTCCAGCAGCGCCGTGGCATCGTAGTCCTCGGTCAGCTGCAGCTCTGCGTCCGTCATCAAGTCGCTGGATCGCGGCACAGTCGTGACATCTTGAGGCAGCGACGTGATCTGCGACAGCGAGAACAGCACGCTCTTCTCGAGGGAGCCATCGCGCAGCGAGATGGCGAGGCGGATGTTGTCCTGAGACCCAGTCATGGCGAGGCTGAGCGAGAATGACGATGGCGGGTTAGCATTACTGTTTGTTGTTTACAAGTAAACAAGGAACGGTAGGGGAAAAGAGAAGAACAAGGGCAAGGGGAAAGGAAAAAGGAAAAGCCCGTACCTTGCATGGACTGTCGACTGCAACTGCAATGCTGTGCTGCTGTCAGTTGCCCCTCAGCTCTTCTGCTTTGACAGTGACAGTGACAGCACCATCACCACCATTCTTCTCAATCCCACTTCACCCCTCAGTTCCCCAAAAGTGGCAGCAAAAACAGCTACCTAATCAAAGTGGATCGATGCCCAACATGCCTATACCAGAAACACCTTACGGGGCAGCAAAGGAAAAGTACTGTAGCATCGCATATCGAATATCTGATGGGGAAACTTGCTTCAATCCCCTAGCACGCCATGTTGCCTCGTTGGGCATAGATCATCCTGCCGGTACTTTAAGCCGGTGGCCTAGCCTAGGACCCTACTTGGTTTTCAGTAACCTCTCTTTTATCAGCTCTGCTTGGCTGCAATGTCTTAAACTCCGCTGGGACTAGAAACGAGACGAGACTTTGATCACGGAACGGCTCGTAAAAGGCTCTTCTCGCGGCGTGCGGGGTAGGTGGGTTTTAGACAAGAGGCTAGCTAGTCAGGGATTTGCTTCATTCGTGGGAAACTCGCTCGGTTTAATGGAATACAGGGAAGGGCAGGTGTGGCCAAAAAGAGACTCGTAAATGGCCTGATGTGACTGTTGCAGCGAAATGCGAAGCCAAGCCTGCGGTCCGGATGCGACGGGGATTGCATCAACACCACTAGAAATGGTGGTCTGTTGGTTGTTGGCAGCTTTACAAGTTGGACAAGATGTCAGCATTGTTCATTTTCAGAGGCATGGTTTCCAAAAAACAGAGTGGCATCGAAGCATCTCATTCTGTAAGCTCCGGTTCAAAAACAAAACCCCATATCAAACCAGTATCCAAAAAACATTACTATAAGATAATATATATATGTGTGTGATCATCAAAAAGAGAGCAACTTCCATAATTCCAGGCTTGCTTCATACAACGTAAAAAATAATCATAAAAGTAAAACACATCGCTCTACTCCTTTTGTGAGCCTGCAGACTCGCTCGGGTCAACAGCCTTTTCGTGAACTTGCTCCTGAACCTGTTCGTGGTGCACTTCGACCACCTCATCAAACGCCTCGGGAATCACGACGCCCTCCTCCTGTCCGTACCGCGTGTCTGTTGTGTACAGAGAAATGGCAACCATGGTGAGACACAAGCCCACAATCATCATGCCAAAGTAAGCGCCCGCCTCTCGGATAAACTGCACGCTGTGGGTGTCGATTCCAAACGCCGTGGCGGTGCCGAATGCCTGGAAGCCCTTGAAATAACCGCTGTAGCGTGCCAAAACGTGCGGCTCGTTGGAAAAGGTGCTGTAGGTCCAGTGGTGGAAGTTCTGGAAGATGGGGTAGCAGGCTCCAAAGAAGATGTAGATGACAAAGGGTCCGGCAAACTTTGATGTCTCGGTCCAGTCCACCGCTCGGGGCGTCAGGGTGCGGTCGATGTCGTTGACGGAGAGGAACGAAACCATGGCGATCCAGGTTCCTCCAATGATGACGGCGACAAAGGCTCCGGCAACATAGGCTCGTTGACGACGTGAGCCAAACATCTTGGCATCGCAGATCCATGCAATGGCGAGGGCTCCCAGAACTTGGAAGATCCAGTAGCAAAACTATCATTGACGTTAGCATTGACAGGGGATATAATAGAGAGAAAGCTGCACTCACGTTGGCAAGGGATCGTGTCCTGGCATTAAAGTACCACGCATTGAATGCTCCCGTCAGTGACAGGTACATCTCGCTGCTGTAAATGGACAGTGTGATGAGCGCCATCTTGGGCTCCAGCAGAGTCATGCCAAGTGCCTTGAGCTCCTGATACCATGGAAGCGGTGTAAACGACGCAATGGGGCGGCCGTCATTGCGTCGGATCTTTGACGGGTCCAGGAGCAAGCCAGCAATCAGGAGACCAGCGCATTCGAGGCAGATGAAGACGGTGTAGACGGATGAGGGCACTCCGGAGACGGAGGTGTTGTTGACGGTGACTCCCAGAACGATGGCTGTGAGGAGCATTTCCCGTCAGCATTCAAGTATCTGGAAAAGGCTACATGGAATAGAACATACCAGCTCCAACAATCGAGCCCGATGCATTGAGAACCCACGACGTCGCAATGTATTTTCCCTTTTCGGCCTCGGTAGGATAGCATGTGGTGATGTAACCTATGGATCAGGGGCATCACGTTAGTATTACCAAACCTACACCCACAAAGCCTTGATGGATGAACATACCTTGAGTAGACCAGAGAAGACCCGCGGAGAGACCCAGCCAAGTACCGCCAAACAGAACAAACCAGCTGCCTTGGCCCTTGTCAATCCACCTATGCGTATCCCAGAATTAGCCTTCACACGCTCAATCTTCAACTCAGGATCCAGGCATCAGACGGAACTAGACATACCATAGAGATCCTGCGTACATTGGATACCCCGTGGCACCAATCATCAGTGCCCATCGCGGTCCAATCTTGTTGATGATGCTGCCGCCCAGAATACCCGACGCGCCGAACAAGCAGTAGAGAATGACGTTTGCCTGGTTGACGATGCCAATCAGCTGCGGCTGCTTGCCTCCTGCGCCGAGACCCGTGATGGCGAGATATGTGCCCGGATTGCAGAAGAGGACGAAACCCATGATGATGGTCTGGACGAATGGCCTACGAGACGGAGAGAGAGTCAGTGGAATGAAGAGACGGGCGCTGAGGGGATATCGATTCAAACGCACGAGTTGTATCGCCATGTGGACAGCCGCTGGTGTTGCGGCTGCGCCTCTGCAACGGCAACCTCATCCTTTGCACCGTCCATGGTTGGTTGGAATGGACTGGACAGAGCAAATGCAGAGACAGGTTCAAGCTCCGATGGTGTTGATGCCGAAATCAACCAGCCCTATCCGAGCAGTGAAGAGATAGGGAGATAAGAAAAGGGAAGACGAGGCAATGGAGAGCAAACTCCAAATCCAGCGGGCCGCCCGTATGATAAATGATTCTCTTGACAGCTCTCCAACGCCTGCTCTTTCCAATAGGCACTTCGTATTATGCCCGCCACTCTTCCAAGAACGCAAACCTCAGCGCAAAGCACCCAGGCAAGTAGCTACACCACAAAAGATGGGACAAAAAGAAACCAGTCAGTTTTCGCCAATGGCGGCCGCGGGTTGATGCAAACTCACCCTCCCTGTCTGGTTCTTCTTCTCCATCTTCTGCCCTCCCAGAAGGAAAAAAAAAATAGCGTTAAACTCTTCTTGGGAGGGTCAAGCGTATCTTTATCCCTGAAAGGGGGCAATAGCAAGAAGAAGAAGACGCGGACACGAACAGGGGGCTGCCTTGCCTTGTCTCTTCTGCTCTCGCTGCCGGCTTGTGACTCCAACTGACAGGGCATAAAAACGTGCTAAAATTGCGCTGGCGAGCTGTAGGGTCTTGGTTCTGTGGGCGGCGGGGAATTACCGATTCGTCCAGTGGACCGACATGGATGTGATGGTGGTTTGGTTTCTGCACGTTGGTTGCTGTTGGTTGCTGGCTCTTGGGGAGCTTCGGCATGTCAAAATCGATTGAATTGCCGGCAAGTCAGGTGGACGATAAGACGCAAGTCACAATTGAGGCTCCTGCTCACCGGGGACTCGGTAAACTTGCTTGCTGATGCATCACCAGCTTTTTCTCGCTCATCGTCGAGGCTCATCTCCACCAGACCAGCCTCTGCCTTTTGCCGCAGAGAAGCCGGCCCCAAGCTGCATAGAACAATGGCCTGGCTGCAGGTACTGGAGATTTGAATGCGACGCTGCGTGCAAGCCAAAGTATCGGTGACAACGCACAGTCCAGCTGCCCGGGGTCTCCAAAAGGGTGATTTCTTACAAGTACGGATACAAGCACGATATTCCTAGCCCAGGCCCACGGGGCGTTTTCCAGGATTTATGCTTGCCGAGCCTAGGTCCGGGTCGTCTATAGTCTGCTGGAGACCAATGCGAGAGTCCTGAACAGGCAAAAGCACAGACTCAGCTGGGACGTTGCACGGCTGAAGATGGAAAAGCAACAGTAGCCCTCGTTTATTTTGTTGTTTGTCTCTTGTCTCTGGCTGCTCTACCGCTTCACCGTCTCTTTAATTAATATGCCTGCGACTTCGCTTGACGGCCTACGTGTACAGCTCGTATGATGGCTGGCAACGACGCATCATCAGCAGCAGCAGGCATCGCATGTTGGATCCTCGCTGAAGCCCTCAAGCCCTGTCACAAACCGCTGCCCGCTCCTTCAGCCCGCCCGGCGTCCGAGTCAGGGCGTGGACAGCTGAGCCTGGAGCTGAGCATCAAGCAAGGCCCAGCCGTCACTTATCACATCTTGAGCTGTCAAATGGCATGTCAGCGTCTGCTCTAGCAACAGACAAACTTTAATAAATGCAGCAACCATCTCTTCGGATGACGGCCAAGAAGCCCTCGCTAAGCACGAGTTTCCCCTCGTGTCGGCTAACTTCTCTAATCGCGGCCGTCCCATGACCATCTTTCCTACGAGTACGGCCCGAGCACGATTTTGTAATCTCGTCGACTGTAAGCGAACGTCGCCCATCCAAATGCCTCGCTAATCTGAAATTGTCATTGCCGATGTCATGGCATCTCTGAGTAGAAAAAATCGGCGAAACAACCAAACGGCATCTTATTTGCCTCTATCCTTGAGACAAATTCTCGCTCATGGCTAAACTGCACTTTGTCTGCTTGCTTCAATAGGCGTGGCTGCTCCGAGACGGAGTGTTTGCACAACTCTCGACGCTGCTGAGCTCTCACCACCATCGGCGTAGTTCCACTTATCAAGGTCTATTTTCGCCGTCTTGTTGGTCCTTCGTAGTGGATTCATGTCCAACACAAGACCCATTAAAGGACTCAGCGTCGTGCATAAACGTGCGATGCGCTGCTCGCCCAATAACAAAAGTTTGCTGTCCCCATCCTCTTGGTTCCCCAGGCCTTGATAGACTGCTCTCCTATAGCATAGTCAATATCTTGGGTAGAAAAGTGTTTGTGAAGAAACCCTATTTATCGCCTTTGACGACTCGTGACTTCAAACACAGGTCTCCAACGTAGCCAGTAACGCTGTCGGGGAACTGGTTGCCTGAGTCGGAAAGATTACAAGACGACCTTGTACGAGCGCGACATGTCAACAATTTGGTTGTTCAACGGGGGCCGCTTTGGCTAGCTGATCGGCACAACTCTAGGTAGCCTATCAGTTTTCCTGCGTTAAATTGCTCGAATACATTCCACTCACATTACCCATGGCTGCCTTGGAGGTTTTATAAACGGCCGTGTAGATTTGGGTTCAGATGGCAACATCAGCGACAAGACGACTAGAAAGCTAAGGACTACCCTGAGAAAGAGCTTGATTGTACCGAGATCGACATGTACCAATGAGGTATAGGAGTCAGAACTCTTTCGACTAGAGCCCTGAAGCCGTTGGAGAAAGAGGGAAGCCGTAAAGCCCACGGCCTTTTGAGGTGGGTAAAAGATGATATCACTCAGTTAATGTTCTGCTCAAGTTGTCAGAGGACTCAAGCAAACGACGAGGCCTCTTGGGCTGCACAGTCGCTGCGAAACGACAGTAACTTCTTATATCTGGCTTCTCCAACAAGAACAAGGCTTTACTCAGCGTGACTAGACATCAAAAACACATAAAGTCTTCTATTGTCCATGGAGAAATGAAGCTGCTTTGCACGAATGAGTCACAATGGGTGCCGGCAACGTGCGCAGCTCAGGGACATGAACCCACTTCATGCGGTTACGTGAGCACGTCAATTCCAGTCCAGTAAGCATTTCTTTCTAAGCAGATGTTGCTGCACCCCGAGGGACTATCGGCTTCACTCTATCTGCCGCAAACAAGCTACCATGTGATGTGCAAGCCAAGTGTGTATTATATATGAAGCACTCTTGCACATCCAGATCTCATCGCCCCAAGGATCTAAAAGTAAATAGGTTCCACTGAAATGTTGTTCAAAACAAAAGGAGAAAAGAAAGATTTACCCGGGACAGTCACGCTCACGACTCGTAGAGTTGGGTAAACGAACTTGCCAGAGACGGCATGGTTGTAGCAAGTATGCCACACCGGAGGGCCTTGCTTCATCACATCCACGCGATATTGCATGCGCCGCAGCCGATATTCAGCATCAAAGTCAAATTTCTGGACTTTTGTGTGTGTTGGGTATCCGTCAGGGTGCACAACTTCCAACGTTGTCCATTTCTCGCCATTCTCAAGCGTCGATCCATCTACCTCGCTGGTCTGGATGTCCGATGATTGAAGATGGAATGGAAAGTTGGAATAGTTCCAAAACGCATAGCCGATGAAATAGATGAGATTGTGGGCATCCCATTTCGACTCATACGTATGTGAGTCGAATGCGGCCCTCGGATTCTCTCGAACGTCCAACGGATCTGGAGAACCAATCTTGGCAACTTCAGTGCGCTCGGGTGACCAAGATCCGTAATAGGGTCCAAATTTCGCAATGGTGACTTTTTGCGTTTTTGTATCGACTATTATCTTGACGTCATGAGGCCCGGGATGCCCTTTGTTGGCCAGCGCCGGCCCCGAGAACTCAAACTCTACAGCGAGAAACAGAACCGAATCCCAGTATTCTCGACCACCATGAGCGTCAATAACGCTTTGCAGAAGATCGGAGCTAAAAAGCAGTTAGTATACAGACACCAGATAGAACAGCGTGGTAGAAATACCTATTGGAAGACATTGCGTGGAAGAGTTCGAAATGGAAGCGATTGCTGCTGCGCCACGAGCTACATCTGGGCTTCACGCAGCTAAATAGTTGATTCATTTTCTGGACTGGGAAATTGCTTCAGGCTAATTGGCATAGTGTTTGAACAGATTAATCATCTTCGAAGATAATGTGCAAAAGATTCCATGTTCATATATATTGACAGCATTTCGTATTACTGAACCTGAAACTTGAATATATGGACAATGGGGCTACGGAGAGGAAAGATCAGTAAACAGTCGATATAATAGACAGACCGAGGCAGAAGAGTAGTTTGACATCACTATCGAAACAAATAGTCATTGGGGCCGGAGGAGATACCTGAATGGGCGTCTGGTATAGGATACGCGGGATAGATTGTCGGGAGAATTACTCATCGCGCAACATGCCTAGCTTGGGGATTGCTATTCAACCAGGGTTAGTTTACCTAAATTGGAATGCATTTCAAATCACCTTGATGTAAAAGATTGGTCGATTGGAAAGTTGGCCGACGATTGAAAGTGCTAGTATTGATGTATTCGCTTCTTGTGCCGCCCTCTCTGTCACAATAGCCCGGTATATAAACGAGCGGAATCTCCTCCTCGTTTCCTACGAGATCCCGATAAGCAGCTCAAGATTAGAAGAATCGCTTGGTCAAACTCTCCTCAGCAATTAATCAAGTCTTCATCTTCCTCTCTCCATCTTTACCATGTCGACTGATCGAGGTCTCGAGATTTCAGCTGCCTTCCCTTATGAGAAGAAGAAGGTGCGCGTTTTAGGAAACCAAATGGCCTATGTCGACGTGGGCACCACTTCAGAATCCACTGTCGTCTTCTTGCATGGCAACCCAACATCCTCCTATCTTTGGCGCAACGTCTTTCCTCATGTAGCGAAGAAGAGCCGCTGTATCATACCGGATCTTATCGGCTTTGGAGACTCCGACAAGGTTCCTGAGCTGGAATACAGAGTCCGCGACCACCAGCGCTATATCGATGCTTTTCTCGATGCCGTTTTGCCAACAGAGCGCATTACTCTCGTCATCCACGACTGGGGCTCTGCTCTCGGCTTTGACTGGGCCAGCCGCCACGAAGATCGCGTCGCAGGCATCGCATTTATGGAGTGGATTCCAGCCCTTGGTGGTGGCTGGGACGCTCGTCCCCCTCAATTCAGAGCGACCTTTGAACCCCTCCGCACACCTGAGCTCGGTCGAAAGATGATCGTCGAGGATAATTTCTTTGTCGAAACTGTTCTGCCTAGGGGTGTCTTTCGAGCCTTGACGGAAGAGGAAATGACCGAGTATCGTCGACCATTTCTGATTCCTGCAGACCGTGAGCCCACTTGGAGGTTCCCCAACGAGATCCCAATTGATGGACATCCAGAAGAAGTGTGGGACAAGGCTCAAAAGTACATGAAATGGCTTGAGGGATCAGACTTGCCAAAGCTGTTCTTCTGGGTGAAGCCCGGAGCCATCATCAGGGAGGAGCACTTCAAGACGTTGAGCGAGAAGATAAAGAATGTCAAAACTGTCTATCTTGGGCCTGGAAGCCATTATGTGCAAGAAGATTATCCCCATAGCATTGGACAAGAAGTTTCGGAGTGGATGGCAGAACTGAAGCTTTGATGTTAGCAGAGGCTTGAACAGAAATTACATGTAGATGCCGTGGTAGAGGTTGAATAACATTTGCAGCAGTTGTTTACAGAGGGCTGACCGCCTAATTTACTGCCGCCATGTGCAATGACCTCAACTTTCCAAAGTCCGGCAACTCCAAATAGATTCATCGCCAATGCAATTACAGATTCAATCGCAGATTATTTGAAACGGTAATAATGTCGCAAATCTTCTCTACAATCGCTCGCTCGCTTCTGACATTGAATTCTTAGAGAGATATTCAAGGTCAGGCTGTGCATCGAAGCCAGCATTAGAGAAACCCATCGAGAGCCACTCGCCCAGAGGAATATGCTCAGCTTATATTGCACAACAAACTTCGAAGACGAGGATAGACGTTCTGACATCTCTCTTGCATAGAGAGCCAATTGGTCATCGGAGAACAAGCGCCGCAATAGCCCAAAGAGCATAGCGGCGCTCTACGTGTGAGGTTCAGTTAATCTCAAGTCAATGTTGCTCTTTTTGCTTACCGGCATATAGGGTCCTTCGCTATAAATTAGCGACAGCCGCTCGGAGCTCCGATCTGATCGAAAATCGCGACTCCACTGGCATCGAGACCATAAGACGGGGCCGGAACCGACAATCCTACGGCAGAGAAATCTGGCCGAATCCGGACCCAAATAATCAGAAAGAATAGACAGAGCGGGAATGGGCTCCAACGACGATTGCCGACTACACGAATCTGCTCGCAGATTTTGAGACCTGCAGGCAAAGAAATTGGTTGCTCCTGTCCTACCAAGATACGAAATTCCCGACTTCGGGGTTCGGATTTGGATAGCGACGCATCCCACTCAGAAGCTCTGATGTCAACAGCTCACATGCGCCTATATTTGCAAGCTCCTTCTGTCTCACACAGTTTGTTTTCTGCGCGGATATCCTCCAGAGAGCAACTTTAATCTTACAACTCCCAATACATTGCCCTAGACAACTAGAAATCAATCTATTTATATCCATCAACAGTCTCTTGTCCAACATGTCAGCCTGGGACCCATCACGCCTCTCTTCATCTGCGCTCGCATATATACGCCAGCACCCCATTCTCTTTACATCTGCTGTTGCTATCATTCCCCTGGCAGCTCTAGTCATGCCTTCATATCGCGGTTACATCGACCTTGGCCCCGGCGGCCTCCCGCATAATGCTTTTGGCTGGCTTCTTCAAGAAACTCTACGTCCACTTAGTCTGAGCAGCACTATCGATATCGGCATCTTTCAAAAGCCTGGAGTTTCCGCTCCTTACGAACCACATGGCGACACACGATTTCTCCAAGAGCCGCTTGCGCAACGTCGAGGCAATCGGCCAACCATCCCCAACTACGTAGCCCCTCAAAGGCAGACTACCGAAACAGGCGATGCCACTCTTGTCACACGAATGAACAACCATTTGAAAGAATTGTCCAGCCGCCACCCGGAGAAGCTCGCTGTGAAGGCATCTGGCTTGGAGGCCAAAGAAAATCCTGCGTTATTCTTGATTAGCAGCCCACTGCCAAAATACCTGGAGAAAAGTACAAAGGGTGAAATCGTTCACGTACATGGAGAAGCAAGTTCTCACATGGTTCTCAGCCTAACTGATGCGAAGGAGGCAATGGCAAAGGGATGGGCCGAGTTGCATCCGCTAAGTGGCGTGATGGGACGCATTCCATTGCCATATGTCATGATTTATGCGCCGCGAGATGACGAGGAGTTTGGCCAATGGGCAAGATTTGTCGACGCTGCTGTAGCATTTACTTCTGCGGGTCAGCAATAGTGGAAGAATGCAACACTCCTGGAGTTGAATGCATAGGAATGCATCACATACGACCTGTCACATGTGGACTTTACAATTAGCCGATATCACAATAAAGCTGCTGGAAGATGGTTATACAGTTCTAATTATCTGATAAATATTGCATCAGGCTATGCCGAGGTCAATGCCTGAATGTGATACACTAATGCAATTGTTCCTTTGGCCATCGCCAATTCCTCTCTTCTCTGTTCACGAAGACGCACCGCAGTTCTCTGGATCCACGCACAGTTGCAAGACAATATTCGCGGCGGTATTTATCTCATAGCATCCCACAGTTGTTATAATATCGTTGATCGGACCGCACTGATCTTGACCGTTTGCTGCAGGACTGCGCACAATCAACTGGTTCCCGTTTTCGAACAATGACGCAGGAGGAGACAACCACAGGCGGTACGTCCCATCAGGCTGCTCTCCGCCTTCTACTTTATCCAATGGAACGATGGGACAGTTGTTTGGGCCAAGGCTGCCTTCAAATGGACCGAGAGCTATGTCTTGAGAAAAAGAACAGTCGGGCCCCAAATAGACGGCGACTTGTTCCAGGCCTTTGACTATCGTCGTTATTGAGGCAAGGACACACAGAAGGGTTTTTAGGTTTGCCATTTTGTGCCGTACAGCAGCTGCGAATGCATTTGCTAAAGAGATGGATGCGAAAAAGCGGTGGATAGAAGCGATGTATTGAAGTTGTCAAAGTCGGAATGGAGGTTGTCCGCTTCTTGAACTGGCAGAAAGTCAGTTTATGTATTTGCATCAGATTTGATCTAGAGTGTTGCTTCTTAATTGCGCTGCATTTATTGCTCATAGTTACTGGTTTTAGATATCTGCAATTGCCTATTACGGAAGCTGGTAATCCTTCAATGCCAATTAGTGAATCCTACCACTTTACATTTTGTGTCTGAGCCTCCTCGTTGAGTTATCATCTCCTTGCTCGTCTATACAGGTCGTACAGAGATCCCGACCAAGGGTTGTTACCTTGGCATACAGGGCAGTCAGGTTATGCCACCATCGCTCAATTCGGTGCAGTGTGCGCGGAATCCAATCCGTTTGCTGTGACCAATCAGATTAGACTCTGCCATGCTTTTGACAGGAGGTAGATTTGTGCTTCAATTATTGTGTAGCTAGACGCAATAAAGATACCAACAAGTATATATCAAGTAAGTGCCTTCATTTCTCTGCTTGTTGATTTATACCACCCATCGTACTTGCTAGGTACTACGTAATGTCCAGTGTTTTGCTGGATGGTAAATTGATGCCAGTATGTTTACTCGAATGAATAGAACCACTTTAAAGGTATAAGAGCTAAATTCCTAAACGAATGAAGTATACCTAGGCTTTTTTAATATATTGCATGTAAATTCCTCGCAAAAGACTGTGCATTGAACTATTCCTTCTTGATGAATTCGTGTTCCTTCTTCACCTTGATCTTCCCATCAATTGACTCTTTGGTTAGCTAACCCCGCGTTTGAGTGTTCCGCTTGATAGAGAGTCAACGCCAGACTCCCAAGAGAAAGCCATTAGACATCGACGTCTTGGCTCTTATGCAGGTAGGTACCTAGACTGTTGAACGCATTAGCGAAAAGCTTTATGCAGCAATTCATTCCGTACCTTTCTTTTCATATTGAGACAAGTGCGCTGGGAAATCGGCAACGTCGACGTTCTTCTTGACCAGATCAATGAGTTGAGCGCTGACACTTGCAGGAACATCATGATAAATATTGTACGAGCGGCCTTGGTATTTGAGCTCGTCAGGATCCACGGAGCTTTTGCAGGCAGATAGTGACTCCGTAGATTCATCTGCTGCCGGAAGAACGTTCCAACCTCCGCCACTGATAGTATCGACATCGTTGACAACGCAAGACAGACAGGCGTTGTTTTCTGCAAAGGCAGAATCGCAAGAAACGCCGCATCTATTGTTTCCCGATTGGGAAAAAGCAATGGCAACTTCGCCAGCCGTTGGGTCAGTGTTGAGCCCGGCGACTTGCAATGTGGGAAAGTCCGTAAAAGCAGTGTTGGTACAGCAGATGCCAAGGTCAATGTCATTGCAAACAAGAACAGTTTCATCATCAGGACAATCATGGTCATCATCGACAATGAATATGATGACATTAACAGCCAAAGCTGCAGTAGTGAAAAGTAAAAGATTGTTAAGGAACAACATGGTTGCGGTTATCTTTGAGTGAGTTAAAAGTGTATGAGTTGTGAGGATGAGTATAGAGCGTTCAGGATGTTTTGAATGGAGTGATGCAGCCTATATATATTGCAAAATTCTCCCTTTCAAAGCAAACAAAAATTGTAAAGAGATTGCTTCTCAAGTGTTCATGTCATTTGGTAGGTAATTACAAGACTTGATTTACTTGATTAGGTAGCTTGTAAGAACAGAAACTGCACAGTTTAGTTAGGTTACTATTTCAAGCTAGTTTTATATACTTGTTTATGAGATATGAGGAGGATAGCATCCCATTAACTCATAGTTTTTATCTTGCGGGCGCAGAAATCACTCGATTTCATCAGATACTCCCCGAGGATATCCCCGATGACACCCATTGATACTTGGCAATCGGAAGCAAAAAGTTTTGGCTTAGTTATGTACCTACTGCGCTCATTATTGTGGTTGTTCATGAACTTGTAACACATATTAACAACAAATAAGAGTATTATTGATATTATAATTGAGTTTATAAAAGAAACTCATGAAAGGTATTTGATACCAAGAATACATTTTATTATATAGAAGCCTCCTAGTGGTACTCGGGTTATAATATATCACCGTGTGTAGCACACTATATAAGAGTAAATAAAAGTATTTCCTGATAGAACTTCTTCCTTTGGGCAGTGGTTCAAAAGTAAATAAGCTTATACTAAAGAGGTTTAGGTCAAATAAGTAGGGCTACATATTGCGAAACACAGTACAGCGGAAACAAGCCGGAGTTATAAAATATGAAGATGTTTGACTTGTGTCCTCGGACCATCGGGTAATAACAATATTACCTACCTATCTCATACTCGAGGGGCCGTCGGGGGGTTGTCTAGTAGGCGTAAGAGAGAGGTGGGAGTATAGCAGGCCACCTACTACATGATCAACCCACCGAGTAAGCCCTTATGTACGCAGTTAATTTTTTGCTCCTCTGTTTAATAATCTCGGTCACATTTTTACCATTCTCGTCTTTTTTTCAATACCCTTTCAGGTCTAATGATATTGCCGAAAAGTATATTACATTATTTTACACAACCGTTATATTTTTAAGTCACCTATGTTACATCAGCTATTACACACGCATACTACATGCATCAGCCCACCAATTGGACAGGAAATCGGATTTACGCTTTAATCCTACGGCATTTGCGCTTTGTCTACCCTGTTCTCCGAGCGCTGGCCTTGTTCCTAGAGAATCAAGACACTATCGATACCTTCCTTGGACGAGGAGATTCAGAGGACAGAATTCATGAAAAATAGCTTCTATATTGTTAACTGACTGCTCGAGAATTTCTCTGATTCTAAACAATATGTCTCAAAAGTGAAATATATAAACGCAACATTTTATACCAGGTCAACATAAATAAATCAGAATCGCGGGGGTTAGTACAAGCACAGTCTCATATATCCGATAACATGAATCACCTGAGAATAAATATATGAGTTATTTGTTGAAGTGAAAAAACATGACTTGTAACTTACAGCAATATGCCAACGGCTATACGGACGCAAGAGATACGCGGGCGTTAATAGAATCTAGTGGCAGCACATAGCATGCAGCCGGACGAATAGAAGAGAAGCATGTCCAAGTTGAGTGAACTGCTATTTATTACTTTCAATTTATAATACTTTGTAATTTAATCATGTCTCCTGATCAAAATCCAGTTGGTTAGAACTTGGAGTTTTGATGGGATAAGGGAAAGTCTGCTTCACTACGTAGGTAGGTATTTATACACCTGCATTGACCCGACTTCATTTGTTGACCTTTTGCTATACTCCAGTGTCATAAACAGTCAATGAACTTCCATTCACTTACACAAACCGCCGAGAATTCTGAATCAAGAAAATCCCTTTTAAATCTAATATGCCGTCCAATACTCGTGCTTTTGCTTGGAGCTCATTGCTTTCTGTAGCCCTTGCTCAAACAGCAACTCTCCAGTTTTTCAATGAAGATACTGTCTGTGCATCGGGGCTCTTTGCTGAATGCATGAATCTCCCTCCCGGTGAATGCTGCTTCATAGGAAGCCTCGCTACCTGCGCGAATTGGCAAGCAGACAATGGTGCGGACGGTATCGCGAGTTGGTTTTTGGCCAATAATGAAAACCAATGCGGCATCATTATTGTATCGGCGGCCAACAATGTATGTGTTTGCCCAGATGGCGATCCTATTATATCCGCCGGCAACTGGGCTGTGGTAGAGGGGGCGATTGATGAGAATGAAGACTGTAACCCGGTTGGCCCTGACGTGTTTGGGTGGAAGGAGGAGAATGGAGCAACATGGCGGTTGCATCAGAAGGACAATACTGCCGTCTTTGACCAAGTTGCCGAGGCTATCGCCAACAACTCTACCGACCAACACATTGGTGACTTGATCAAGGAGCATGGAGTGAAGAACTGAGGGCCATTGCCCAACATTTGCAACTCAGGGCCAGATAGAGTTGTAATATCTTTGAGCTATATTCTTACCTTTTGATGAGTTTCGATAAATACTACAAATTGAAGATTTCCTACTGTGTTTGCTGATGATTCAACATCATCCTTATACATCTTGCGAACAACTTTCTCGTCCTCGCCATTCCTCCTGCTGCAGTGAGTAATAGCAGCAAATACAGTAAAGTGGATTCCATACTATTGAATTAGTCCTCTTATAAGATGAATACAGAAGAAACTCACCTATTACATCTCACCTCATGCTTGAGACTATCAACCATTTGAAAATAGCTCTTTCTCTCCCTTTTTACAACGCATAGACAGCTGTATACCACCTTGGCTGTCGGTTCAGGCTATACTCTTAGCGCCATGTTGATCCTAGGCAGTCGTCTAGCTGCTAAAAAATAGCTTACAGCAGGTGGGGCGCTGTATCTGCACCTGTACGGCTTATCGATTGCCTGGTGGGGGACGACGGATGACTGAACCTCAAAAATTATTTCCAGCCTCATCCGAACCAACCTCTGGGTCATCCGCAAGCTCAATCGCAAACCTACGGCCGCCTCTTCCGCCTGTTTCCGGAGTCGTCAGCATCGAATCGAGATCATGTCTTCATGATATAAACAGCGCAAACCGAAATTCTCCCCGCAGAGGAATCCCAGCCTGAAGAAGCGACAGCATGGCGCACGCCGCGTTTGTGAGCTCCACCAAGGAGCAGCTCACTGATAATCTCCCCAAGCGCTTCAAGGGGATCAAGTTTGGCATCCAGTGGGTTTGCTTTTCTCGGGTGACAACGTTTGTCGTATCTCTAACAGCGGCTCTTGTGCAGGTCCAACCAAGACATCGTCAACCAAGGAGTGCTGGAGGTTTCCCAGCGCATGCTCTACGACATCGACAACAACCGATCCCCCCTCACCAATGGAGCTCTTGATCTGCGAATGGTGAGTGCATGGCTTGGCTATAATCTTGGGCTGTTGATATTGTATTGCACAGCAATATCACATCGGTTGCGACGGCCTACTGACCCTTGTTCTAGGGAACGTCGAGCAAGTCGGGCAAATGCGGTACCTGTCAAGAGCCTCTCAAGTTCTGTATCGGTCACTTTGGCCACGTTCGACTAGCACTTCCTGCTTTCCACATCGGCTACCTGCGATTCATCCAGACAATCCTCCAAAACGTCTGCAAAACCTGCGCCAGAGTACTCCTCACCGAAGAAGAGCGACGAAGTTTCCTCCACGACCTGCGCCGACCTGGATTGGATAACATCCGCCGAACCGCAGTCTACAAAAGGATCAACGAGCAGTGCAGGAAATGTAGGACATGCCCGTATTGCGGCGAGATCAACGGCCAGATTCGAAAGGTCGGAGTCCTCAAGCTCACCCACGATAAGTTCTCGGCATACAAGAAGTCGACGTCCCAGAAGAAGATGCCTCCGGAGAGCAAGATTGCGTTCGATGCCTCGTTTGACGAAGCCAAGAAGTTGAACCCGGATCTGGACAAGCATCTTGTGAGGGCCATGGAGGATCTGAATCCTCTCTGGGTGCTCAACCACTTCAAGATGATTGGCCCCACAGACTGCGAGCTGCTTGGACTGGATCCAACAGAGGGCCGTCCCGAGATGTTCATCTGGCAGTTTGTCCCTGCTCCTCCTGTTTGCATCAGACCGTCGGTTGCACAAGAAGGAGCCAGTACAGAAGACGACCTTACCGCAAAGCTGGCCGAGATTGTCTATATAAGCGGATTGATTCGAACGGCGCTGAACAAGGGAAAGCCCATGCAGACCATCATGGAACAGTGGGAGTACATGCAGCTACAGATTGCCATGTATGTCAACAGTGATGTCCCTGGACTTAATCAGCCAGGCTTCGGAAAGAGCATCAGAGGCTTCTGCCAGCGTCTCAAGGGCAAACAGGGACGATTCCGAGGAAACCTGTCTGGAAAGCGAGTCGACTTTTCAGGCCGAACAGTCATTTCGCCAGATCCAAACTTGGCTATCAATCAAGTCGCCGTTCCACAGCTTGTCGCCAAGAACTTGACATTCCCTGAGCGAGTCCAGAGCCACAACTTGGAAAAGCTGAGACAGTGCATCTTGAACGGACCAAAAGTGCACCCAGGCGCAAACCACGTTATCAAAGACAACGGAAACTGGAAACAGGACCTACAGTTTGGTGACAAGGCCCTTGTTGCGCGAGACCTTCGGATAGGCGATGTTGTCGAACGGCATCTTGAGGATGGAGACATTGTTCTCTTCAATCGACAGCCTTCTCTGCACAAGCTCAGTATCATGAGCCATTTTGCAAAGATTAGACCCTGGAGAACATTCCGTCTGAACGAGTGTGTGTGTGGCCCCTATAACGCCGATTTTGACGGTGACGAGATGAACCTACACGTTCCGCAATCTGAAGAGGCTCGTGCCGAGGCCATGACTCTCATGGGTGTCAAACACAACCTGGCTACTCCCAAGAACGGAGAACCCATCATTGCTGCTACGCAGGACTTTATCACCGCTTCATATCTGCTCAGTAGCAAGGATAGGTTTTATAACAGAAAGGCCTTTACCTACATCTGCACGCATATGATGGACGGTGTGGTCAACATTGATCTCCCCCCGCCGTCGATTATCAAACCGGAAGCGCTCTGGACAGGAAAGCAGATTTTCAACGTGCTTATGCGTCCGAACAAGGAATCACCAGTCCTTGTAAACTTGGATGCACGATGCAGAGAATACTCGGCCAGGCCTGGACAATGCCCGGATATGGATCCCAACGATGCTTGGCTGGTCATCCGAAACTCAGAAGTCATGTGTGGTCGCATGGACAAGTCCATTATTGGATCTGGCAAGAAGAACTCGGTGTTTTACATTATCCTCAGAGATTTTGGTCCCGACCACGCCGTTGCTGCCATGAACAGGCTGACCAAGCTTTGCGCCAGAGCACTAGGAAACCAAGGCTTTTCGCTTGGCGTGGGCGATGTCTTCCCCATCACAGAGTTGACAAGATCCAGAGATAGGCTTGTCCAAGATGCTTACGACAAGAGTGACGCACTTATCGAGACTTTCAAGGCGGGAAAGCTTGAAAAGGCCCCCGGATGTGACATGGAACAGACTTTGGAGATTTCCATTTCTGGTATTCTCAGCAAGGTTCGACAGCAGGCCGGTCAGCAGTGTGTGGACACGCTGAGCCGTAACAATGCTCCTCTGATCATGGCCAACTCTGGTTCCAAGGGTCTGCACATCAACGTCGCCCAGATGGTTGCCTGTGTCGGACAGCAGATTATTGGCGGTCAGCGTGTGCCTGATGGTTTCCAGGACCGCAGTTTGCCCCATTTCCACAAGAATGCCCGTCAGCCGGCGTCAAAGGGTTTCGTACGAAACAGCTTCTACTCGGGTCTGTTCCCAACCGAGTTCTTCTTCCACGCCATATCAGGTCGAGAAGGTCTGATTGATACCGCCGTCAAGACTGCTGAGACGGGCTACATGTCCAGACGATTGATGAAGTCTCTGGAGGATCTTTCCACTCAGTACGACAACACTGTCAGGACGTCGGCAGGAGGCATTGTGCAATTTCAATTTGGTGCCGACAAGTTGGATCCCGTCGACATGGAGGGTTCCGCGGTGCCTGTGGCGTTTGACCGCACGTGGACTCACTCAGAGAGCACCACCTGGGATAACAACGAAAGATCTTTGCTTCCGCGCGAAGTGCTTGCAGTATGCAGTAGCATGCTAGAGAAGGAAAAGCAGCGTTACCAGAGGCACCGCTTGGTAGACAATGCACTACTCAACTATTCTGATCCCACTGATGAAAACATTGACGAGCACGAAAGCGCTCGAGGTTTCATCGAGACCATCTACTCTTATGTCTCTGATCGAGCACAGAAGATATCCAAAGCTCGTGCACTCGTCGGATTGGATCCTGACCCAACCCAAGAGGATGTCATCGCCGATGCTTCAGCGGACCTCAAGGTGCAGCTCGCCCGAGTTGAGCGGGTGACCAAGGTATCTCTGACAACGCTCCAAAGATTCGTCAAGGAGTGCTTGGAGAGATATCACAAGGCCCACGTCGAGCCAGGCCATGCCGTAGGTGCTGTCGGAGCGCAGTCCATTGGTGAGCCGGGTACGCAGATGACGCTCAAGACTTTCCATTTTGCCGGTGTCGCCGGTATGAGTATCACTCAGGGTGTGCCGCGTATCAAGGAAATCATCAACGCGTCCAAGAACATTAGTACTCCAGTCATTACATGCCCACTGCTAAACGACAAGCAAATCGAGGCCGCGCGCATAGTCAAGGGGCGAATCGAAAAGACTTTTGTGATTGATGTACTAAAGGCAATTGAGGATGAATGGGTTACTGATCGTGGAACCGTCATTCTGTACATTGACATGGAGGCGCTGCAAAGCATGCACCTTGGCATTGGCGTTGTTGATATTGCAGAGGCCATCTTGAGATTCAAGAAGCTCAAGATTCAGCCATCCGATATATCAATCGGCCCCAACTACATCAAGATCTTTGTACTCAATAGCTGGGTGGATCCCGACGCGGCCAAGAAGAGGCAGCGCAGTGGCGCCTCTCTTACCATGACCGAGGAGACTTCCGACTTCCTCTTGCGGGTCAACCACCTCCGCCGTACACTCCCCAAGATCCCCATCTCGGGATACAACGAAGCTACAAGAGCCATCATCCAGACCTCGGAGCAGAGCGAGCACATGGTGCTGGTGGAAGGATACGGACTGCGCGCTTGCATGACTACCGAAGGTGTCATTGGCACAAAGGCAAGCTCCAACTCCGTCATGGAGGCCCGTGATGTTTTGGGTATCGAGGCTGCCCGAACCACCATTGTCGTCGAAATCTCCGCCGTCATGGCAGGCATGGACATTGATCCCCGTCATATCCAGCTGCTGGCTGACGTCATGACATTCAAGGGTGAAGTCCTCGGCATCACGCGTTTCGGTCTGTCCAAGATGCGAGAGAGCGTCCTGCAGCTGGCGTCCTTTGAAAAGACGCCCGACCATCTGTTCGACGCGGCTGCCAAGATGAAGACTGATCGCATCGAGGGTGTTTCCGAGTGTATCATCATGGGACAGACGATGAGCGTCGGCACGGGCTCGTTCCAGGTCGTGAGGAGACTGAATATCCAGGACTGGGAGGTTGCGCCGAAGAAGACGCTGTTTGAGGATGCGTGGGCGGAGAATTTAAAGGCGAAGAAGGAGCTGCGAAGGCTCAAGGTATAGTTAGCTTAGGCTGGAAATGAATTGAGGTTGAGAGAAGAGTGTGCTGCTTATGGGCTTTTTTTTTTTCAATATCGGGCTCAAAGGGCTTTGAAAGACGATGAAATATGGGCTACATTTAACTAGTTTTGACTTGATCAAATTTTGTATATATATATAAGCAAGTTGCATGCCATATCTAGGATATTCTGGCAAGCAGGAAAATATAAAAGCCATAATATAGTCTGGAATCAGTTAAGCCCAATGGAAAGTTTACATGTTCACTTTGATCTGTATAGACTTGTTGCACCATTAGAAGAGCAAAGGTCTACTATTAGCACTCTGACATATAAAATGTGTAAAGAGGGCACGTAATTGGATTCCATCTCAAGCGACAGTATTTGCAGCAAATTATAGGTATTCATTTGAATTATACTTGTTTTAAACCATTGTCATATGACCATTCTGGCATTTAGTATTGTGTTTCCCCCCTTTAAGCTCCTAAAAACGCCAGTCTCCCTCAGACGAATCTTGGGCCTTCTCCCTGAAATTAGAAAAAGCATATGTATAGAAAACCCACTCTCAAAGTAGTCCACAAAGCAATGCAGTCGACTACTTTTGAGAGGATATCATGATGAGTGTAATGCGTGGTACAGGTTGGAAAAAAAGTCAATAGGCTCTCTAAGCCGCCTTCTTCTTCTTCTGCGTCATTCTCCTGAAAGCTTCCATTCCTCCAGCACCGAGAGGTCGGTGGTCTTGGCTCTTGCTGCCATCAAATGTGCTCACAGGAGCAATTGTATAGCTTGCGGGAAGGTTGACCATGCGAGCCTGGTTGCCACCACGGACAGGGGCAAGGAATCGTTCACGCTCAGCTTCTGCAGCAGACTGTGCGGGTCGCTCAGAGAGAGTGAACTGAGAGCCTTGTTTGCGGCGTTGAGCCATTTTGGCAGCTCTGCATCATCCATCGTGTTAGCCAACCGTCATATAGAGAGAAGAAACATGTCATGTACTAGTGGAGATGGCAGATACGTACTCATAATCAAACTCGCGAGTCTCGATGTGGCGTTTCTTGTAGTCGTCGGTCCGCTTGAGGATCGGACGGCTCCATTCTCCCAACAGCCTCTCGGCCATTCGCTTGATGCTAGGCTCGGGCTTCTTGCTCCTCGTGTAGAACAGCACCACCTTGCCGATGCCGCTGCTCAGCAGAGTCTCCTTTTCAATATTCAAACGCGTCAGAGCCGTGAAGATGTCTCGCTGAATGTTGTAGGCGGGCAGTGAGCCGTCGTTGAGCGGCTCCAGAAAGAATTTGACGTGCTGCAGGAAGTTGGTATCCGGATCGAGCACCGCATGTTGGACGTTGTTGCGATTCAGGATGCCAGCGACTTCGGGGAGCAGCTTCAGCTTGTGCAGGGCAGGCTGTCCAGATTCACGAGCGCTGTTGTCTGCTTGACAGGCACGCTCCATCTGGACCTTGAGCGCAGCCAGCTGTTCGTCAATCTCGTCTTCGAGATCCTGGTTGGTGATTGTTCATTAGTGTCTCGATCCATCTGCTTCCCAAGGTGCTATAAAAGACGTACAATTTCATCCTTTCTCCGGCGCTTGGGGGCCGTCCCACGGCTCTTCAACGCCGCATCCAGACGGCGGTCGATTTCCCGATTCTGCCGCTGCTCTTCGGTAAGGTTCTCGTCGTTGGCTGCGTCGTCCTGGGGCGATGCCGGCTTGGCTCGGGGGCGCCTCTCGGCCTCTGCTCGCTTCCTCCGCGGCTTCTTCTCCGCCTCGCCGCTGGAGACATCCTGCACGGACGCATCTTCCTCTCGATCCCGTCGCTTCTCGCGGCGAGTCTCCCGCGGCTTCTTGGCTGCCTTTTCTCCTTCGGCTCGCTTGCGCTTGCTGGCCTTTAGCGTACGGGCAATGTCCTCGTCAATCTCGACTGGGCGGTCCTCGATGTTTGCCGTCTCGGGGTCGTAGTCTTCAAACTGATTCTCGTCGATTTCGGACAGGAGGTCGGATTCGCGGTCCGAGTCTGCGTCGGCGACCTCATCCTGGAATTCGTTTTCCTGGCCATCGTCGACCGGCGAACCCTGGTCAGACATGATGGAAGCTGGGATTTGCAGAAGAACGATGGCGCAGCAGCAAGTGAAATGTGTGGAGATGGATCTGGAATTCTGCTAATGGCAATTTCCCTTTTTCGCGGCGGCAGCAACCAAAAGCCAGGCGGAGAGTGACGGTGAGGTGAAACAATCTTCAGATCAGAGAAAAGGTTCATTCCTGCGGTTGCCTTCGAGACGCAGCCACCGCGTTGCTGACATAAGCAGCCGCTGCGAATTTAGTTTGCTGCGGCCTCAGGCACCAACGCCGCTGGTCTTTTTTTCTGGTTTGTTTACTTGGCGCAGGCACTAAGAGCCGGTTGCCACTGTGACGATACGCAGATTGACTGTGGATAAGCAAAAGAGCACTCGAGGTGACTAAAAGAAGCCCACGCCCACCCTTGCCCAGCGCAGATCGGCCCTTCTTGCATGAATGTGACGGCGCTGAAGTTTGTACTTTGGTCCAGACGATGCGGTTGCGACTCGCTCGTCTGACGTCGCAGAAACACGCAGAAACACGCCATCGCCATAATCATTGCCATTGCCAGCTATAACGCTGTGACAAAAAGACATCCGTGGCCATGGAGCGCCGCACATTTGAAGCTCCCATGGAGTGGGAGTACCAGAACACGGGGCCGATCGATCTGACGAGCCCCTTTGCGCAGGTGGCCAAGAAGCGATCAGACAATTGTTGGTATCCCCTTGCTCTGTTGGCTCGAGTATCGTGTAGCTGTTGCGACGATGACGATGACGATGGTGATTGTGGCTAACGATGAATCAAACGTGCAGTATTTAGTACTTCGTCGCCCGTCAAATCAGCTTCTGCGAGCGGCTCGTTCTCTGCCTTTGGAACGCCGTCGTCGAAGCCGCCCACCAAATCCTTCTTCACCCCCCAGCTCGCCCCCAAGGTTGTTGCGCCGCCGTTCCGAAACCCAGCATTCACCACGCCGAGAAAGATGGACGAGTCCTTCTCCTCCTTCACCACCGTCGCCGAAGACAGCCCAGACGCAGCCGAAGCTTCAGCGGGCTCAGCGCTGTCAGTGTTGCCCAACGACACTTTTGAATCAGAGAACTCGAGCGACGTGACGACCAGCACCATCACGACGCCCACCAAGATCGACAAGACCTCTCGCTACAACAGGGGGTCGCCTCGGAAGTTTGCAGCTGGTAGAGGGGAGATTCGGCCAGTCAGCAGAGAGTCCCCTCGCAAGGACATGCAGGTGCTGAGGAAGAGGAAGCGCCACAATCACGACAAGGACGTTAGCAGCGTGATCCGACACATGCCACCGGATTGGGAGGGCGATGCCTCGGACACGGATACGAGCGCGGCGTCGTATGGAGGCATGCCACTGGGCCCTAATGCGCCGCTACCTCATCCATCATCGTCGCAGCAGCGCCAGCAGCAGCAGCATGGCCCGAAACGCGAGGGCTGGTTTGTCTCTGCGCTGGGCACAATGGACCGATATCCAGGAGCCCCCGACCACATCTATCGATGGCTGCAGCTGGGGCTCAACTGCTTCATTATTGGTGTTGTTCTGTTCTTTGGCTGGAGCGTTGTTGACGCAGTGCGATCAGACATCCGCAACGCCAATGAGATGGCGCGGATGGAGATTATGAGCCACATCTCAGAGTGCCAGAACCACTACATCAGCAACGGGTGCACCAAAAATGACCGGCCAGCACTGATAGAGCTGTGTGCCGAGTGGTACGACTGCATGACGCAGGATTCAGATGCCATTATGCGCGTCAAGGTCACAATCAAACAGGTGGCCGATGTCATTAACGAGTTTGCCGATGCAATGAATCTCAAGGCCTGGGTAAGCAAATCAAAATCAAGTCAATACTACACTCCTATACTCCCTTGCTAACTCGATACTCCAGCTCTTGTTCGGCGCCATTGCCATCTTCGTCATCTTTGCCAACATCATGATTGGATGGGGACGATCCAAGGCCCAGCCAGGGCCAGCGCATCCGCCCGCCTATTCTCACGGTCCTGTAATGGGGTCAGATGTCACGCCGGCGCAATTCAGACAGCGCTTTGAGACTCCCGGGACACATTTTGAGACTCCTGGAACACACTTTACAACTCCCAGATCACAGCGATATGCGTTTATAGAAGAAGACACGGATTTTGACATGTCAACCCCCAAGGCTCTGGGGCAAGGCTTTGGGTATACACCAGTAGGGCGTCGCAGCCCGGTCAAGGGGGAATGGGCGGCAAGTTCAATGAGGAGCTACCGGAGCCCTCAAAGGGGATATTAGAAGACGAAAACAAAATTGACGAATGGGTATTTGCATTTTGGTTAGTGTACACTAGGGAAAACTGGTCTCTTGCATGTTTCAAGGTATGGAATGGGATGGAATGGAAATGTCTTTTATGCGGCGTTGGCAGGGAGAGCTGTGGAAAGCTGTGCGGAATTCGGCATTAGGGCGGCACATCTGGTCTCTGGCAAAAACAGCTTGAAAGAATGATTATTGAACACTTACAGTATAGCGTGTGATTCACTAGCAACACATTGAGGTATATGAGCGATCCGTTCTTCTTACTTTTTTTCGTTTAAACAGCTTCAGGGTAAACAAGCTGCTCTTGCCATGTGGCGATTGGGTCAAGTAGAACAAATGGCTTGTTTACGAGCTGAATCTAGATAAGAGATATTATTTAGCCACAGTAATTATCCTATTCTTCTGGTTAATAGTAGTACTATTGTTGTTATGAGTAGGTATTGATCAGTTATCAGACGAGATCGCTAATGTCCCAAACAGGAAGCCTTTTTACAGTAGCCCCAGTGCAATCGCTCGCGTTGGCGCTACTCGGCAGTACGCAGCGGCAACCTCGATGGCACCGCCGGCTAGGGCCAACACGCGGCTGGTACCAGGTACCGGTTGGTAGAGCGCAGTCCCCGATGACCTCATCGAACTATCATGGCCACGGCGAGCATGAAGCAAATCTAGCACAATTGCTGGCCACTTTTCAAACTAGTTTTTCAGTAGTAACTAGGTAGGTAGATACTAATATTCAACACGTAATTAAAAAGAGTTGCGATAAGAGAATTGGAAGCCTGCAGCTGAGAATTGCACACCGAAAGATGGAGTACTGTAAAAAAAGAAAAGAAGGAAAAGAAAAGAATACCAATTTAACATGCCGTCCTGCACATCTGGCTAGGCTCCCCACTATAATTTGGGGGCCGCTGCAACAGCACTTCGGCTAAGCTCCCTGGCGCTGCAGCGAGGCCTATCACAGCGCCAAGTCCAGGGCTCTGTCGCCTGCATGAGCTCCTGTAATATTGATTTTCTGGACAAGGCTACCAATCGCAGCGAGACATGTATCACTGCAGTTTGCATGTACGCGGAAATGCAGCCGCAATCCAATCGAGAGTATCGCCCCCAGGCCTATCTTTTTTTTTTTTTTTTTTTTTTTTTTTGGCTTTTGAATCCTTCTGTTTCACAGTAAATTGTGCTTTTCAGGCAGAATCCTGGCAATCATTTGGTATTGGGCATCTATCTGAGGCCCTGTTAGCGTTCAGCCACCATCAGCTCTAAGCTTTTGGCTGACAGTACGGCAGCTGCTTCAGTTTTTCTGGGTGGTTTTCGGTTTGATACCCATGGAGAGGTCGGCCCAAGTCGCTGTATCAGCCCCCCGAGTTTTAGTGGGCGAATAGCGCCAACGGCTAACCAGCCCACAGCTCTAATGGCGGCTGAGTCTGACGTGCTGCGAGCCCACTGGAGCTGCTGCCGGCCCCGCCATTTGGCGATGCTCTACAGCAGCTTTCCGTCACTACCACCGCAATTTGGACGGCATCAGATTCAAGGCCCGACCTTGTCTCCTCCAACCTCGATCCATAATTTTCTTCCTCTTCCCTTCTCCCTTCAGCCTCGAGACCTCTTTCCCACCGATGCCTCCGCCACCTCGGCTTCGTCGACACTAACGCCGTCTCTCGTCGCGATTCGGACCCCCGATCATCCTTTCTCAGCTCCCTCCCTGCTTTGCCAGGCCCTTGGACAGCTTCCCCCGCAGCATGTCTTTCATCCCACGAGGCTGCAGCTACCGCAACTCAAGCCTTGGAACCGCGCTGGTTCCCCATCGCTGAAAAAGCAGCCGCCTCCCGCCCTGCCCCGTCCTTTGCCAAAGCTCGAGGGCATTCGATTCGACCCGATTCGATTCGATTCGATTCGATTCTGCCTCTTCTCGCGCGCGCGTCTGGGCATTTCCCGTCCCCCGTTAGAAGCGACTCGGCAGCCTCGCGTCGATGGAGGAGGATTTGGGCACGCCTTCGGGCCAGAGCCAGCCCAGCACCAGCGCGGGCACTGGAAGCGGGACGACGCCGCAGTCGCAGGGCCCTCCGGCGTCGAGTGCGCTGCTGCAGCTGTCGAAGCGCAGGCGTGGCTTGGGGGTTGTGACGCCCAATGCCTGCACGGAATGTCGCAAGAAGCGTGCCAAGGTGAGCTCGTCGTGTTGGGGATGCTGCGTCTCTCTCTCAGCCTTGTGGACCGAGCTTGGGGGATGCTCTCCTTCTTCACTCACTCTTCTTTTTACATGGCTGTGGAAGAGATTGGGTTGCACAAGATCAAGAATCAAGCAGTGCTAACGCGTTTTCATAGTGTGACGGACAGAAACCTTGCGGCCGCTGCAAGGCCCAGAATGACGTGGACTGTGTCTATGAGGTACCGGTGCGCCAGTCAAAAGAACACTTGCGCAATGAAATCGAGAATCTGCGCCTGCGCCAGCGGTCCAGCGAGCAGGTCTTTGCTGCTCTGATACGGCCGCAGCTGTGGGAGGAGGTGCTGGCGCGTCTTCGCGGAGGCCAGAGCGTGGAGAGCATCTCCGACTGGCTTACAAGTCTTCCGCCGGGCGGACCTACACCAAGCTCGGTATATGCGCACACTGGCCCTCACTTGGGCGGTGTTGCCGGCGGCGGCCATGACTTGTCTTCGCTGCAGCCTTTTGGCGATGCTTCTGGTGCTTCTTTGCAGTCAATGACCCTCACGGTCGGTGCTCGAGGCGGATCGCTGCAGATGCCTGGTTTGAGCGCCGAGATGGGAGGAGCTCCGGCCAGCCCTTGGCACTTTTCGTCGCAGAGCCAGGCCACCTCTACCAGGAGCGGCTCTCATCCAGATCTGATGAACTGGGCTGCCGAGCCGGGACCACCACAGACACGAGTCGGCTCTTGGGCTGAGACGATGCAGGCGGACAGCCTGCCCGATGGCATCCAGCGGTTCCGGGGGTCCGAGCAGATACTATCGCCGCTCGACGAGCCGAAGCCTCCGCCAGGGTCGTGGACCAGCATCACCAACGATGTCAACTTGGTCCAGCATTTATTGGCGCTGTACTTTTGTTGGGAATACCCAACCTTTGCGTCTCTCAGCAAGGAACACTTTCTCCACGATTTCCAGGACGGAAGACACCGATACTGCTCGCCAATCTTGGTCAATGCGCTGCTGGCCCTTGGCTGTCGATTCTCCACACAGCCCATGACAAGAGCCAACCCCAACGACCCCTACTCTTCTGGGGACCACTTCTTCAAGGAGAGCCAACGGCTCTTCAACGAGGAAATCGACCATCACTCCTTGACAACCATCCAGGCCCTGGGCATCATGTCGATTCGTGAAGCGAGCTGCGGCCGTGACTCTGAGAGCTGGTACTATGCTGGCCAGAGCATCAGGCTGGCTCTTGAGATGGGTCTGCATCGCATTCATGAGGAAGACGACGAAGACGAACTTGCCGTTCAGTCTGCGACCTTTTGGGGGGCTTTTGCATTAGATCAGTGAGTCTGCCAACCTTACCCTTTTTTTTTCAAATACATACATATATACCCATACATATATATATTAAGCCATCTTGATCTTGATCTCGGATCCAAGAGAATAAGAAATGACAAATTCTAACCTGGCTACTCCTCCAGTGCATGGTCCCTGGCCACCGGTTCGCTGCCGCAGTGCTCCTCCTTCCCCCATCTACCACCCAAACCCGCCATCATCGACGACATTGAAGCGTCTCTATGGGTACCGTATACCGACGACGGTGAGGACCGAACGACTACTTTTGGGGTTGATTTACAAGGGCTGCCTACTAACAAATCCGAAGGCGCTCCGCTACAGCGGTCGTGCGAGCAGCCGTCCAACGTGCGGTCAGTATACAAGTGCTTTTGCGAGCTGAGTGAGCTCGTGCACCAGTCCCTCTACGTGCTCCATTCCCCAGGAAGGCCCCTTACTGCCCGGGACCTTTTGAACATTTATACGCAGTACCTGAACTGGTACGACCGGATACCCGAAGTGTTGAGGCTGGGGCATAACTTTACCCCGGCCGTCTTATTTGCGCAGTGAGTACAGGATATATAAACTTGCACTTTTTTCTTGCTTTCTTTTTCCCCTTTCATCTCTCCTCTTTCTATTCCCTTTCTCTTTACTCTTCTTTCTCTTTCTTAAGACCCCATTCCCACCCCCTTTTCTCAAGTTGTGGATGCTAACATAGAGATGAAATGGACAGCATGTACTACCACTTTGCCATACTCCTCCTTTTCAGACCCTTGATCAAGCTCCGCATCATTGGCTCCAAGGTTTCGCCTCGAGACGTCTGCTCGCAAGCTGCCGACGCCATCCAAGGCTTATTAACATCATATTCTCAACTATACACACTAAAGAGAACGCCCTCTTTTGTCCCTTACTTTGTTTTGACATCGGCTATTATGCACCTTGCCATAGGCGCTACCGGGGTCGACGCCGACGATGCCGCAACCAACGAAGAGAGGATGAAGAAGGCGGCCAAAATCGATCCCCGCGTGACGGATGCCCTCAATCAGGGTATCGCGGATCTCACAGAGATGGCGCCGTGCCATCACTTTGCCGAGCAGGCGCTGAACATCTTACGCTTCCTAGCAAAGAAATGGAACATCGAGGTCAATGTTGACGGCGACAAGATGCCGCCGGATGACGCCGACAACCTGGTCAGGCCTTACACGAGCAGCCTCAACTTTTTCGCACCCAATGTTCGCGAGGGCGATTACATGTGCGGCTTTGGGCCCTCCCCAGAGGTTGCGGAAGCGCTGCAGGCGCCTGACACGAAAAAGGCGGCAGAAACAGCAGAGAATCCGCTCTTTTGGCCTTTTCCAATGCAGGGAAGACCGATGCTGCCTACCGGGCAAGAGTTGGAGGATGCAGGATTTGCCAAATTGTAGTGATGCCTCGGAGGCTTTTTTTTTCACCTCCCTTTACTCGATACCACTTTAACTTTTTTATTCTTTTTTTCCTCCATGAGCCATTGAGCTTTTGGAAACGCATATCGGGCCATACATGACGGGTAGGATATCAGGGCGTATACGTAAACGAGTGATGCGCCTCACGGACGCGGAAAGGGCTAGAATAGCATGCTGGATAATTTAGTATTTAATGCGCCGTGGATTTTTTTGTATATAACGGATATTGAGTGAACCATGGTTGGATATTCTACTTGTTTGATTTTGTGATGTAAATATTGTGATTAAATTGAACTCTGGGTAAGTATTGATTATGGCAACATACTTGGATCCCTAGATTTGCTGAGATGCCAATATTGTAGGCCACGAAAGATTGAATATTGATTTGATTTTACTACCTTTCTTATTGAACCATCCATTCAATAGTAAAGCCAATTATTGAATTTCATGAAAAGGATCATCTTTTATTATTATTTTTCTCTTATAATCGGTATGTTGGTACAAATACAGGGTAGCCGAGGGCGTTGCGCAGCCACAGCCGGCCGCGGCATGCGCCACAAAGGGGCGTTACCTCGGCTTCCACTGAAAGCGTCATTCTCAATCTCTCGTGCCGCAGCAGCTGAAATCCAAGCTTTGACAACAACAACGACAGAAACAACAAAAACGCAGTCGCCATCGCCATCGCCATCGCCACCTCGACATGGTGCCTGACCATATTTCTCTGGCATAATAGGCGACGCGCGAAAAGACCACCACGAGATTGAGCATACACCCGTCGCGGAAAGGGCGCGAAATACGAGAGATACCACCAGATATCGAGGAGAGGAGACAGCAGAGAGGCGCAAATCACAAGCGCAAAGACGAGGGCCAGGCAAGCAGATGCAATGGCGTCAAATCCAACGAAGCCGGCGACGAATCGGCCGCAGCGGCGCGTGACGGCTGGCCAGATTCTGTCGATGCCGCCGAAATGGCTGAGCATGTACGACGACTTCATCACCAAGAATGCGGGCCAGGTGTCGCAGATTGAGAGCGCGCTGAGGAGCCTGACATACATCATTCCCGGTTGGTGGCCCCATCGTTGACTGTAACCTGATGTACACCAAGAAGGCGGGCTAATCGTTGAAATTCAAACACGCCAGGCCGCTTCCGCGATGCCGAGATTGCGTCCGAGTCCATCCACTCGGGCGTCCAGCTGCTGTCGCTCTACCACGACGGCATCCTCTCCCAGGCCGTGTCCAAGCTGCCGACGCCGCCGATCCGGTCGGCCCACGCGCGCTACACGCGGTACTGGACGCAGAAGAGCAAGACGTACCGCCGCATCGCCGTGGTGCTGCAGATGGTCGTCTACACGGAGCTGCTGTGCGAGATGAGCGCCAAGCGGCGCGGCGGCGAAAAGGGCCGGTGGAACGTGATTATCCTGCTCGAGGGCATCAAGGCCTTTTGCCGCCTGATCCTGCTGCGCGTCACGCGGTCGCGGCCGCTGGTGACGCCGGTGCTGCCGGAGCGCGAGCCGGTGCCGGACGACGAGGCCGAGGCCGACGACGACGACCTGGTGACGGCACGGAGCGAGAGCGAGAGCGAGCTGATGGACGAGACGTCGCCCAACGCGTCGGCGATGCTGCTCAGCAGCCCGCAGAAGACGGCGTACGAGAAGGAGTGGACGATGCCGCGGACGGGCATGAGCCTGCCCTCGCTGCCGAACCCGGGCGACATCAGCACGTATCTGCTGGGCCGCGTGCTGACGGCCGACGACATCAAGCCGGCCAACAAGCTGCTCAACTCGCTGCAGGGCGGCGGCCAGTTGGCCGAGATGCTGCACATCCTGACGCCGCTCATCTACGCCGTGGCGCTGGCCCGCACGCGCAACAAGAAGTCGTGGACGCCGTGGCTGGTGGGCGTGGCGGTGGAATATGCGGCGCGGCAGCTGAGGCAGCGAAGCCTGCGGACGTCTGCGCTGGAGCGCGACGAGTGGAACAAGCGCGGCTGGGCCATGATTTGGTGGGCGATGAGAGGCGCCTTTTACGAGAATGTGACAAGGGGGGCGGTGAGCGGGATGACGAGGAGGATGCCGGGCTTTATCGCGGGCATTTTGGAGGACTATGAGTATTTGTGGGAGAATTACTATTTCAGCACGAGTGCTTGAGGGCTTGAGTGCTTGAGGGCTTGATGAGCTCGATGTGCTTGATGAGAGCTGGATTTGAACTTGCTTCGAGATGGGAGCTTGATTCGACCTTGCTTCGAGACGAATGCTTGGTTGATACTATATCGAGACCATGGACGAGGAGCGTACATCAACCATTACCATCCATAATTAGCCATGGTGGTGGCGTTTCTTCCTTCACATGTTACTACTACCTATATATCTAGGTGGCGCCTCTTACTTTCTGGTGCTACTTGTGCGACATTATTTGGCGAGATACTATTTACTTTTCTACTGCTTTTACTACTCTATACAAGGTAGTTTCTTTGTGTGTTACAATCAGGGAGTTGAGAGCGGACTGGGCCGAGAGCTGGATTGTTCTGGACTTTGGGAATCAAGAGAGGGAGCTGAAACTGGAGCGAAACCTGCCGCGGAAGTAGGAGCTGGATACGAAATGGCAACTGCTCGGACTTGTCAATAGACAGAGCGCGGCTATAATACAAAACAGGCATGATGATGGAATGATTGGAAAGCATTTACATGTCACTTTGGCCTTGTCCAATGTTTGTGCCTCGGCAAGAGCGGAGATTTCGAGTGGAGCGCCGCGAAAAGAGAGATGTCAATCGGACAGGGCCTCGCATCACAGATGCGCGTGGCATGATTGATTGCATTGCATTGCGTTGCTTTGATTTGACGATGCAGCAGCGGACTATCAGCTAGAAAGGGAACATGATTCTATATACGACATGGTGGTGATTTTCTCTATTCTACTGCCAACTCCGAGACACCCCTGGTTTCTTTGCCGGACCGAGATGACGCAGAGCCTCTTTTGGGAGAGAAAATAGCCTGGCATTTGTCATAGGCAAGGGTGTTGATTGTTGATTGTGATGGTTGAGGGTTCTATTGCTATTCTTTTGTCTTTTGGCAAGTCTATTTGTTTTGTAGAATATCTTTTTTTTCTTGAGAGGATTCACTGTGAATTGGAGGGGATGGGATGGGATGGGATGAAATTCGGGTTTATCGTTTTCTTTGTACATGCGTCAAGACAAAGGCTTTGTCTCTAGCTGTTTTCCTCTTCTTAATCATTGTTTGTTTCCAACTGAACTGTATTAACATCTAATTCATGCATTTGCGTCTATTCATTTGCCTGGCTCAATTTAGGATTTAGGAGGCGGCTGTGCCTATGCCGCGCAAACACAAACACAGCAATCAATAGCTGGATGGCTACAACTTCCACTATTGGCATGACATGGAAAGCTGAAAGCTGAAGAAGCGATCCATGTGACGTGACGTGACGTGACGAGTTGCTGGGGATTTAATCCCTTGACTTTTGCTCTCTAATGCTTGTACAAGCACCAGTATGAATATACAAATCTTAATAAATTGCAAACCCTTGCTTCTCTGCTTTACTATCTAATTTTTTTTTTGCCGGCATCATGGGTCGAGGAATGATGCGCAATCATGTGGCTTTCAGGGATTGATTGCTTGTCTCTCTCGTAGATCGCCGACCATCGTCATGGCGCATTGACTAACATCGAGCCCTCATTTCCTTGTCCGTATTTGCTACTGGCAGGGTCTTTGTGGAGAGGAGCAATTAGAGAGAAAAAAAAAAAAAAATTGCTGTAACTACACAGCAGCATGAATTGAGTGAAAAAAAAAAAGGCAAATCGAGGGACGGTCCCGACGGCAAGTGGATCTTTAATATTCATGCTGGATAAATATGGAAATTCAAGGCGTCTTGTCTTCTATTTTGAGAGCTTGGCTCTGTGGCGGAGGCGTTTGGAAACGAAACGCATAGTGTGTTTCACTAGGACTATACGGCTGCTTAGTGATGGTTAGTAGTCCGACTATCTACTTGTAAGTGGTTATAGCCTGTGATAAAAAAAATGGAAATGGAGTGTATCATGTTCATCCTGAAAAAAAAAAAGAGACTAAAGATTGAAGATACGATGTACTGGCATCCACAGCTTCCGTCATAAGGGTCTATCGCAATCGAGTGGGCAAAGATGGGAAAAAGAGGGCACAGACGTTTCGAGGGCTGAGCTCCGTAATTAGTGCAAGAAAGGACAAGGAGCTGACAGCATTGGCAGGGGATCCCCTTCTATCGAAATAAAGACAATCCTAGATGGAACAAGTCTGAAGAACAGACAGAAGAGTGAGAGAGAGAGAGCCGAGGGAAACGTGGCCGGGTAGCAGCGCGGTGGAGGCGAGATAAGAGAAGAAATTATTCAATCTAGAAAGCCACGTTTTTTGTCGGACTGGAGTCTAGGCCGGGAGAATCGAGAAAATGACATGTGAGCAAGGGCGAATGCAACGCTCTTTGTCTTTGTTTGCTTTACATGTATGTGAGTTTATGTGGTAGGTGGCAATGCGTGTAAGACGCATATTTTGTTCTGTGCCTGTCTGTGCGTGCGTGGCGTTGTAGATGAGCTTCCTGATGCGTCCAAAGCTGGAGTCTACAGTATGTAATGGTTGAGCATTGTTTGTGGAGTAATGGGACCTTGTCTATTCTAGAAAAGCAAGGCAGCAGCATCGGGAGAGAATAACCGAAAGGATTCTTCTCTTACTCGAACGGAAGACGGGAAAAAAAAATTACAAAAGATGTCACTGTCTTGCCACTGGGTCAGATGAAGACGCCGGGTTTGCTTAATCTATTTCTGACACAGCCGGGGGGTCCAAGGCATGGGGCTGAGATTCTGTTTGCTTCTCTCTTGCCTTCTATACGGAGTTTTGTACAGTAATGTATTATTAAAGGGCCCTTGAACTGAATACGCTGCGAGGCTGTGCAGAGATGCTACGGCTCCTGTGATGGTGGTTTGGGCTGTGATTGCAGTACCGTTTGCACGGAAACTGAGGGGTTTCTGGTTGGTATCCCGAGGTTGACGGGAGAGTAGAAGCATTATTAATTGATACGACTGAATTGGTAAGCAGTCTGTAGAGGCAGAGAGTGAGGTGCTCAAACTGTCTTGCACGTAGAATCACTTTGAAGTACAAGGTGGGTAGATCAGATAATTGCGGCAATCACAAAGACCGTAACGGAAGCCAAAGAGTGCTAGCAGATGGCACATGATAATACGGACTCCTCCGAGCGAGCATTGTCCGTATTCTCCAGAGCCAGGGGTGGAGACCAGCTTCTCGGCTGCCGTTTATGACGCGCGCGCAAGAAGAGATCAAATCCAGCTTAGAAGCCGGACTGCACTATTCACTGAGTTGGCCTTTGTGTTTCAAGCTCGCTGCTGCTATTCCCAATGGGCTGGTACCTGCTCACGATGCTGCTGCCGGCTTCTCGTACTAACGCAAACGCCTGTAGCTCCGAGCTCAGCCGCAGCTCAAGTGTTTCAAGGCCATGCTTTTTGCTTGCTTGGCGCGGGCTTCTCCATCGATCTGCAACAAACGCTGCAGTCTACTGTGCTGTACGAGTTTACCTTTTGCCGTGTCTGTGTCTGTGTGATTGCGCGACTTATTTTGGTGCCTGGGCCAGTGAGCTCGTGCCTGTGCCTGTGCCTGTGCCTGTGCCTGGTGCCCCTGGCTATGGGCTCATCTTTTACCTTTTTGCTAGCATTCCCTTTTTTCTTAGCTAAAAACGATGCTAAAAAAGCAATTAGGGCGTGGTGCGGTTGCAGTCGTTGGGCAAAAGTGAGACATGATGAGACACAAAGCAAGCGTGAGTGTGTGTTGACGCTGCATTAGTGGCGTGAAGATCACAGCAGAGCAAGATTGGAGCAAAAAAAGGAAGATGGCGATGAGGAGTGATCGCCGCGCGGGATTAATGAAAAAATAAGGAAAAAGATTCCAGTTGCCAAAAAGCGGCCAATCAAACAGACTGGATGCTGTGAGATGACGAGATTTTTCTTTCTTTTTTTCTTTCGTTTCTTTTTTTTCTCATCTTATTCTAATTACATGGTGAAATGTAGAGCGAGAGAGACATTGTCTCAGTGTAGGCAGCTCACGCACCCCTTTTCTTTGCACAAGCTTTGTTTTGTTTACTTGCAAATTGAAAGAGGCAATTGACGAGGAAAATAAAAAAAAAGCCGGTAAGCCAAAAAAGAAACGAAAACTGGGGGGCGAGAAACCGTTACGATACAAAGTAAGCCCGGGCTTACAAGTAGTACTACTTCTACCACCACCTACCTAGGTATGTACAAGCACAGTATCACCTAGCACTCCAGATGAGATGCATATGAGCATCGATCACGGCCCATCGACTAGGAAGGAAGAAAATATCAAGGGCTGCTGCGCTTCTTCGTTTTCGCTCCCGGGACGGAGAAGCCTTCCGAAGCCCAGCGTCTCCTCTTTCATCCATCCCCCATATCCATCCCCCCATGGCAAAAAAAGGAACAGAACCGCCGTCCCTTTTTTTACTTCTTCCCTCTGCGCGGGTACGAGCCAAAATCGAACAAGGGACAAGGGGGGGGGGTTAAAATGCGGGCTGTTCCTTTTTGTTCTGAAATTTGAATTGTTTGCTTTTTTGGGGGGGGGGGGGGGGGGGCCACTAACAGAAAAAAAGCGACCAGGGGTTGAAATGTTGTCATTGGCACGAAGCGAAGCTTTTAGTAGCGTTTTTAGTGCCAATTAGTAATTCTTCTTGTCTTCTGTGCTGGTATTAGAGTCCCAGCCCCATGGCGAAAAGAGAGAGAGACGAGAGAGAGAGACTTCATGGGTTATCCCTGCCATACAGAGGCCATTCCCACCCACACACACTTTTTCCCTCTTTCGCTCCTTCTGCCTCCCCCAGGCCAAAGCTTGAGCAAATCAAGGGCCCCTGAGCTAAAAAAATAAAGGGCCAGAGGGAAGGGCAACCAAAAAAAAAAAAAAAAACGTGTATCACCCACCCCCTTCACCATGCGGACCAGTCAGAGCTCGCTGTCTTGCATCTTTTCAGCAGGACAAGGTTTCTCGAGGGTCCCGGGATAGTCGCCGAAGTGTGGAAGAGAGAGGAGGGAAAAGAAGAGAGAAAAACGACTGATTACTTTTTTGGAAAGTGCAGCAGCGGCATGCATATACAACACGCGTACTTGTATTTATTGGCTTTTTGCGAATGGGGGACATGATACGCCGGGCTATTTTGGAATGTTACTTACTTGAGCATGCTTTCTAACAGTGTAGGGATTTGCTGAGACGCCCTTTCATGACAGTCGGCGTACTGTACGTTGGAGTACTACTGCAAACTACCTTACAAGTCTATACATCCATCCATCCATACATGCACACAAAGACAAAAAAGGATCGCCGGCTTGTCCATCCCAGAGCCGCTAAACAGGGGCGCACGGATTGCCATTTGCCATGGCGAAGTCTTGCTGGCAACACGGCAGAGGATTGGGGAGAGAGGGCCCCATCCATCCATGATCCGTAGTCAAAAACCGATGGAAAGGGACACAAAGGAAAAAAGAAAAAAAAAAGAGTGGACATCATCGTCATCGCTCAGATTGTTTTCTTCTTCTTCTCTGACGGCACGCCACTTGTACGCGTTTAAAACGCCTTGTGGCGTGTTCCGCCTAAAAGAGAGACATGTCGATGCTTGTCGATTTTCTGTACGCGGGTTTCTGAGACATGTTGACGACGAGACGAGAAGGCTTGCCTCGAATTACACAGACACAGCGTTACCGAGCGCAGGGAGGGACGTAGGGAGCTGGAGACGGCTACTATCGATCCCCCCGTATTCTGCGTGGCGTCGTGGCACAGACACAGACTCATCAGGGCACGTTTTTTCTTGGTAGCACCAAGGCGAGATGAGACATGTCTCTTGTCTCGTCTCTTTTCTCTTTTGCTGCCTCTTATTCGCAGACGCAGGGCTGCGCTGGCAGTGATCCATAATAGCCGTGCTTTTTGCTTCCGGGCCAAGAAGACCAATCTCTTGCCGGCCTCGTCTCAGTACGCAGCCCAGCCTCTTTTTTAGTTTGATAAAGCTCCGGGTCCTAGCACCGACTACAGTAAACTAAGGCACACGCACACGCACGTTTTGCTACAGTGTATACTGTATAGCACAAACAAATAAAAGACGGCCATGGATGAGCTGCGAGGAACTTGAAGCCTCAGCCCGTGCTGGGGATCTAGCGCCAGGCCGGTCCATCTTGTTAGCGCTGGAACCGGCTCTGCCTCTGCTCTGGATTTGCGCTTGATACCGCGCCTTGCCCGGAACAGCAGTCGCAAGAGCAAAAAGAGAGCTCAGCTGCTGCTCTAGTCTGCATTGCTCTGGTGGAGGCGGCTCTCCTAGCACCGGGACAAGGCGGACTGGGGCCTGGCCTTTGACGCAATGGCAGACTCATCACTGAGATGGTGCCTGTATTAGCTCTGGAGTAGCATTGCCTTTGCGCTCTATTTTTAATTTGACCGTCATTTTATTGATTTTTTGGTTTCTTTACTGCTTGTCCCTTGGCGTCGTGCTTGCTTTGGGGGCCTGTTTGTTGTTTTTCAGCTCTTCGTTTTGCCCCAAATGACTCCGCCGGAGCCTTGCGTGCTCCCCGGCTTCTGTCGCTTTTTTTTCTCATAGACGGGCAAAAGCAAGCGAACAACGCAGTCGAAGGATGCTTCATCGTCTTCAGCTCGTTGTTCAGCTCGCATCTTGCTGCCACTCCGACTCCCGCAGCAGCATCGGCTGTTTGTCTTGTCCTCTTTTCCGATGCCTTCTTTTTTTTTGTCTGCTTTCTCATTCCTCCCTCTTCCCTCTTCGCTCACCCTCGCTGCTCCATCGGGCTGTACTGCAATAATACCAAATATATATTAATGGCCGACATTCATCCAAATGCGACCCGTGTCGTCGCGATTGGCCGGCGTGGAGGTACACGGTACGGCGGCCTCTCCGCTGATTCCCGCCCTCACAGCCCGTAGCCGGTACAAGACAGGCACACACACTCTTCCCAGACTCCATATCCAATAAACCCTGTCTCTGTCTCTCTCTCTCTTTTTTTTGTTGCTGCTTGGCTTGGCTTTGCAAATTATCCAGCCCAAGCCCAAAGCAAAAAAGCCCAGCCCAGGCCTCTCCAACATCCATATCCATATTAACCACGTCCAGCCCGCTAATCCCTTCAGGGCCTTTTGATTGCACGCATTCTCCACGGCGCGAGACATGGTTGCTGTAACTCCGTGCGTACCTGTACCTGTGCCTGTACCTGTGCCTGTGCTCAACTCGCTGCTCACTCGTCTCCAGATCCCCCATGTCCAACCCATTCTCGTAGATGCTGTACATGCATACAAGCTGGATGGAGGTACATGCACCATTTGCTTTGCTTCTGCTTGGGAAGCAATCCAATCCAGTCCAATCCAGTCCAGCTAGAGCTGGGCATTCTTGCTTGACCCTGCCCATCCTCTTTTCCTCCTCCTCTCTCTCATTCAATCTCTTCCCCGGTCCATTCTTATCTCTGATTCTCCGCCAGTTCCGTCCCCATCTTGCCCTCTTCTCTCTCTCTCCTCTCCCACGCTCTCGCTCTTTTCCTATTATACACACAACGGTCTGATACCCACCACGGACAGCACCCACCTGGCACTACAGCAGCTCGGTATAGCATCGTACCGCATGGGCATCGTACCACTACGGGGTACTGCCTCTGCTATTACACGGTCTTGCTGCTATACATGCCCCATACTTGTTCCTCTACTCTGCCTGCTACTGCTACTGCTACTACCACTGCTACTGCTACCTCAATATTAGTCGTAGCAGCTAGTGCCTGTGTACTAGCTGGCGCTACTTCTAGCACGCTCTCACCATCACTATCATTCATTGTTTTGCTTCTCCCCTAAAGGCCTGGGTCCCCGGCGTTGGCGCGCCTCTAGGTCCCCGACCCAAAAGCTACCTCGTCCCGCAGTACCCTCCACACCCCCGAGCAACCTCGCATCTACAAGGCCGCCGAGTCTCTTGGGCAACCTCGCGACTAGCCTCGATTCTGCTGCCGCCACTCTATTTGCTACGCAGCAGCCCCTTCGTCACTCAACCCGAGCCCGCTGCTTGCTTGCCTCTGGACATCTTTTGATTATCTCTGCCTCCATCGTATTCCCACACTCGCCTAAATCCTGCTACACGTACAATCTCCAGCAAACAGCGGCGCTAATCATTGAAAAAAAAGGGCCCGGCCGGAGCCTTTTCCTGCCTGCTGGGATCGTTCTCGCACGTGTCGAGAGTACCTGGGCCGCAAGTACCGGCACCGTCCATCGGCTGGGGCGCGCAACCTCGCCTGGCTGTACCTGGCCTGTACCGCTGAGCCCTTCGGACGGTTCCTTTCCTTCCTTCTCTTCCCTCCCGCAGCCACAGCCGCTCTTTCCCATTGTCTGCTCTCACGCAATTCTTTTGTTTTGCGCTCTTCTTTACTTTGCATCTTTCTTCCTCCTTTAATCCCGTTATCCGTATCTTGCCTTTTTCTTCTTCTTCTTCTTCTCTCCTCTGCGCTGCGCTTCTGAACCGACGTCCTCTCGCTCTTTTTGAACTTTTTTTGCTTTTTCTATTCTTCCTTCCATTCGTTTTATCGCTTCCCCCGACTCTCGCTACCGCATTCGTTCTTGTCCAATTCGTCCGCTGCCGCAAAAACAAACATACACACACTTGAGCAGCACTCTATCTTGCTTGTCTCAGTTTCCCGGCGCTCGACTCCGAAAGAAAACAAACACCCAATTTACATCGCCACTCGTTACATACTATAGCTGCGCAACCAAAAGGGGGAGAAGAAGAATAAAAAGAAGAAGAAATCAAAGAGGGAAACAAGAGGCCAACAAGAGGAGGGATATCGAACCGACGGAAAACACCACCTACTTTGCTCTCCGCCAGCGTCAAATGTGAGAGGCGCTCTCGCAATGGATCTCACGGTTCAGTCTCACCAGCTCCACCAGCTGAGCCAGCCTCAGCAGAATTCGCATACTCATCCTCCACAGTCTCAGATGATGTCTCAGTTCTCGCAGCCTCATATGCCGCAGCAGCAGCAGCAGCAGCAGCAACAACAGCAACAACAACAACAATTTCAACAATTGCAACAACAACAACAACAACAACAACAGCAGCAGCAGCAGCAGCAGCAGCAACACCAAAACCTCCAGCACCACCAACAGCAACACCAGCAGGTCGAGTCGCCCAGCGCCCAAAACGTCCTCGTCGAGGCCCGCAAGAACCTCCAGGTCCTCATCGACTTTGGCCTCTCCAAAGACCTGCTCCACCAATGGGTCGACCAGAATCTGGCCCCCTCCGCCTCGCCGCCCGCAGCCACCCCCATCCCGTCGCCGCTGCTGTCTCACCCGGCCTCGTCCCCCTCGCATCCGCTGCTGCAGTCGCCCCAGGCCTCGGTCCTTGCGCCGTCGTCGTCCGCCGTCCTCAGCTCGCCCGTCGCGTCTCTCTCCACCTCGTCGGCGGCCACGTCGCCGATTCCCGTCTCCTCGGCCACGGCGCCGTCGCCCGGGCCTGGCGCGCCCTCCATCGCCATCATCAAGACGGAGCCGTCGTCCTTTGCCGACGATGTGACGCGCGCCTGGGCCGCCGTCAACGTCAACGGCCTGCCGCCGCAGGTCCCCGCCGGCCAGCTCCAGCAGGTCTCCCGGATCGCTCCAGCGGCTTCTGGCGGCAAGTCAGACCCTGCCGCCTTCATCTCGCCGTCCATGCCGTATCTCAACCACCGCCCCCGAATCTCCGTCTCCTCCACCAGCTCCGGATCCTCGGGCCACGCCTCGCTGTGGTCCGTCAACTCGGCCCGCTCGTCCATGTCGTGGGCATCGGCCTCGTCCCGGTCGCTGCCCATGACGCCGTCGCCCTCGTCGGCCAACAAGACAAACATCTACTGGTGCACCTCGTGCGAGACCAGCTTCAAGCGCAAGTACGACTGGAAGCGGCACGAGGACGAGTTCCACGAGCGCTGGCGAAAGTATCCCTGCCCCGAGCCGGGCTGCAACCGCAGCTTCTGGGGCTCCAACTCGTTCAACCAGCACCACAAGCAGTGCCACGGCTGCAAGACGTGTCCGCACGCCGAAAAGGTCGTCCGCTTCCTGCGCAAGCGCAAGTACTGGGCCTGTGGCTTCTGCTCTGCCCTGCATCCGGCCCGCGAGCGCCACGTCGAGCATGTGGCCCGGCACTTTGAATCTGGCCTGGGCAAGGCCGACTGGATGCACTCGCGCGTCGTCTACGGCCTGCTGCACCAGCCGCTCATCCACAACGCCTGGGACGCCATGGTGACGAGCAAGCAGGCCGAGTTTGGCGGCCGCCGTCCGCAGTTCAGCTGGCATCCCAGCAAGACGGGGCGTGCGCAGGGCTTCCTGGAGAAGGAGAACCCCGGCCAGCTGCAGGACCTGCTCGAGTTCTTCTCCGGCGACGAGAGCGAGGCCCAGTGGATTGTGGGCATCGCCTTTGACCTGTCCGACATGGCCTTTTCAAACAGCCAGCCGTCGCCGCAGCCGCAGTTTGCGCCCACCGGCAATGCCATGGTTCCTGCGTCTGGATATCCGCAGCAGGCAGATGCTCGCATGTCCTTTGCCACACCGCTGCCGTCGCAGACGCCGCAGCAGATGCTCGCCTCTCCGTCTGGCGCGCCAAACGCCTTCAACTCGACACCGTATCGAAATCCCTCTGCCTTTGTTCCGTCTCAGGCTTTCCCTGCAGGACAGCAGCAGCAGCAGCCGTCTCAGCTTGATAAGCGCGAGCTGCCGCCTGTGCCCCAAGGCTCAAATGCCCCCATGACAGAGGGCATGATGGACTTTGAATATTCTGCCAATCCCGTCATCTTCGAGGACTGGGAGAGCATCGCCAGCTCAACCTTTTTGGACACATCGGCTCACCAACAGCAGCAGCAGCCTAACCAAAGTGCTGGCTGGGGAATGAATCCATTCTATAGCGACCCGAATGTCAATTGATCAAGGCAAGCCCTGGTCAAGACAAAGAACAAGAAATGAAAAAACGCCACAAAAAAACCATCACGCTCTCTCTTATTAATCATTACCGATCACCGGCACTACCATCGTTATTATTTTCACTGCAGTCTGCTGTTGGCATCGATTGCTTTTCACGTCGACGTTGCATCAAAATATTTCCTTAATCTCACTTGCGCTTTTGCTACATGTACTATTATCACAACTCAGCGCTACTCAGCGAACGTTTTTCCTTTGCATGTCTTTTTCAGTCTCTTATTATCATCTGCTTAACGGACAACCAACACCGAGCTTCGAGCATCGAAATGTCCGCAATCTCAAGGCAACAACACCTGCTTTTTTATCCACTGCCTTGGTTAATAATGATAATACCAAAAACCTACACCGCTTCTTCTTCTCTACAAACGAAAAGCGCTGGGCGTACATCTAGCCGCCACCTGATTTGAGAGCCTTGTTCTCTGCTACAGCCTCAGTCTACAACACCAAAATTTCCTTATTTTTATCATGTGTGTCTTCTATATAGTATCTTATATCGCGGAATCCACCCCGACAAGGGAGGAGTTGGAGGTTTAATCTATCGAGATGGATTTCTAATGGTCTTATCTGATCTCGGACTTGGGAAGCTTGCAGAGCTAGTTTCTTGTTTTTTTCCTTTCGTCTTTTGTTATTGGAAATGCTCGGGATCATATATATGCGTGCGGATGAAAAAGGGAGGACTTTGGATTACTTGATTGCTGTTTGACCTTTTGTTTTGTCTTTTTTTGCCTTGATTCTGGCTTGCTTTTTGTCTTTGTTCCTAGCAGTTTAATCGGCCAATGTATACAGGTATGAGGGGATGGAATCTGCAATAGGACTGGTACATGTTTGTGGATTAGTGGAGCGTATAGACGGATAAATGATGATATTCTTGGTTGTTCAGATTTTGACCTGAAGGAGACTTTATATGTTGATGTAGTGACTCTCATGTATCTGAATATCTTGAGGAGCAAGTCTGCTTCTTTCATTAGTCTGCTGGCCTCTCCATGTGGCGGATGACTCCAATGTGGCTTTGTTCTGCCACTCTATTCTGCCACCAGACATCGAAGGACGCGATTCAGATTACTGGACCCCCCACGAACGACACATATACTCTGACAAAAGAACAAAAGGGATAGTAGCCACGAGATCACTGTGGTGGATACCCACGAGATATTCTCGCATTATTTCTTTGACGTAATGCAAAGATGGACTGCAGCGAGCGGGCTGTTCAGATTAGCGCATTTTATACCTTTCATTGATGTTTTTCGTTGTTCAGATTTCGACTTGAAAGAGACAATATTGTTCATGTGATGACTGGTGAGTGTTTTGCTGGCCAGGCCATGGTCTTACTGCTTGAGTGTACTTTTCTGTTTCACCCACCTCTGCGGACCACACACGCTTTTACGGATGAGCAGAAAGAAGATTCATAGACGGTCATAAGATCACGGTGATGGATAATGATGAGATATGCTGGTATTCTTTCCTTTTGTTCAGAATGCGGGAATAGACTACAGGGAGCAAGCTGTTCAGGTAAGTGCCTTTAATACATCTCATGCCATTTCTATGTGTGTGTGGATTCTGGCTGCCGAGGGTGTTCAACGATCGAGCAGGTGGAATAAGAGCTGCTGTTCAGTGATAAATTCACTGTGAACAGAAGATTTGAAGTTATATTTAAAAGTATTAAAATTATAGGATCGTGTTTTATCGGCTATAAAAGCTATGGTCCTTTCCTATAGATGAGCTTGACATACTATTACGAATTTTTAAGAGCGGAGTTAAGCGCAAGATACCTATTACGTTGGTTTCCACACACACACACACACACACACGCACACACACACACACACACACAACTTATCATCTTCATACGTATCTAAAATGAGTTTGATGCAACTGGTATACCTCTATAACCTGGGTCGATACGGAACGTATATACCTGAGCATCGCAGGGAGCCTGAAGAAATACGCGATCTCTTCATACAACGTATAAAAAGAGGAAATGACGATCAGTCCAGCTACTTTTCATGGGAAGACATGACAGAGGATGAAAAAGATAGATTCGAGCGCCTATTTGACCGATTTGCGAGACACAAAAGCCGTAGGAAGGAACGCCAATGGAAGAGCGATTTTCAAAAGGCGTGTGACGAGTTTTGGGAGTCTGGATCGGGAAAAATGTGGAAGAATGGCTATAACCCTAAGGATGATTAGTTGATGATTTAGATTTATACCAAGACAGTCGTCCTACTAGTAGCACTTTGCTTAAACATCAAAGAGCAAGCAGGAAGAATAAAGGGTTATTGTCAAATGACTACTGAAATGTATGGAAACAGGAAAAGGGGATATCATGAGAGCGGGTGGAACAAGGGCTGCTATTCAGCAATAAATTCACTATAAAAATATTTAACATTTTATTTAAAATTATTAAACATTTTTAATCGTGGTTTATGGGCTATAAAATCCATGGCCATTTCCCATAGATTATAGATCAGCTTGACATCTCACCACCAGCCTTTAAAAGCACAATTAAGCACAAGACACCTGATACCTTAGACTTCCACACAAGCACGCACGAATACGCTGCCTAACAACCTCCATACGTATCCAAAATGGACTTGAAGGAATCTGTCTCTAAGCTGGCTCAACGTCTGAAGGCCCCTCGCAGCGAAATTGTTCGCAGTGAAATTGAGACTCGTACAATCGAATATCCACGCACAGTCGAAGAGCGTGACGAATTACACCGACGCTTCATGGTGCAAATTGAAAGTGGATATTTTAGGCTTACTGGGATATTTTTGGGGACTACATAACCAGAGAAGATAGAGAGAATTTCGAGCCCCTATTTCTGAGGTTCAAGGAGTTCAAGAAGTTCGAGTTGTTGAAGAAGCTGATATGGTCAAGGGAGAATACGGAGGAGGAATGGAAGATGGATCTCAAGGAGGCTTGGAATGAATTTTGGGAGGAGGGGGGTGGTAAGAAGTGGATCGAGTATAACGAGGGGCTTGCTTTTTTGCCTGTTCTACCTGATTTTTAAACAGTCCTACTAGTAATACTTTGCTTAAACATCAAAGAGCAAGCAGGAAGGACAAAGGGTGGTTGTCAAGTGACTAATAGAATATATGGAAAAAGGAAGAGGGGCTATCGTGATCAAAGAGATCAGGTCTTTTTTTAGTCGTGTTTAATAAATTATAAAAACCATGATTATTTCCCATACATTAACTTGGAGTATCATCGCCAATGTTCAGAAGCAGACAAGATATTCATCACCATAAGTTATCACACAGACAGACAAACAGACACACATACGCACACACACACAATCACACACTATCATAACGTCCATACGCATCCAAAATGGGCTGTGGCCCATCTATACCCAAAACTGCAGGAGAGTCTGAACCCCAAAATTCCAGAAGAGCGTGGAATATAACAACTGGTAGACAAGGGCAGTGACAGATTGCGCAAAGACCTATTGGAATGGGTAGAAGACAGAAACAAACTTGAGGAGCATGATTCATATAAATACATGAGCGATCATGACCGAAGGGAATTCATTGGCATATTTGCCGCATATCGGAGCCTTCGAGGATCAAGGGCTGAAGAATGGAACGAGGGGTATGAAGAGATGTGGAAGGACTTTTGGGAGACTGGGTCTGCAGTGAAGTGGCGTAATGGAAAGAGTGCCCGGGACACTAGGGAACTTTTTGCATTGCCGACTACAATGTCAGTTTAACAGATCTTTAGTTGTCTTGGCATTTTGCTCAAACATCAAAGAGCGAGAGGGAAGAACAAAGGGTTGTTGTCAAGTGACCAATGTACGCAAACGGAGTATAGTACGGCTTACTGAAAGACTTTAAATCCATCAAGTCGTGTTTTGTAGACTATAAAACCTATAACTATTTCCCAAATATTAACTTGGTACATCATCACCGACGTTAGAAGCAGACAAGATACTTTTCACTCCAAGTGGCGAAACACAAAAAATCCCTTCTCCATACATATCCGAAATGCTGAGGAAACTCATCTCTAAAGTCGTTCGGCGCCCATCGCGACCAGCCAAGGGCCGCGAGGAGACCTCTAGCATCGGCGATAAATTAGCCCTTCTGCGCGCAGACCTAGACCGTGATGACATACGCAAACACGTTCGAGAATGTCTGGAAGGGAAGAGCAAAAATTATCGAATGGAAGAACTCTTTGTTATATATGAAGATATGAGCATGGCCGAACAGAACAGCTTCAAGGCCCTATATGAAAAGACTAAGCAGCAGACAGTGAACGAGGACTGGTGGACGGAATTTGACGGTCTTTGGGCGAAGCTTTGGTCGACTGGGTCTGTATCGAAGAAGCTCATGGCGAGAAATGGCTGCAACCATCACGACGATACGTTGTTCGGTGCCGTTGAGGTTTAAACCAAGCGAGGGCTGATTGCAGAATTTGAGAAAGAAATGGACAGTGGACCTGATCAACAATTTGATTCAGATCTAGGATTTTTTTATTACATGAACCGGAAGCAAAAAGACAACCTCCGCCGCCGATATGAGAAGCGCGCGAAATTGGATGAAGATAATCAGAAATGGGGCCAGGCATGGGGGAGATTTCGTATGTTGATGGAAGATTTCGTATGTTGAAGGAAGATTTTTCAGACCCAACATTCTTGTGAAACAATTCTCTTGTTGGGAAAATTATAAAAATCATCATTATTTCCCATACATTAACTTGGAGTATCATTGCCAATGTTCAGAAGCAGACAAGATACTTACCTGTTACCTTGAGTTGCCACACAGACAGACAAACACACACCACTCACACACACACCATTCACACTCGCACACTCGCGCACTCGCACGCACATACACATTGTCTATAACGTCCATGCTTATCTGAAATGGGCTGTTGCATGTCCAAGGACGCTCAAGTCAAGCCGGCCGGTAGCGTCGGAAACAAAGAACAACATGAGAAGCGTCTAATTACAGACGTAGACCCTGGCCAAATGGGCGTTGAACTTATCAATTGGGTAGAAGATAGAAATCTGATCCAGGATCACTGGTTTGTGAAACTCATGACCGGCGATGAAATAAAAGATTTCATCGGCGTATTTTCCACAATTCGGTGTTACGAAAAAGAGGAATGGAAAAAAGGTGTTAACGAAGAGTGGGAAAGGTTTTGGGCAACTGGGTCTGGACGCAAACGGTAATGAGCGAGAAGGAAATACAAAGGGTTATTGTCAAGTGACCAATGTATACAAATGGAATACATCTAGTGTTTATCAAAGGGATTGGAAATGTAATTGTGTTTTAAAAATTATAAAAACCATGGCCTTTCCCTGTTATTAACGTTGTGTACCGCCATCAACAACAAAAACCACATCATCATCATTCCAATGCAAAATTAAGCACAAGACGAGTCATTGCTACCGTTTGCTGTACACATATATCTATAGTTGCAGCTTTCTATACACATCGAAAATGGGAAACTGTCTATCTGCACCAGCCCCAGACGAGCTACACCCATCCGCAAATGACGAGAAGCCTCCTGTCTACGTGGAGAAATCTATCCCATCGCTGCTCCATGAATTCGAGCAAGGAATGTTGGAAGTCGAAGATTTCAAGTTTGATGGGCACCCTCTTGTTATTGAACACATGGACGAGGACGTCAGGCAGAGCTTCGGTGAGCTGTATGGGGGGCGTCAATGGCCCCCGACGGCCCTGTGGGTAGAGATATTTGACGAAAGATGGAAGTCATTTCGAGAGTCGAAGGAAATTTAGATATAGTACTTCGGCAAAGTATGAGCGTGCTCATGCCCATGACCAATGTTCCAACACTCGACGTGAACCTTTTTCTTGATGGGGGGGATTTCCGTCTCGAAAGAGCGAAACTTTGCCATTGCTCTCGGAAAATTGGTTCATCGAAACGTTTGTTGGCGAGACTTATTCGAAGGATGGAACGCAAAAAACCACTTGGAGTGTTTCCTAGACAAGGGAAAGACGTGCGCTGCTCGTGAAGCCATAATCATTAGAGTAGATTCCACAAACAGTGAGGGATCAGAGACAGAGGACACAGACACAGACACACCTGAAGGAAGAGAGGAGACTGAAGCATCGATATTAGTTGGGATATCAGGGATTGTAGCACTGAAAAGAACCAAAAAAAAAAAAAAAAGAGTGCGCAGAGATTCAGGCAAACATGGGCAAATAGGGGAAAGGCCGCAAAGGAAAAGATATTTCGGACACTCGTTGACAATAGATAGACGCAAGGTTGCAATATGCATATATTTGAGCAAAGTATTTATTTCCCATCTTCGCAGGATAAATTGATAGTGCTGTATTGATAGCGAGTGCTTGCCAGTTGCCCCAGCCGAGTCAGGAGGTGCAGCATAACGTGACCTGGAGACGAGTTCTTTCCTATCCGTTCGCACCTATGCACGCTGATTCTTTTCTCTTTTTCTAAACATTTTCCGATTTTTTCCTTTTTCCTATTCCAAACGCTGATAGTTTTATCTGAACTATTTGGGTATGCATTGTCTGGTTATTCATCTGCTTTTCCTCTTTTTCTAATCCTGTTCTTTAGGTGCCTCAGGCGTCACCACTTCGAATGATTCCTTCCCGGCGTCTTTTGCTCTCCAGCTTTCAACCTCGTCTTCCTTCCAACCTGTCCCTCTTGAATCTCGAATTGCTTCTTTGCTTCTTCTATTATTTCCCCCTTATCAATCGCTTCCATCAGCTGATCTCCATTCCCACCATCGACCACAACCAGCACTCCTGAAAAGCCCCCCAGGTCCTTTCTATCTGGTAATATTCATTTCGAATCGTCTATTCCTCGACATTAGTTTGATTCCCTGCAAGCTCCCAACCCCAAACGCCACTGTTTATCATTAGGTTGCTAACAATCATTGTCATTAGGCTTAGGTATTCGCTTCGTTCCTGTCATCCCATCGCGCCGCCTTCTCAAGCATTAGACTCGACATGAATCTCATACCCAATAAGTACTTCTGTATTCGTTCCATCCCATCCTCTCGTGCCCGCCGCACTGAGCATGAATCTGCTCGATGGGTCAATATACAGACTCGAGATGACACCGGCTCTGGGAGGTCCCGGGATGATGAGAAACGGCACGGTCGAGTGCTTGAAGGCGCGGGTTTCGCGTAAGTCATACAGCCTGAGGATGTCATGCGAGGCACTAAATGCAAGAAGTCTTGTTAGCCCATGAACAGACAGTCCGGAGAACCCCAAACAACGGCATCGTTGCATCACAATCATCTTGCCCTTCTTTCCTTGCCCTCTCCGCTTGTTCTGCCCTTCTTCATCTTCACCATCATCTTCATCTTTCAATTTCGCCTCTTCTCCTGTCTCTTCTTCTCCTTTCTCCTCTGATTTTCTCCTTTTCTTTTCTTCTTTTCTTTTCTCATGCCTCCACGTTCCTTTGTTCTGTTGTCCAAGCTTCTCCTTCTTCTTGATCCTCTCTCTCCCCTTCTCCTTCTCCATCAACAAATCACCATCAATTGCAGACTTACCAGACTAGATGTCGTCCATTGACCATGGGCTTGATTGCACTCACTGCACCACTTCCTGCTGGAAACCTCAACACCCTCTCTGGCTGCCATCCCCTTTTTGCCTTTCCTATGTCAAACTCTTCCACCGTTCCATTGCGTCTGCCCGCATAAATCTTGTTGCCGTCTGGGCTCCAGCAAGCGCTCATGCACCAGGGCGGCACACCGGCACGGTTGTTGATTCTCGCTACAGGGTTGGGTACTCTTCGATCCCAGATGCGAATTGTGCCGTCTATGGCTGACGACAAAAAGGTCGTGCGTGATATCTGTGAAGCTTCGTGCTGCGTGGGAGGCGGCTGCGAGCTGAGTATCATTGGAGATTGCGGTCTCTTCGTGTCCACTTGCTCAGATATATCAGCCATGGACTGGCTTTCCAGAGGCTGCTCTTGCTCCTGCGGTGCTTGGCTAGATTCCTCTGCTTTTATGGTATCCGTATCTGTCGCCAGCTCTGTCTGCTCTGAGATGCCTGACATGGCCGAAACCTGTGTGTCCCCAGGGCCTGAAGCTGGGGCAGGGGCTGGAGCAGCAGCAGCAGCAGCAGTATCTGGACGTGGGGTATCTACATCCATGGCATCCGCTCCCACTGGCGATTTCACAGGCTCTGATGGCTTGGCTTCCTCTCCAGTTACTGTACTGTCTAAGCCCGCCATGGTTGTGTCGTCTGGGTGATTCATGCTCGCATCATTCTCTTGCCCCATGCTCATACTAGCCCCAAATTCGTCGTCATCATGCCCAAAAGGCTGCTCACCTGCTGTCTCGCCAAACAAACTACCCGCATCATCACTTCCTCCAAAAAGACTCTCATGAGCTGGAGAGGCTGCAACAGCGATTTCATCTTCCCCTCTAGCTGCAACAGTGATCGACTTGTCAATTCCGTTTGAGCTTCCATCATCGTCTCCCCCGATAAAGCTTGCTTTCCTCATTGGCGCCCCATTATTGGTGGCTATGGTGCTCGACGGCAAAGGCTCGTCGGCGTCTGCAGGAATTGGGGCACCGCTTGCAGGTCTCAGCTCAATGGACGAAATCTGACCGCCACTGCCGTCAAAACTTCGTTTCACATTCCCCGTGTCAAGATCCCAGTCAAAGATGTTCTTGTCCCATGCACCGCTGAGAACGCTTCTCTCGTCAGGGGCCAGTGTCAACACGCTGACGGCATTAGTGTGCTTCTGCAAACATGATATCCTCTTCCCCTCGTCGTGGCGTACGCTCTGCAGGTTAATTGCGCCGGACTCGAGCCCAGACAGTAGCCAGAGCGCCTCTGAATGAACGGCCAGCGAGTAGACAGACGAGAGAACATGCTCCTGATCGCTGCGGCCTGGCGCCGCGGGCTCTTCGTTGGGCCAGTACGACATGAGAATGCCAGCCTTTGTGACCGAGTCGACAAAAGGGTGTCTCTGTGCGACCGTCAGGGCCAGCTTGCCGTTGATGGTTCCCTGCCCGTCGTACTTGCGTATGTACCCGTCAGCCCCTCCCGTGATCCAGTACCGCAGATCCGGCGTGATGGCCATGGCGTTGATGCTTGTCGACATGGGCGCTGCCATGGTGGGTACAATGTCGTACAGCCGCGCTGAGTAGACTTCGGGTCGGATCTTGGGGCGCCACGTTCGATAGAGAGTCGGGAGCTCGTCGAGCCCTGGCGAGTCGGCCTTCTTCTCGGGCGATGTATGCTCCTTGGGAGGGACTCTGTCGTCGGTATCGGCGTCGACGTCGGCATGAGAATTCGAGAGCGAGTACGGGTTGGTCGCGGCTTGGCTGTCGTCGCCCATCACCACCACCGTGGCGGTCTCGTCGCCGCCGTTTTCCGTCTCTCCCCTCCTGCTTCCCTCCTCCTCGTTGTTGTTCTCGCCATCAAAGTCGCCTTCCTCTTCTCTGTCGCCGTCGTCGGCATCCTCCATGACCTCATCCGGCTCATTGTCGCGGTCGGACGTGGGCGAGCTTGCCCGCGACTGCTCCTCTTCGTCCATTCGTCGTCGCGCTGTCGGTGGTTCAGGTCTAGAGGCACACAGGCATTGAGTCAGTACCGTCGCTGGCAATGCATCGCTGCCTGGAGGAGACGAACGTGGAGTGCGATGCAAAGCTCACAGTGACGCCGCAGTTGGTGGAGAGCTGTGGACGACGCCATCACGCCTGGAGAATAGGCGAGGCTGCGTTGTCGCCGCTTACGTAACACCAACCGATGTCGCTTTGAGTTTAGCCTTGCGCGCCGATTCCGCAGCCTTACCCCAGAGCCACTTTAGCGGTACCTGGCAGCTTGTTTAGCTGCCGTGATAGGCCAATTGAGAGGCTGCATGCAGTACAACAACCATCTCCGAGACTATTTCAAGGTGCGCCATACGACACTATTGCAGTATAAAAGGTCTAGAAACACGTGCATTATTTATGATTGGCACTTGACTACCACCTTTTATCCATTTGGACATGGCTACTCAGCCTTTCCTACTTATTCATTGCTATGTGGCCATTTTAAATTTTTAATACCAGCATGGAGCCACTTGATGCTACTTTATAGCCATCAAGTCTGTTCGCGCTATCATCTACCCATAGCTATTTGGTATGTGCTTGGCTTTTGAACAACTTTCGGACTGATTTCGGTGGTATATTCCACCTACATAGTGGTATGTACACCGGAAATCGTAGTTTTTGGAATACAGGAGTAAATACTAAGCGATATCGACATTCATTTTTTTATCTAGTCATTGCTAAAATCAATCAACAGCTCCTCCCCCTTCTTGCTGCATGCACCCGAGGCTCACTTCTGAGCCATTGGTTGGGGTATAGCTGCTTTAGCTGATGCCGCCCCCTTACCCTCTACCCTATCACCAACCTTCGATAGCTATAGAACAACAGCTCATCGATTGTATAGTCTGCACAAATTTTTACAGCCCTGGCATTGACTGGGAAAAGGCCAATCTGGAGGCGTTTTGGCAGGCGATGGGGGCTAGTAGAGCCCGCTGGAGCCCGCTGGAGCCTTCGAAATCCTCCTCCAGCCGGCTTCCAGCTCCATAGCACTTGTACAAGCATGAGCAAACCTGACTGCATACATGTACTTTGATACAGCAATGGCCACAGAAGGCCCTTCCTGAGCGATGCTGCTAGTCATCGTGTATCTGATTTTTAGCATGGTATCCCGTTTTGTAAGAGTGCCCGCAAGGGCACTTGTCGCTACACATTGTTGTTTAAAGAGTATAACAAAGGATCCCAAGCTTGATCAAGCGCTCAAATATAAAAAAAAAAAAATTGGAGGTTAAAAGGCTCCTGGTTTAGGCCGTAGAGGTTGAAAGGGGTTTGTCGACAGTCTCGATCAATAGCTCTAGTGATAGGAATACACGTAACAGCTGCGGTAGTCGATTCTTTGGCTTTTGCAGCTTCTTCAACAAATCAAACCTAGGATTTTGTAGAACTGACAAGGCCGTGGTACTTGAAGAGCCCCGTTGTTATACAAACAATGGTTTGAAAGCCTCCTTCATTGGTGATATAGCAAGAGGGAGTGAGCTGCCTTTAAGGTTTCCACAGACGTTAGAGCAAGGATCAAGGGCCCTGTTAGGAGAAGAGAGAGTAGAGTCTGGCGCTAGGCACATGGCGTGCTGTAGGCTTAGAGGCAAGAACATGCCGCGAAGCTTGAATGTGGCATCATCGGGAGCGCAGCCTCCGCGAAGCTCAAAGGCTGTATCTGCTTCCTAGTCTCTGACATTGTTATACTTCCGCAGCAGGGGGAGATCTTACTGGCATAAGCTTGAGCTTGTCAAGACCTTTGTATCCTGTCGGCCGCTGTAAGAACCAGGGTTAAGCCATGCGAGAATGGGTATACCTATTAGGCGTATTATCGAATTTGCCTTCGTGATGGGCTGCATTATCGAGAAGAGATTGATACTGTTCATCAGTAATCAAGCTGGAGCCAATAAAGTCTTTAACGCAGACCATATCGCGAGGATAAATGTCGAACAACTCCTTAAGGGTTGCAGAGTTTTGATTCCACATTGCTTGGCTCCCGGGGTCAGGCTCCGGAACTTGTAGGAGGTTCAAGCATTGTAAATGGTAAGAAGGGCAATGATTGCAGAGCATGATTGTCTACCAAGACGCACAACTTTGCCTAAATCCAAGCGGACACATTCTTCTAGCAGCTGCTCTAGCGCATGGTTTGTTTGAACGGCGTTAATGACAGGCACAGGCAACGAATGCAGGCCTTTAAGGTTTTCACAAAACTATCGTGGCGACAGTAGGGGCGAAAGTCCTTCTGGCTCCAGATGGCCCTTGTATAATGGAGGACTTGCCAGTCACCATAGCCCTGCATGTGGCTTCCTGGGAGAAATCGAGTTTGTCGGCAGCTGCACGCCTTTGCTTTGGCCGTCGCTCAACCCTAGGATGCCTTGGATTAGATGAATAATACGGCAAAGGTCCAGTCACAACCTCACGGTATGCACCCTTCGAACGGAGACCTTGAATGACTGCTGTCGAATATTTCGTACCCTGCAAAGTACTTCTCGCGATCATCACAGCACAGCGATGCCTGAAAGTGCCTATAGCTTGGTCTTCTGCTCATAGCTAGCACGGTAAGGAATTGTAGTTCGTGACGGGGGCAAGAGATCTTGGGTCGCGTTGTTTGAAGGAAGTGAGCGTCTCGTTTCTTTTGTCTGTTTCACTGTCAACTGTCAGCTAAGAAGCCACTTTGTGCCGATAGGATGACTAGAACTAGAAATCGGCTTTTTGTTCAGCACATCTCGATTCTTACAAGGAGGTTCTCTTGGGAGTTCGCAAGAGAGGAATTCCTGGTTGTCTTGTAGTCCACATTGCTTGGATGCTAGCACTAAGAATTGGGCTACTCACTGGCATGCTCGTGAGAAGGAGACTGGCGGCGTCTCCGAGAATCTAGACCAGCTGCGCAGAGACTAACGTGGACTGTCGGCTTTTGAGATGGATTTCATTGATGATAAAGAACGTACATTTCTTGAGAAAGAGAAAGAAACGAGGTTGATAGCCATTCTCTATAGAAGCGCTGTTCGGGCGGTCGGTGCGTAGCCCAGAGTTGGAGCCGACTCAGGAGGTAGTCAGAAATGCTGCTGACTAGTTAGGCATGGCAATAACAATATTGCTGGGATTATTCAACCTTGATACAAGAAGGATAAAAACATACAACTAGCCAACCATGTCCTGGTCGAGACCGAGAATAAGGGATAAAACATGTTCGCGAATGGCTTCGCAAAAGCTTTTGACGCTGGAATCAAATTCCAAAATAATACCAAGCCTAGGCAGGACTATAGTCTCCAATAGTTGACCACCGGAGAAGCTTTTGATTCTTTGAATCATGCGTCGAGCTCGGAGGCCCCCTCTATACGGCCGTTTTGGAGCAGGAGATCATCGAGTTCAGCGAAAATAAAGACCCTGTGCAATTAGAGAAAATTCACGGCAAAAGAAAAGCCAAGTAGTCGATGTTCCGGCATTTGGATGTGGATTGTGTGCGGTGAATTCGAATCGACCACGCCTAGGAGCTGCTAATTGAGGCTTTCTTTTGGAATGCTGAGGCTGGTTTCTTAGGATAAACGAATGACTGGGGACTGGAAGGTGTTGTACTGTCTATAATCTCTAGCAGGCTGCCTTTGAAAGAGGAGATTTGGCAGTGGATGGCGACAAGAGAGACAATACAGCTAGTAAAGTCGTGTTTGTAAAGTTGAAAATGTTGGCTTTGGGGCTGTATTTTCGGCGTAGGTAGTAGGGAGTTGGCGGTCCGGCGGTTACTGCCGTTTTCTGGCAGTTGTCTCCATTGCCTGGTAACGCCAAGAGCGAAACAACAAAGGAGAACAAGCATATAAATGAAAAAGAAAATATATTCATTCGATGTAAAATGTATGATCAATTGTTTCCTCTCTCTCTCTCTCTCTTTTTGGTCGATTATTTGGCTTCGGTAATACCGGTGTATAACTCAGCAGCCTCTCTTTTTCGCTCGGCGTCGCATTAAATTTGAAAAGACCTGCTTTTCAATACAAGGTATTAGCTTGCAGAGTTTGGAAGAAAAATACATCCGACTAGTCCGTGCGACATAGCAAATCAATACCATCGTGCATGCTGTGGTTTGTTGAATGCGCAGCTAGGTACATCAGCAGCCTGGGCGCGATCGTGTACCGTGTAGAGAATACTGACAAAAAACAAACAAGGATTTGCTAAACAGCTTTCCTGATTTCTCCAAACGACTTTGATAATAATAATCAATGCATTTTGTTCATTCTGAAAGGCTATGGAAGCTGCTCGTCATGTGTGCTCATCCGCTAGTGGAGCATTGCCCAGTGCCAAGCTATAAGGCAGACAGCAAATATTTGTTCAATTTCTAACATATTATTGACTTACAGTAATTGTTTTCAATATGCACTCGCTGTTATGGTAAAAAGTGCGAGGCCGAGAAGTAGGGCGAGTGGCTACCGAAAATGACGGCCGACTGGAGCGCAGCTTAAAAGCTTCATACCTTTTTCTCGCCTCCTTTTGGCCTGACAAATCTCCAATTGCCTTAGACAGGCTCTTTGTGTTCCAAAAGAGTAATCAAACAGGTGAGAAATGTGTTGCCGTATAGTGTTGTTCTGAGAGATGATGGAACTAGGTCATGAGACATGGTATATAGTACGTTCGGACTCGTCGATGGTGCCAAGCAGCCTGGAAATGCCCGCGTATATATGAGTGTATACTTGATTGAAGTACGCCATCAAGGTGGATTGTGCAGCAACTTCAAAGCCTTCATCATATCTCCCCACTGTACACCCTTTCTGACGTTTTACTAGATTCTTTTCTCCTTCTCTCCAATCTGCTTGTCGTATTGTTTTCCTGCCATTTCTGTCCTTTCTCTCCCCATTCTTAGCCACCTGTTCTGATCAAGACAAATAATCATCCTGCTTTATGGAGAATGTTTGTCACGTGGCCTACTACGGCACGCCTCCTCTGCTTGTCACTAGCTTAGTTCTTCTCTTCTTCATCATCACAGTTTTCAGTCACAGTCACATAGTACACCCTTCGAGTGTCAGTGCCTTTGGTTGTTGTGTTTGTTCTCATTTGCTTTGTTTCGTTCGTGATCCCTTCTTACTTCGTGATTCCTCACAATGTTGGTGGTAGCCGACATATCGATATTCATATCTCAATCCCCCCATTCATCACCATTCAAACGCTGCCTCCCCTCCCAACTTCCAATCCCCTCATCCATCACCATTCAAACGGTGCCTCCCCCCAGTCAAGATGCCGCCAATCAGTGGCTGGACGCCAGGCAGGAGGCCCATGGTCCAGAAGCCCAGACTCTATCTTATTGACGAGCGCCGAGCCGAGAACCAAGCAAGGATTGACCACACTAACCGTGGAACCGGACCCAGGCGCTTCATCAACATCATCCAGCAGGCGCTTCATCAACATCATCCAGCAGGCGCTTCATCAACACCGTCCAGCAGACACTCCAGCATCAGCAGACTGATACAGGTATGCGCCCACTCTCATCTTGACTTGCGTGAAGCTGGCAGCTAACGACGGGCCTGCGCAGACGATAATCTTGACGATGAACTCGCCATTGAACCGATTGGAGGAGGCGTCCCGTCGTGATAGAACTGCTCGCTACCAATTTTACCTGTCAAGTCCAGTCCTTGCTCACCGCAACCATCTAGCGTCAAAGGGCAAATTTTCTCTTCATCTTCGTCTTCATTATCAAGTATATAGATCATTCATGACAACTACGGTAATGTCTGCTAAGTGGTTGTTGGGGGACTCTTCCCCGACATCCCCAGGAAGGAAGGAGATATGGGACCACCCTATGTATATATAGCTAGACTAGATCCTGCATCATGAGAAGAGACAAGCCTTTCTACCCCCCATACTGTGCACATACGTTCCATGACGTCCAGGGTACTACGTGAGGGGACTGCTCCATCCGCAATAGTGGTGGTCGTCAACCAGGCGATAGAGTGTACCTCCATCTGAATAAGGGATACCATATCCTATGTTAACCCCCCAGAAAATGGTCTCAACAGAGAGCCGGTGCTTTTGAAGTTCTGCGCAAGGTTGGTTCCTTGGCCTATCAACTGAAACTGCCTCCCGCTTGGAAGATACATGACGTCGTCTCAGTCGCACATCTATTGCTTTGCTAGGTCCACAAACAGATGATCCGCATGGGCAGACGCCCGGTGAGCACCAAATCATCATATTAGACGACGAAAAGCACTGAGAAGTAAAGAAGATAATGCAGAGGTAGTTTAATAAATGAGGGAGAAACACCCAAGTGAAATACCTCGTTGAATGGAGGAATTGTGGGCACGAGGAGAGACAATGGATAAAGAGGAGGGATGACCCTACAATTTGACCAGCCGCTTTGTTCAGGCTTTTTTGCTTGCATCTCATGCCACGACCAAAATTTCATATGAGTTTGAGTTCAATCGCAAGTGATTTGTATGTAATCCTGTTTCCCCCCCTCTTTTCAACACACCCTATCAGCTTAACAGACACGTGGTACCTTATATCAGAGGCCTTCAGGACCTTAAGGAGTTTGATGGTTTATTGGTGTGGGTGTGTGACTAAGAACAAGAGCAAGCCGTTCGGGCAAAAAGGTAGACTTTATAAGCTGACATCGGAGGTCCTTGTATGATCGGGCGGGACCACGAGAACAAGGTCTATTGGAGACCGGAAGCTGATTTGGCGGAACGTGCTTGTGTGGCGTTGTTTTTGTTAATAATTATTGTAACCCCGATTGTTATCGTATACGCCGACGTGCGCGAATCATGGAGTAAGTCATGGTCTCCTGTGGGAGCTCCTTGCTATAATACAAGGAGACCTTGAAGGGTTGAAAGGGCTTGCTATCATCATAGAACTTAGAGGTGGAAGCCACTCGTATTGTTTCAATACAAATGGAGGGACCTCCTTCTTCCCTGGGGACTTGGGCAGGTGTCCTACAACAGGCCTGACAAATGAGACTGGAAGCACATGACTACTCAAGACCTCCCCTCAAATTCAGCGACCTAAGGAGCCATAAAGACCTTTGTGAGACCTGGCCTAGCCTTGGAGTTTGTCGTCTTGTCGTTGTTTAATTAGAGATCTTATCTAAATCCTTCATATCCATGCAATTTCTCATCTCGAGACCCTCATCTCGAGACCCTTCGTTTCTAGGCCGATTCTTTGTTTGTTTGTTTGTACTCGTCACATCGCAGAGTCCAATTTGGGTTGTTTCCCTCAAGATCATCGAGCTATTAAAGCCACAGTGGTCGGGATGGAAGGTTGGCATCTTTGCAAAGTCATTTTCGCGTGATGATTCATTCGGCACAATCTCATGGTGGAGGGAATTGTGCTGCTTGTCGGACTGTTTCTTCTCCCCCGTCTTATTCTTCATTTTCACAGTAAAGTCTCAAGTTCTCATAACTTATCTGCGGTCTCCAGGGACCTAGTGGGAATGATGATTGATTCAGTATGTGTAAGCTGCTCGAGAAAATGTATGGACTTGGTAAATAAGGATGGAAACGCGTGACGACTCAACAGTTTGCCGTCTCCGTATGCCAGAAGTGGTTGGAAGTAGCGTGTTTCATTTCCGAAAACCACGGTCTGTCAGAGCTTGACGGCGGCGTAGCATATGTCGTGTGGTGGTGTTTGTAGATTGTGTTTCGGAAAGGAGCAAATGCTCGTGCAAAGGATTGGCTTGATAGACACAGGTGGCATGTGAACATACTACACCTCCCCTCGAGCCTAGTAGATAAATGAAGCTATCATGACCTTTCAAAGGCTGACCCAAGCCTTCAGTCTTTTTATGTTCTTCATTCTGAGGCCCATTGTTATTCGCATCCTTTGTTTCTAAGCAAATATTCATCCCGAGGTCCTTCGCGTCCAGGTAAATATTTGTTGTTTTATCCAGCACATTCTCATGGCAGGGCATCTTCGGGGAGCCGTCCTGCTAGTCGGACTCTTTTGACTTCTTCATCTTCGTAGTTGAGTGCGAGAGCTTTTGTCAACCAGATAGGGACTTGGCGAACTTGAGGATTTATCCTGTGTGTGTGAACAAATGCTTGTGCAAACGGATAAGTTTGATGAATACGGGCAGGTAAATGACCACATCACAAGTTTGAAGCCGTTATCATCGCAAATCTGATTATGCGTCGCAGAAACGCTAGTTGTAGAGGAGACTTGGTGTATATATGAGCAGTTTTGCCGGCAGATAAGATGTCCCCTGCGTCGAACGAGCCCTCTGCTGATGAACGAAATTACGGAGAATGCGGCACTTCGTCTCGACATTGTGAACAGCCGTTGAGGGGATTGAAAGTGGTGCGCCCTGATTCTTACACTCTGAGATTGACTTCATACATGCTAGCAGAGATGATCTTGATTGTCTCTCCATCGACAAAAGATTTCGCTCAGAACAACTGTAGCTTGCTTGGCGGTGATTCTACAGAGACTCTCATACATTCGATTAAAAAATGCATTATCCTGCAACTCTGGTGGCTACTGCGGGATTATGGTATCATCGCGCCCTCTGTCTCCTTCCCAGTAATATACCCACCGTATTCTGACTCGTCCTTGTATGTTTGAACCATCGTCATAAATTGAATAGAGGTGGTTTCTTCATTGCACGTGAGCTAATGCGAAAATGCCATGGACGCAATTTGTGATGAGTTGGATGTGTGGAGTTGGCGTAATGCGCCTCGACTTGGTGGTAATTAGAGCTGGATTGCGACGACCGCTCGGTCGTGATGCTTGCCTTGGTCATTGAAGTGGCTGATATGTTGCCATTACCATGGCGATAATTGCAATTACTGACTCAAAGAGCTAGTTTTCTGCTGTATCCTTTCCTAGACGTTTGGCATGCGAAATGTCTGGACTGGCAAAGCGTAGAATCTCAGCTCCAGTCTCGTGAAACGTGATCCAGATGCTTCTGATGCAAACCTCGGAACTAGTAGCAAATGCCACAATGAGAGTTTGAAGGAACAAATCGAGGAAATCTTCTGCGGGAACAGTGGCGGGCTGTGGGCAAATCGATCCTAAGCCATAGGGAATTCCGTTTCAGACATTTAGCCCCTAGGAAGACTATATAGGAGAGATGAATGTATTTGTCTCCAAAGACAATGCTGTTTGGTGTCTGAAGCAATATCTTACCCCCCACTCATATCTCCATAACTCTTTCGTCTACTTGAGTGCCAAAAGTTGACATGCAATTGTGTGTCCAGATACAGATAGATGCGCCAACATCTCCCAAATGTAGAATCGACGACGCTGGAAAAAATACCCTTTGACAGAGAACAGAGAAGCAGGGCTGGGTATGTGATACCACTTGCATTAAAAGGAAATAAACGAAAGCTACAAAATAGTAGCGAAATTCGGAATCTGTAATCGTGACTATGCTTTCAGAGTCGAGAGCGTTGAATAGGACTGGCAGTGTTGCCTTGGCAGTACTGAGAGGAGGCAGAGCAAACGCGCCAGCCGGATTAGCAGGGCAAATGGCAGTACCCAGCAATACAGAAGGCTAATGCCAGGCGGAAAGAGTAGACATAGGCAAAGAGAAAACTGAAAGTCAGTCCACCTCCTCTGCCGGGGCCTGCAATATCTTGACCATCGTCAAGCACTGGTAGACTGGGCTGTTTTTCTCGTGAGGACTCTAGCCGAGTATAGTTTGTTCGGTATTGCGGCCCAGATCTGCTATGTCCATTGGCAGCGCCTCTATTAGGACCGTCGTTCATGTAGGAGGGTTTGTGATGCTTGGTGCCCGAGACTGGTGCCACCTTCGTGCGAAGGTCCTCTCCAATCCGAAAGGCAATCGGTCCCATATCAAATCCGCCGGCCAGCGGGCCACGCCAGAAAGAATCTAGCTTGGGAGCTCTTCAAGGCGCAAGCATTCTTCCCAGACTCTTGATTCGTAGACAGTCTATATGGCGCCGTGGGGTCTGATATGCAGAGCGTAGAGCTAAGGCCTTGGGCCCATGAAAGACTGTATGAACAGTCCTAAAGTATACCATCTTTATAGGCAGCTGGGATAAAGGATCAAGAAAAAAGAATCCCAAAAATACAGTTTTGTAGTAGAACGGGTGGCTGCGGGTAAGTACATGTAGTCGGCAAGAGAGAGCCTCTAAACAAAGCTTTATCAATAGCAGTAGTAGATATCTTCCACCAGCTGAAGAACAATTTGTCTGGCTTGATTGACCAAGTAGCGACGTTGCGGGCAGCCAATATCATCGTTTTTCAGAGTTTCCACGTCGCAAAAATTGATCAACAAGGCTAACTCTCTTACCGCTCACTGACAATGGCTGCCCTGCGGCCGAGGCTGTGGGATAGAAACGTGGTCAAATAGAGAGCCATCGTGCCAGGGCTGCCTTGTATCTCAAGAGCCGAAGCATTAAAGGGCTATTCCATGACGAGCTCACCATCAATTCCTTCTTTTGCCTTGCGGGGATTTCCATCACGGATAGAATTGGCGGGCTTCGTCTCCTCCGCTGTTAGAATTGGGTGTAGGCTTGGCTCGCGGAGCAAAATACCATCTCCATTGATTGCAGTGGGATCTACTGCAAGCTCAGACACCGCAAGATCCAAGATAGATAGCCAACCGAGTTTCCGGATAGAAAGGGAGACATTTACTAGATGAGTTCTGGTAACAGCGGCATGACATGAGTTTGCTGGCTGAGGGGTTGCGACTGCGGTTGAGATTGTAGTTGAGGCTGCGGTTGAGGTTGCGGCATGCCATATGCTGCAGGAGGCACGTAGCTTGGATCTTTGAGATTTCTCGTCAAAATTATAGCGAGGAGGGTCTCTAATAATGTGAGCAGCGGATGCAGTGGAAGGAATAGCGAAAAGGATTAATCCGAAGGAAGGAGATCCCACCGGAGGATATATAGCTAGCTTCTCCCCGATCATTGCGTCGAGAATTCAAGCCTTTCGACCTCACCCCTCGTGTCCCTATGTCTTTGTCGTAGAGTTCACGTATCGGGATCGGCCCCTCATCTCTGTTCTCCTAAGGCCCTCTTAAATCTGAAAGGCGAGACCGCTGTTGGAAGGAAATTTCTTGTCAAAATTATAGTGAGAAGGAGCTCTGATAATGGGAGCAGCTGATGTAGTGGCAGGAACAGCGAGACCAAATTGCTTCACCTCATGACTTCAGTAGCCAGAGACTGCAAGATATTGAGTCTCATCTCTTCTCTTCCAGCATGCATCGTGGTCAAAGCTGTCACCGTTGGTTGTCCTGGCTTGGGCTCATATCCTGTATCATCATTGGTCTCCTTCTTTTTCATCCCTGTTGGTATGGTTCAGGCCACCACGAGTCCGCAAACCGGTCTTAACATCATCACCGAGATGATTTTCGGTTACATGCTTCCCAGCCGCCCCATGGCTATGGTGCTGTTCCCGTTCTCCCATCCCAGGTGAGGACCAGGATTGCCTTGCCGTGTATGCAGTTGTCCGGATTTGCTAGCGATGACCACTAGTCTGCTTTCCATAGAAACAAGCTTTCTCAGTGTCCGCAATGCTGCAGCCCCTGGGCCCCGTTCATGCCTGATATGGCGAAAGATAGGCTTCCGATCTTGCTATACTGTGCTCCATATCACAGAATAGTGAGGAGTGTGGAATCTTTGTCTTTGTGTTGATTTGATGCAAATGTAATCTTTGAAGTTCCATAATTCTTTGTCCGCTTTAAATAACCCCCGCAGAACTGCTTCCACTGCTCAACCTCAGTGGGTTTTGTTATGCCGTGGGAGCCCAGAAGTGACAATGCAATGGTGACTTCTATTAAGTGGCCAGGCAGGCCCATCCTCTTTGGCAAACCCACTCATCTGTTCCCTTTGCAACAATCCGTTTGCTCTGTTCAGGGTATATTTCCCTTCGCTCTTTTCAATCATCTTATTTTGTACTTGTTGCGATACGACCTTCTTCACCGTTGGTCAACTTCAAATGTCATGTGGACTCCCAACGCCCTTGAGGCTTGTTTCGAGGTGGATTATTGTTGGTGTTGCTGGAAAAGAGCAAGGTAGGCGGGCTTTGTGTGCCTTGAGAGGCAATGCGCTTGCGACTTCAAATGACACTTTTGTACTCCTCCTCAGCTTTTCGCTAGTCCGGTTCTTCCTCCTCCTCATCGCATTGTCTAGTCAGTTATATTTTTGCTTGATACTTTTCGAGTTTAGTGCCTCTAGTATTTGAGCTCGTCCTTCTTCTTGCTTTCATTCGTGATCCATATTTTGGTGACCCCTCGCAATGTCGACCGTGTGGCGAATTTTGTCTTCAAAGGGGAAACGAGTGGAAGAGAAGTTCATGAGCCGTGGCTGTGTCCTCCCTTCCCTTGTCCCTGTTGTGAACCAGGTCGTGGTGCTGGCATGGGCTGATTTAAATGTTCTTGTTGAGAAGCGGTTCCAGTGCTTTTTGCTCTGCTTTTGAAACAAGCTTCCCCGAGATAGATCTAATAACCAAACTGCTCGTCGATACTGGCATCGAAATATGGGGTAGATGGTTCCATTCTGCGAGCAGAGCCCTGGTAGCGCCTCGGCTCGCGATTTTGCTGCGCTGCGGCAGTTGTGGGCACGTCGATGTTCGTGGTGGTGTTGACGTCGCTGTCGGATTTGGAGCGAGCAAACATCTACAGCCGACTTGATCGCTCCTTCAACGATGCTGGCTACAAATCCGATGCCCGCTAGAAGCGTTCATAGAGGCAAGCAAAGCTGGTCACCTCGTTTGATCGAAGCCACCTGGTTTAATCGTTGTCAGCGGATTTGATCAAGGTCAACAGGATCATTTGAAGTCACCTTGTTCAAACAAAGTCATCTCGTTTGATCGAAGCCGGGTTGTTTGATCGAAGTCGTGTTGTTTGATCGAAGCTGCCTTGTGGTCGCGGTCACTTTGTTGATCAAGGTCACATGACTGAAATGCCCCAGGTACATCTATAAACGCAAGATCTCAATACTTACTTCTAGTATTAAAAAGAATAGAAGAACAAAGTCTCTGCTACTTCCTAAAGCGGTGTGCTGGGGTAAGAAAGAGCAATTGCCAGTTGGGAATTATTCAGACTTTATTAACGCCGGCATTTTGTCCGATGAGATCAAGTAAAGCTGTAAGCAATAAGCTGACATTGACTCTGGTTGGCACCTTCGCAAAGCGGCTTTGCTTGAACAATTCGCTGGGAGAAAGGTCCTGGATTGCAGAATTGCTCAATGGGGTTGTCGTAGTACCACAGCTACTCGTATCTGAAAGTGAGCGTTCAGTCATTAATTTAAAAGTTTCTGGAACAGAGATTTTTTCGAGTATTAGAGCCGGTCCAGAAGATAGACGACAAGGTGATCGATACGGCTATGCAAGTAGATGTTGCTACAGACAGCCGCAAGACTCCGCCAATGACGCCGCTCCTGAGGAAAAAAAGACAGTTTTTAGGGCCATGGTCGAGGAGTGAAGAAGGCATGTTAGGATACACATAGACCAAGGAGGCAGTATGTGAATTAGACATTTGAGCGTTAAAAGGCCGTATGGGGCGAAATAAAAGATGAAGAGTCACGCCAGTTATCCTCAGAGGAAGCAAAAATGCGTCTCATAGTTGAGTCGTAGTAAAGGCGGAAAACCGCAGAGACGAAGCTCGGACTGAAGCCTTGGGCACGCACTCCGATCACGGATGTTAGGCGCATAGTTGAGTTTTCCCTTTTGCCTCTCCCATATATTTCCGTCTTCTGCTTTCATTTTCTCGCATAATGTCAACTGGTGAAGCTGAGTCTTGCGGTTTGCCCACTCTTTGGACTTCTCAATCCATCTTACTCGCATCTGGTTCGAACCTCATCTATCCATGCCAAAGAATGAATGCCAGCAGCACCTCCATGAGAAACAGCTCACATGGCAAGCATATTGGAAAGATCCTGATTTGACAACAAGTTTCTGTTCAGTGCAGCTATGGTGATGTATTGCCTCAGCTGGTTTGTGAACTGGCTTTGCTTGATTCATGATGCTATTCCACCAACAAATTTCGCCAGTTGGTCAGTTTCAGAATTCTTTCGCTGGACTGGTCAAAGTCCATTGCCGAGGCCCTGCTTGTCTCGTCTTCGGTGGCTGTTTCATGCCACTTCTGGACATCCTCTTTTCCCATTGCTGCTCACATTTGCAGTGATGTATTCGTCTGTTCGGGTAGCACTCGGACTGGCTGTTCTTTAGGCTTTCTCGTCAGTCCCTCTTTTGACTTCACTTGCCAGTTTCAAGCTGGACCCTGTTCATTTTTTTTGTCGATAGCAATGCTTCTCGGCTCATTGCGTCGCATTTCCAAGTGCCATGATGCGGCCTGCGAGGGCCTCCATCGCCCTGTCGTACGTGCTTAAACAAGTGTTTGTGTTTGCCGTCGTTGCTTTGAGTGAGGCATTGCTGTTCAGTAGGTTTTCATTGTCCTTGCGCAGCTTTGTGACAGTGTCTTCCATTGTTAAGGTGCGTTTCTCAAGTTTTTTAATGTCTTGCTCTGCCAGCTTAAGTTCTTGCTGCAGCGACGCCACCGTGGCTGATTCCCGTGTTGGGCCTGATTTGCTGCTCTGTGTGCTTGACTAGCTGGCCTTGACGGTCGCGAACCAGCTTCTGGGTGCTGCGCTGCTGGGGGCTTGTTGGATGAATAGGTCCTCCGGGTATATTGAAGCGGTGCTTTGTGCCTGATTCTCTGTCGGCATTGGCTTAACCTTTATCTTGGCGGTTTTCTGGACTTTCTCCTTCGCACGGCTTCGTTGAGAATCTCTTGTCGCATCAGTGCGTAAATTTTGGTGACCGTTTTCTTTTACAATCTTCCGCTCGAGTGCATTGCATCACAAGTTTTGATGCTCATGGAACATGTATAACTAGTTACAGGTCCAAGATCATTTCAATGACTATAATGAGGAGAATTGAACCGCATCGTCAGCAATATCCCGCCATGCGAATCCCCACGGAGTAAAAAGCTTCGGGCAAACCTCCCCAGCTCAATATATTGGCGGAGCAACGGCACGATCATTTTGGATCCTGATGTGGAACAGATGTCAAGGGAACATAGAAAAAAGGAATTGCCATCATTTGGAATCATCTATGCATTTTCAGGATCCGAGTCCTCTAACCTAACAGTGGCTTGGTAGCCCTGTTGACCTATCCGAGATTCCAATTTGTCCGTCTCCAGATTATTAGCATCAACACACATTCCATGGCTTTATGTTGTTAAATTGACACCATTTCGCCAATAACTCTCATGCCGTGTGTCTTTGTAATGTCCTCCCAGCGTACGATGAAAGCTTCGTTCTGCTGGTACGATCCATGTTGGGCGGGAACGGCCGTCGATATCGGGCGATTAAGGGTTCGAGATTCGGCAAAGCTCCCCTGCACATTCGGGCAGCGGTAGTCATGCTGTAGTCGGCATCCATCTACTTGGCCATTATCGCGGTCCTTGTAGTAGGTGGAATCCTCCAGGTTCCCGGGTGCTTTGAACGATACAGGGGCCAGTGAGCCGTATTGGCGACGTATGGCCTTGCTGAAAGGGGGTTTATTGTCGAACTAGTTGGATTCAGTGAATATCGTTGCCATGCTTGTTACTTTCTTATAGGTGCTCGAGATGACCGTTCTTTGTCATTGACAGATGTGGCTCTAGCATTCAATCTGATGGTGACGCCCTCTTGTGTCAAGTCGCTTTCCACCAGTTTGTCGACTTCCATGTTGCTCATCACCAACAAGGACTCCGCTCGCCTGGCTCGTTGAACAATCTCATAGTCAAGATACTCCTCCAAGGTATATCTGTCGCCAAATGCTGGTCAAAAATACCACCGTAGATGTAGGATTGATCTAAGAAGAGATATGCTCCATTCAAACCATCCTCAAAGCTTTGTTGGAAAAGAGACTGAAAACTGAAAGGAAACTGGAAATGTAGAAAACAAGAGGTAGCAGGATGGGCGATAGCAAGGCTGGCAAAAGGTTTGGGTCTTGATACTCAAGTCTACAGCATTGTTATCCATGGTTGCCAATAGGGCTCTTCCAGGCTTGGCAGAATCAACAGCGATGGGGCAGACAGCGTTCCCTCGCCCAAATCTCCCAAAAGACCAGTCAACATCTTCTCAAGCTTTCTCTCCCTCCACTGTTTTGCTTCACCGTCAGAGTCTGCGGTCTTCAATCGACCAATCATTCTCTCCATTGATCGGGCTGTTCATCTTCCGTAAGTTTCGCTCTACCACTTTTCTGGTGCTGGCTTTGGCTCCCTAGTAGCTCATAAGCTATAACATCTTGGACTCCCACAGTGTTGCCGCTCGCACCCATCCATTTCTAGAGACATCATTCAGAACATCGCTTTGCCTGCCTTCTTTTGACGTCATTTGCAATCTCATGCTTTGCCCCGAACGATATGGAAGAATCCATCGCAAACTTGGCACTGTCGTTGCCGAACTGAATTCCAAGGAATACGACGAGTTCCACACACGGACGAGCATCCATCTTCTTTTCGCCTCCTCCACGCCGCCTCCTAGGCTCCTCAAACTTGTCAAACTCGAGAGCCTGTGGTAACATGAGTGAGTTTATCAAGCCGTCGGAATTCCAGCTGCCGAGTAACGGGTCGCTGAGATGGAGTCAGCAGGCAAGGTTTTTCTGGTCGTGTGCTGGCATTCCCTTTAGCCGAACGGCTCGCAGTTCATATTGCTGTCTCTGCCGCTGCTATTTTCTCTTCACTGTTCTTCACTGTTTAGACTCTCTCGAGCTTCTTGAACCCAAGCTGGCTTTTCACTAGTTGCATCAAGTGCGGCTGACGCCTTCTCGGTGTCTCTTTTCTAATGAATGAGTTCCTTGTTGCGTTTGGAATTGGCAGAAATTCTCCAAGAGAATTGTAAGTAAGATAACTTTGATAGACGTTGTTGGAGCTCCAATCCAACTAGCAATCTGAGAGAAAGCTGCCTAGTATAGAAACTGTAGAGAAGATGGTTACCTGTAGGCGATTGTGCTTGGTGTTGATCCTAAAGAAACCGTCACAGATGATAGCTTCCTGCGCATTAGTGGTGACTCAATTCAACCTGTGAGACTTGTTGACATGGCGAGAAGTATGGGTCTATTGTTCTCAATGAACACATCGTTGAACAGCTACGCCTTGGTGATCTTTCTAAGGCGGCAAATTGCTCTGGATCTGTGAGAAAATATTGCATAATCTGCCGAGTTCCAAACCCTTGAATGGTGCAGAAGAATTGTGCCCATGCATTTTTATGTGATAAGCATTTCATGTATTTGTAGCAGCTTTCCGCCACGAAAAAGTGATGTGATAGGACACCACCGTCTCTATGAAGAAAAAGGCCGCAGAATAGGTGAAGAAGTATCAAGAAAGAGCTTGAAGAATGAACATGATATCCACGCAAAGATCATTCCACGTATGACGATATCTTGGCAGGCCTCTCCATCGCCACCTAGAAGATGTCTGAGAAACGTTGGCTATCCGAGCCAAGCAATTCCAGTACGTGCAAGCATACCCGTTAAACTATGGACGAGTGTCATGAAGACGATTATGCTCGTGAGTAGATGAAGTTCACAGCTGGCGTCGGCGTTGGCGCTGCCGCGACAGAAAATTGGCGAAATGAGTATGTCGCCATATCTTAGAGTCTGAAGGGGCTTCCACACCTTCCATCAACCCTGAAACTCATTACTTTGGACCCAATCTGAATGCGAAGGCAAAACAATCATGGGTCAAGCCAATAGAGGAGAAACTCGCGGGAAAAAACCCAGTAGCCACCCCCCTAGTCCCCTTGGCCAGATAAAGAGTTGCCCGAGACTTGTCTTGGGCGGTTGGATGGGCGGGCGTTCTCGGGCGGAGAACTAATGTTGTTGATGATACTGGCAGCTCTTCATCTTTTGAATATGATTGCCTTGGGATTGGCGTATGTTCCAATTCCTTCTTGGATGACGACTCTCAGACATTGGTAAATGTTTGGTCCTAGCAGGTAGGTGAGTGAGTTGTAGCTCTCCCGAAGGTCCTTTCCGGAATTTCTGATAGGAAAGGTTCAACCATTCTGCATGTAAAATGCCCTTGTGTTCTTGGTTCTCCGCATTTGCAGACCGGTGTTGTGTCGTGGCCGAACCTTTTGTGGTACTCCACGAAGTCGCCGTGCTCACTTCTCTCGGCTAGGAGCCTGCGTAGAATGGGCCTTGGCAGCTGTAGTTCGGCTGGCCTGGAGGTGCGTCTAGGCGCCAACGGCTGTAGTATGTAGGTCGGTTGGACTCCCAGTCCAGCTTCTGAGTCGGTCATTGGAATAGGCTAGGGCCTATAATCTCAACTCCGTCCGTTACGTTGTATAGTAGAGGCTGATGGAAGAATTGATATTTTATGCCCAACGGAAGCATTTGTGTTAAAGGGGCTGCACATCCCTATCTTTTGGAACATCTGCCGTCTTCTGTGGAGAAGGTTATGGATAGTTGGGCCTGATTTGATCCGCCATCAGCGCACAATGTGGCTTCAGCTGGAAAACTTCCATCGTTGGGCTCATCTTGCAGCATGGTCGTTAATCTGACTAGGTCGGAGGCATCGGCGTATCTGAAGAAGTGTGCAAATCACGATGGAGCTGATTCCAAACACATGGGTCGTTTTCCAACCTTCTTGGAGCTTGGATATTGTTGCCTTTGTTACACCGAGTCGACCTAAGGGTGCCCTATACAGCCCTCATTCTCCTCTGGCATGCCTTTTAGTATGAAAAGCGTCTGTAGAGCAATACTCGTGACCCGAGTACATGTGGATTCACCAACTCCGGCTAGAAGAGGCGTTGGTGTTGGTGTAGGATTGCTTTGAGGTCTCGTTTTTGTTGCACCGTCCATACCTCGGAGATGTTCGCTGTGGAGAGATTAACGCTCCATGTCTGGTGGTTGGGGATTCCTAATGGGTATCCGTCTCTGAGCTTGGGGTTTCCCTCATCCTCGTCCTCGTCCTGTTTATCTTCTCCTAGTAGATCTGCAAGTGCGATGCCAGCGCCCTAGCCGACAGCGAAGAGATTTGCTTTTGTTGTGAATTTCGTTTGCTGCAACTGGCCCACGAATGTGCCCTTTGAGATGTGTATCAGGCTGTCTCCAAGGTTGATCATTGGTAGGTGGGAGTCTTGTCCAGCGGCAATCGCGCGCGTTTGTTAGGGTGGCATACGTGAATTGCGTAACATTCATGACAGCTCTGAGCTTTAGAACATAGCCGTCTGCATAATGGCGATATCCAGGTGCAAATCGTAGCCTTCGCTAGGGAGCGTTGGGTCCTGTGCTGCTTGGGGCGTGGAGGTACGGAGCTTTGCTTGTTCTCGGGTTTTCTCCTCCTTTGTCACCTTTGACGAGAACGGCTTGTTGCGCCCCTATATTCTAGATGGAGAATCAAGCCTTCTGATTCCCCCTTTCGTGCACCCACATTTGTCATCGTAGAGATCACGTTCCGGGTTCGGCTTCGTTCTCCCATGCTCTTTGCACATTCCGCAATAGCTTTTAGGCTGTAAAGCCTGCAGAGCAATATTCGTGGTCCGAGCACGAATATACAACAACCCATAGCTATTTCAGCGTATGCTGAACAAAAACCCACTGCATCCATCAAATAGCACTCCAAGGCTCAAACGTGATCTGCGATGTGCCCGACTTTGCGATTTCAACAGTTCGTTAAGCGAACCCACCGTCTTGATTCGAGACTATTTGTGCGTCTAAATAGCTTATAGATTTTTATTATACAGTCCACCACATCTGCAATCGCAGTCACCGCTTTCCGGCAGTCATACAAACACTGCTGCTGTACACATACTCTACCCGTTGGGGGATGTAGCTCATCGATCGCTCCATATCTTAGAAAGAATACTAAACCTTGATAACCCTGCATTGCGTACCACTGCGTTCGATGTCGTAGAGACCATGCCTAGGGTCTGCTTCTCAGCGTATGGCCGACGCCCGGCCCGCCACACGGTAGGAATTATCTCGACTTCTGGGGGGTTGGCAAGGCTGTTGGAGTTGAAGCTGGTGGCGTGGGAGTTGGGATGGGTGTCTCAGGGGCCGTGTTTCCTGTGTAGGTTGGGGTAGTCGGGGGGATTGAGGTTATCGGTTCTCCGCCTGGCGGGCATGTGTCTTCCGTCATAGAGCGTGAAGTTGTTGGAGATACCTTGCCATCCGGCGGGTATGCTTCCACAATGCTAAAGAGGGCGGACTTCTTGCGCTTAAAGTGTATCATCAGTTGCTACATGCCGTCAGCCTTCCACATCTCTAATCCGCCTATTTCGAGTACTAATTACCTCTGAATGTGAACTCACACACACACACACACACACACACACACACACCAAGGGGCACAAAGAGAGTCCTCTAAATCGCTGGTGAACCCTTGATAGTATCGTAAACACCTTCATATTTGGGAGCGTATTATAAGCTTGATACCCGCTATGAGTGTTTATAGGGGCAAGCAAAGCTGGTCACCTCGTTCAATCGCAATCAGCCAGTTTGATCGAGGTTTGATCGAGGTTAGCCGGTTGTTTGTGTATAGTTGATGGGCTCTTGTCTTGTTGAGGGACGCCTGCCCTGACATCCCCAGGGAAGGAAGGACAGAAGAGATCCCCGTAAGTTATAAGTAGCCAGATCTCCTGTATCATAATAGAAGCATGATTTTTGACTCATACACACACATCCCCACCTTCGACCGTGAGGACCGTGTGTAGAGACTGAGCTCCGATATCCACTGTCCCAGCTGTCACACAACATGTCTTCGGACTCAGCGGGCTCCTCAGCAGCGGCATTCTCGGCCTCGTCCTTCTTCTCAGACTCGGCAATGGCCTCATCGGCTTGCTCGTCCTTAAGATCGGCATTGCCTTCGGTGGCACCCCAAGACTGAACAGCCGTTTCTTGCTTGTCTCTTCATCATCACAGTTTTCAGTCACAGTCACATCCTTGCTCCTTGAGCGTCAGTGCCTTTGGTTGTTGTGTTTGTTCTCATTCATTTGCTTTCGCTCGTGACCCTCTATCCATCGTGATCCCTCACACTGCTTGTCGGAGCCACTGTAGTAATTGGTCAATATTAGATACAAAACTGAGAGAGTAATAAAGGATAATTCTTACGTAATGGCGCCAGACTTGTGAGTGTGTCTATCGTCACGGCATAGCCGTTCCAAGCTGCAAAAGCTCCTATTGAAGAAAAGAGTCTTTAGATGGAATCGCTCCCCTCCACGGAACGAGCACCCTGACCACCGCGGTGACCATCTCTAGGGGTCTCCTCGGTAGAGCGGCCCTGGTTACGTTCCCGGCCAGCGGCGCGAAGCCGGCGAAACATGCGTGCCCCAGGGTCCGAGAGGAGGCTGGGCCTCAATAGGCCACCCGCCATCGCTACTCGGACCCTGTAGTCGTCGGCCTTCCGACGCCCTCAAGGAGGCTGAGGCCTCAATAGACCTCCCGCCTCGTATTGCGTATGCGCGAGCGCTCGAGACCATCAAAGCCGTCGGCGACATGAAAAGACATAGGAGGTGTAGAATAGGTGGGAGCCTCGGCGCTGGTGAAGTACCACTACATCAAGTGGTGGGAATATGGCTTGCCTCTTGGGTCGAATGATGTAGCGATCATCGGAGAGGTGGTCATCGGTAGATAATTCTTGATCACCGCTTGCCGGGGACTCAATAGAAAAACAATCTACCTCATAAAGAGTAATCGCCACTGGCTTCGTGGCATTGTGAACGGCGATCAGACAGGAGATCCCTCTTCATGGCGCAAAAATCGTGATAGATAGACCTCGCTCAATTCTGGAAAGTCGAGTTTGAAGATATAATGCACTCAACCGCCATCCTAATGGCGTTTGCAGTGATGAAGCTGTGCAGTTTTGCTAATGGTGCTCCCCCGTTGTACCAGACAATGTCTCTCTGCCTCATTATCAAGCTCTCTCGATGTAGTGGTTGGCGCTGCGACTGTAGCGAGCCATTTGACTCAGCATCTGGAGAATCTGCGCCGGGCTGGCATGGCTGGCCGGCTGGGGCCTCAAGTAGACCCCCCGCCGAGCTTCGCGCATGCCTTGCTCACTTAAGACATCGGGCTTAGAACCTGGAGAATGTGTGCGCCGAGCTGACATGGTTGCAGCAGGTATATGAAGCCAGAAAGGCCGTGGTGGCAGCAGGACTTGCACAGAAAGAGTATGTTCGCGAGCAGACAGAGTTCGTGGTACAGCGTAGAAACAATGGACCGGCAGATCTGTTTCGCAGACGATGCAGTGAGAATGTCGAGGTTCTCCTACATTATACCAGACAATATGTACTCTTTCAAAGCGCTATTTCCCCAAGATTAAACACTAGGCGATTCGTCCCTTCTCAGATGAGATAACCTTGACTCGGACAAAGTAATAGGCTTCTTGACATGGAGTAATTCGTAGCTTCATCGAGATCAACAATCTCTTCTTGAGATGTGTCTTTCTGCTGCGAGCTTTCCGGGCCTTCGTGCATCCCCAAGGAATCTTCCGTATCGCCTGTATAAGCTCCATCGGTGTGTCATAGTCGTCTGACATAACCTTGTCTATCAATGCACTCACGGCCTCCAGTGCCTCTTCTCGGGGAATGGTATATAGGGCTTCAGCTTCTTTCTGTGGTGGCGTTTCGGCCGTCGGCATAGGTGAGGGCGGTATGTTGTCTGTCCCTGCCCAGGTCAGGCTGGGATCTCCTCTCGTGGGCATTTACTGGGCAGATAAACGCCACTAATGACCAGCTGGACTCCTAGAACAAGTTGTGAGAAGTGAAGCATAACGGTTCCCAGCCACTGGTCAACACAGTCGGCTTTGCTGATAGCAGGTATTCTGTATCCAGCATAGGCATCTGGTTGTTTGAAATGGACGCCATAGGGGCCGAGGGCAACGCTAATTAGCAGAGATAAGACTGCAATGCCTCAAAATTCGCTGAATAGAGTCTTTGGCTTTCGGCAAATCCCATGTCTTGAACAGTCTAAGACATCTTTGCTCATGCAAGCAGATGAAACGCTGTGTTCCTTCTGGTAAAGTTGATGCCCATTTATCACGACGCTCACGCTCCCTCTGTGTTTTTCTCGGAGTTCTGTTTTCAAGGCTTGAAACTCTGCCTACTCTGCGTCCATCTTCGTCGGCTTTGCCTTCGATGGTTTGATTGTAGTGCGTTGAGGTCTGGAATGTATTCCACAACTGTTGCGATGTATTACTAGTTGTCTATACTTGTTTCCTTTTTAAAAGATTGGTCGAGAATCTTGCGCCCATCTCGCCTTCGGTTCTTGATCGCCTCGAAGCCTCACAGGCCAGTGATTTTCTCTTCGTCACTGCCCTATTCGGACTTGAGCACCAGCGTCATGTTGACGCGGTCTGGGCCCCTGATGACATTGCATAAAGCGTGTTCTGTGATCTCGAAAGCTCTCATATGATTCCGCTGGATATCCTAGTTGGTATAATCTGTTGGGGAACGCCTGCTGCGTCGACGTGCCTAGAAGGCAGGAGGTTCCGAAGCCCATGGAGGACTATAAAGCTACTACACCCCCATAGTTCAGCTGGACTGGAGAGAATCGAGTCTTTTGATCGCATCACCGCGTACCCTGCGTTCGATACCGTAGATCACGTTACGAGAACTGCCTCAGATTCCCCTAACCTCCGATTGTCCCACGATATGGCAGCTCGAAGCGAACGCCGGGGGGGGGGGGCTCTTTCAGTCCCAGTGATGATGAAGAAAGAAAGAAAAAAAGGAAAAAAAGGTGAACAGGGGTGCGAAAAATAATTAGGGCGGCGAGTGAAACTTGGCGGTGTGGTGTTTCAGCAGTGCCATCGGCTGATTGCCAGTTGGCGATTCTTGAATTTGTTGATAAGTTGGGGCACAACTAAACAGAGGGCGGTTCCCAAATGGTTCTAGAATATCCCAGCCATTTCACTTTATATTGTTGTCCCTTTGACGTGCGGCGTTCATCTTCTTTCGCCGATGATGAATTTGTCGCTTTCCAAGATCCTTGATCACGCTGCGGGACCTGGCTCTGATTACCGCTTGCCCCACGACATGATCGCTGTAGTGTGGTATACAGCGACTGTTGTAAGGTCGCCGGAAGTGCTCGGAGCCGTTTGTAGTTCAGTTTCCCTCGCGGTCATAAGGCTTGTCGAATGTTGGGTTTCCTCGTGGACCTTTCGAATGCCATGCTCAACTGTAGGGAATCTATAATGGCTCTTCATCAGAACTCTCGGTTTTAGTTTATTCGAGGCGCTCAAGAGACCAGCCCCTTGATAACTGTTTCGCAACTCCCATTAGGAGTACCGCATTGACTGTAATTCTGAGCCTTGGGCGTTGAAAATGGTAGGCTCGCTAGCTGACTCGAGCGAACGGGCAATGGCGGCCTTTGCGGCGCCAAGTGAGATGTTCTGTCTGAGGGTCGGATTGGTAGGCAATGCATATGTACATGGCGTTAGATGATCTCTCATTCGCTTTTACCAGACCTGCCCAGTGAAACCGTGATCTTGGCCAATTTTGTACGTCTCCGTATGAGTGTCCAGCGTCAGCTCACGACATGCCTTCCGTGCCTCTGCCGGCTTCGTTATTCATAAGAGGGTCAGGGACACCTCCAGTTCGCTTGACGGGTAGTCAAACAGTGTTTTGATTGCCACGGGACTACCGAAAAAATTGGATCCGATATGGCTGGTTCGACTCTTTTGAGCAGACTTTGTTTTCTTTGAGCTCTGTATAGAACAATCCACCGACGACGCAATGCCGTTCTTGAGTCCGTTCAACGGCTATTCATCAATCAAAGTGAGGCCTGGGTTTGATCACGACGAGGTGCCTGAAAAGATCGCGGTAGCCAGGCCGCACGCACCTCCTGATTTATAGTAAGAGGTGGGAATATGGCGACGTGTCTCTTGAGCTGTACAATATAGCGATAATGACCACCCCCAATATAACGATAGTCGTAGGGGTGGCCATGTAATTTGTAGAGGATGCTTTTGGTGAGGTGCCGCCCGAGTTCCCTGGAACGGGACGCGACAGAGGGCAAGAGCCCCGTCTGCTGACCGTCGAGCCTGGCTCTTTCGGCGAGACTGAGTATAGATAGCTCTTGGCCATCGGCTGCCGGGGACTTGAAAATTGAACAATCCCTTTCACAAGATAAAATCCGCGACTGTAGCCGACAGGCGACTGGAGTAATCTCTTGAACCTTGTGGAGAGGTACGTTTTCAAAGCTTGGCCAACAAGGCGGTTGGAGAGGATGCTCTCCGGCTGTAGGTAAATGGGAGGTTACTGTAAAACTTTGATGGTATGTGTCGAAGAGACCGTTGGCCATCTGAAGCAGGGTCCGTAAGCAGAAGACGGGATAGATAGACGCGTTGAAGAACCTTGGAGTAGAGATCCTGCTGTCTCTATTCAGGAGGTTGAGGGGGTTGCTCTCCCTGTCTCTTTTGTTGAGGCTTATGATAGCGGGAGAGTACAGATTGGGGTGATAAACATTGCCTGCCTGGTCGGTTATGATTTCCCGGGCCTTTTCTTCTCCTTGGTGCCTGAACGTATTCTTGCATGCTAGCGCTGGCGTTGTGCAGAGCATGTAGACATGGCAAAGGAGATTGGGGAACATGTTGAGAACTGTAATCGTCTTCATCATTGCGCTGCTTTTGTACTTTTGCCAGCTCATGGCTAATGTAGCCACGGCACGAAGACAGGAGCAAACCACCAGATTGTCGAGCTTCTTGGCAAGCACTCCTTTTGAGTCTCGGGGCACAGCTTGGAGCACTTAATATCGCCGAGCAGGGTCATTCTTAGGACCATCCCTTGATTCAGTAAACGGAGTTAGAACTGCGGCCTTCATCTCCGTTTGCCGTCTGGAAAATTTCGGTGCCTGATCCATCTTCTATGGGCTCCAGCACGACCGCGTCGTTGCCGTGTCGCTAACAGTAGTTTGTTTGGAGCTGACCAGACGGTGTTGACTGCTCATGTTTGACATCTGAGGCTCTTCTTACAGCTGGGTTTGTTCGCCGACTGCCATGAGCAGCATTGAGATTGACATTGGTCCATCTTCTGCACCAAAGCGGGCATTTGTTCCAGCTGTTGTGAACAAACAGGAAGGAGGGGGCGTGATTGACAGCGAGAGAGCTTGTGCCGCGAGAATCAGTGGGCAAGTTGTGGGTTCTCTGCATTTTAGACTTGAGAGTAGGATGCGGCATTCGAGTACAAGCCGAGCGTCTTGCAATCGAACATCGCTTTCGTGATTATGCAGAGGTTCTTTTGCTCTTGTTGGGTGTGGTATCCATCTTTTCTCTGAAATACTGGTCAGCATGTGTGTAAAGACCGAGATTAGGGCTTGAACATACCCAAGCGGACTGTTCCTCGCCTTGGAGTAATGTCATCCTTGTAGCCTCGTACAGAAGCGGATAGATATCATGCAGACCGAAGAGAGGAATGCCCGGGAGGATTTGGCAGAGTACGTTGATCCCAACACTGGATATGTCATCAAAACACCACGCTCCGATACCAGACGCTTCTTCCAAACAGGAGTTTCAGATGCATACACATTTGGAGGCTGTGAATTCCAAATTGCTGACAAGTTGTTCCAAGATTGAACAAAGCATGTTGAAAGATGTCTTTGGTGGCAGTGGTACGCGAATAGGATGAGGACGCGTTCTTGAAGGAGGCGTCTTTCTCGGGCAAACCGGTCGACGCTCTGCAGCAGAGTTTGAGAGTTTGAACCTTGTCCGAGTAGCGTTTGTCCTTAAGCGAGCAGTCACCAGCAACCGTTGTTGCGAGGGAACCACGATTGTCTCCGGCGCCTCTGGCATCAGCCTCGAGATCGCAGAGGCATTTGCAGAGGCAGGCGCCAACGTTGCGATTTGGTATCCTAGCAACAAGCACGAAGAGTCGGCTACAACCATCACCGAAGAGGCGTCAAGTCCAACGAGCCCCCAGCACAAGGAAGAGTATTGCAACAAACGAGATCATAGAAAAGAGGAAGAGAAATCTGCGCTGGCCAAGAGGAAACGGATTATTGCAAACGAAACAACAAGCATGAAGTGAGCTTGCCAAGAGGGTGGGTCTGTGACCACTCACTTCTTCCACAGATATTTTTGACAATCAACACATGCACCCTAGATAACATGCCCAAGGCCTAGGCAAATAGGCCACTAGGTGCTAATTCTAGTCCATGTCCCTTTATAGCATCCCTTATAGGGGACCTCAGCTCTAGGTGCACTATAACTCCAGGTCACTAACAACTAAGGTAGGCTGCTGTAGGCTGCTGTGTTGGATTTTTGTAGTTCATGTTGTCTTCTCCGGTCGTCGGTGGTAGAAAGACCTAACGCGTCCACCTGGAATCCAAGAAGCTCTACCAACGGGGTATGCTTAAAATGATTTTAGGTGATTGATAGCAAGACGGATTTTATTAAACAGAGGGAATACCTAGTGTAGGTCTGCACAGTGATCTTCAAAGGTGTCGCTGAAAATAATCATCTCGGTGGCTTACGCACAGGCAAATGCTTGATACGGATAAAGGCGTTGGTCTATAAAACGCTGTGCAAAGGGCAACGAGTTTCTTCATTCCATTAAGATGACAGAGCATCTCTCTAGTCCCCCCAGGCTAATGATTGCCATGCGGTCCTTGTATTTAGAGTACACGCAGTGAAGAGATGATCTCTTCTTGGGATGGAATGACATGGACGTCTGGGACTGTGATTTTATTGATGCTCATAGGTTAATGGACAGACTACTCGGATACTCGCTGAACCATAAACACCGAGCTGCCCAAAGAACAATTGATCTTTAGTGAAAGCTGCCCCTTGCTGCAGGGTGGCTTTACACCCCATATCTTCCTGAATACGCCCAGATAGCGCTGCTAAAATAGGAGATACAGGCTTTTATTTTCAGCTGTAGGCTAGATCATGCTATTATGCAGTTGACGGCTTGGGTGCCTGTAAATCTCGGGCAGCAGCTGTTTGCCCCGGTGACGGTCAAGTCTACTGGCGAGGGGGTTCCCAGTTGGATTCAAACCGACTGCCTTGCCACTCATACAAGGCCTTGCAGGCGCTGTGCCAGTGCGCCGTGGGGGCAAAATTCACGAATAGATCCCAGAAGGATAGATGAGCAGGACCTGAATGGATAGGGCCTGGAGGGATTGGATGGGACTTGCAATGTTATTCTGTTGCGAGTTGGCCATGGGATTGGATTGAGCTGTTGAAGGTTGGAGCAACTGTAGGAAGTAGAGTTTGATGTAGGCGGGAATATGCCATCTACTGAAGGAAAAGGACGAAGTTGGCATCTCTCATCTCAGAGAAGCTGGCTGCTTTCTTGGCTGCTGGAAAACGCGTAGCACTCTGGATTATCTGGTCGTAGATGGACGATGGAAGTGGTAATGGAAGTGGTTTATTCTACTAGTGATGATAGGTATGGGAGAGAGGAGGAAAGTTTGGCATATTGGAGAGCATAATTGTCTCAGAGAGCTAGTCGTATTGCGAATGGTGTCGGATCTTTCACGTTTGTATTTAGCAGAGTCTCCAGGCTAGGTATTATCTGCGTGAAGGATCCAAATTATCTGTGTAGTTGAGATATTTCTGATTGAAGGACATCTTCAGATCGTGGCTCGTGATCGATCAGGCTTCACGCAGTATTCGGAGGTCTGCTGACGACTCGGTAAAGCGAGGAGATGTACAAAGCGTAAATAGTTTGCAGAGACTCCATGTCCGCCTTTAGTTTTCCGTAGCTCATCCATGAGATGCCGTGAGAGATGCCTCGCGCGCTCTAGCGGGCGTAGTGGACGTAGTTGAAAGGTCTCTAGTACAGGCGCTCAATCTTACTCGTTGCGTACTGTATTTGTATATTGGTCTTGAGATGCTGATCTTGATGCGCTTCAACGCAGTTCGCTTGCTGCTCGGCCACGATGCCGATGTGAATACAGCAGGCAGTAACACTCAGGTAGCGCTAGGAGAGTGACAGACTTGCTCTCGAGATAGATTGTTGTTTGCGCGTGAAAAAAGAGTTCATGCTGGAGATTATAGAGCTACTCATAAAGAAAGGCGCCACGATCAACCAAGAAGAGGGAAAATACGAAACTATACTCCAGGCTGCCTGCACCCATCGAGATGTTGATGTGAAGCTGATCCCCTTACTGCTCAGACACGGGTAGTGATGAAGCTAATAGTAAAGCCTGCCATGATGGTTGCGGTTGTGACCAGTGGCGGTAGGTTTGGTGGCTTTGGCGAGTCCATAAACATCCAGAGCGGTGTCCATATCCAAGTCTGCCACGCGCTCTAGCCAGACAGCCTGGAAGACGTATTTGAGAGGATGCTATCTTTTCTCTCCTCCACCTGCCTCTCTTCTTGTAGCGGCTTTCAGAGCCACATCAGAGGCCTCAGCATCAATCCCAAAGTGATGTGCAATTCCGTGCGAATGTTTACGCGTCACAGGTGTTTGAGGACATTCTCTCGTGTCAGGAGCTTGGGGGGTTGATCTCCAGGTATCCACGCTGACTGAAGTTTTCCTGGCGGCTGAGTTGTCCGCCGATGTGTTTTATTTCTGGAGATTGTGAATTAGCCTTCATGGGAAATGACACCTGCACAAAGATGTTTCTGAGTAATTTGGGTGGGTGAATCGCGGTGTGCCTGGCAAATTTTGTCATGTTCCCCGATAAGCATCATGAAAGCCTAACATAAGCTGCATATTTTCTTTGGTATACTTGCGTACTGAATTTGTATAAGCAGGATAAGCTCTGCCCTTTGGGAGAAGCTTTATTCTGCTTGTTGGCTACCTACATCTTGCGTTTGACAAATTGCAGAAATGGATGGGATTCTTTATTCCTTCTTCTTCATTTGACAGCATACACTCAAAGCCGAAGCCGAAGCCGAAATGCTATTTTGACATACATGTTTCAATTAATCGACTTCATATTTCCACTGATCAACGAACTCAAACAGTCTCTTCACCAATTCCCCATTCCTTGCCCGCGTGGAGGACCGCGAGGACGAATCATGATGCGGACGGCGATTTCAAGCTGTGAGGCAATTGAAGTCAGTCCCTTGACGGGGCTGTGCCAGCATCTGGGTGCCAATGTCCCTTGCAGGCTTCGGCCGTCCGGTGTGCGGTTAACAACCAACTTGCCACCTGCTTCGTACGAGCCTGGGGCATTGAGCTCGATGCGTTTGGCGCCCAAGTCCTGAGCTTCGAGGCCAGAAGCACCGCTGAAGACTGCAACTTCGCAGTTGAGTCTGGTGGACTGACCACGTCTCCCACCCCTTTTCGCATTTGGGCACCGCACCCGGGTCGAGGCCCTGCTCAGCAGCCCTCACCGCAATGGTAATTGAGCTTAGTACGAGAGGAACTGCTCATTCTTTCGACGGTGGCTCGCCGACATGCCGCACTGCTCCCACGTGCGAATGTTAATCTCGCCGTGGTCAAGGACTTTGAAGTATTCGCCCTCTTGTTGAAGCTTGGTGGAGATTGCCTTGATCAAGAATGACTTTCTAGCTCCTCCGGGTCTTTCAATTTGCACTCCAAGAGACGGAGGTATTGGCTTTGTAGGATCAAGTCGATCTTGAAGATGCTGGACAAAGAGATCTCATATACGATCGGGGTATATACCCGCACTGGCGACGAAGACCAGGCGATGATGCTCGTGGAGGGTTTTTGCCATGGGCAATCTTGTGTCGTCCTCGTCGGTCATGCTCCAGTTCCATTTGCGCCGCGTGATGGCCATGTTGCTTCCGGACAAAGAGTGAAGAGAGTTGTATTGCAACAACTAGAAAAGAGAGGCTATCGCAAAGGCAGGGGAAATATGCCTGACCAAGAGCAAACAACAAACAAGTGGGCTTGGCAAAGAGGGTGAGTCTACCCGACTATAGCGTCAGGCTGTTTTTGCTTGGGGGCTGGTTTTCAAGCTTATTTTCGAGGTCCCTTTTGGTGCCGACAAACGGAGATAGATCTCTTGGCTTATCGAGGCTTTTGTCTTGATCATATCGCCAAGTCTCGAAGTCAGATTATCTCAACCTAGATGTAGTGACTGCAGACTAAGCGTCCTCCCAAGCTGACATGAGCTACCAAGGCCGTCCGGGCTCATAACCTGTTGGACGAGGAGAGTGAGTGTCAATGTGAGATGCAATATTATCAATGCGACAACGTTGTTGACTTTGTAAGAGTGAAGAACTAACCAACTAGGTCCACCATAGACTAGGTTATTGTATAGTATGTTATTATCATGTAGCCTAGGCAACCTGGATGACCCGTTGACTGGTTCTTTCCAACACAAACTACATGTGGTGAGCCGCCATCCGGTAAATGACGATGAGAAGGCCCGGTAAAATCCTGCGGGCCGTCGACAAACGAGTCTAACGCCAAGCTGTCCCAATGCCTGAATATCCTTTGACGCTGGCCACCGTCTGGTGCACCATGTATGTGTTCATGTCCCCAAGTCATTTCTCGTGCTGTCACCAGCATCATCTTTTCCTTTTGCGCCAGGCAGCGCTACTCGCCGAGCATTTGCCTTTGCCTTTGCAGATTCTTGCAAGGCATCCACGATAGATTGATTAGGAGGGGGCTTTTCTTCCTCGATGCAGGCACATCAACAATCTCTTGCGTTGGAGGATGGAATTGAACATGCGGAAAATAGGAATTGGACCACGAGCCCAAATCTGGCAGTCAACCCACGTTTGCCCTTTGATGGGGTCTTTTGTTCTTTGCAGAAACACGTCAAGATGGTTGGCTAAGAGTCTCCAACTTTGAATGCATGACCGCGGTTGTTGGGGGACATCTGCCCTGACATGCCCTCAGCGGCGACTATCTGCAAGACACTGCATCCGGAGAGGATCAACTGAACCTCTTCAACTACGGCATTGAGCTTACACGGCCGGCGCGACATATAAGACTCTGGTTGTCCTTACGAGTGCTTAGAGTGGACACTATGGCGCAGATGATTGATCATGGATTACGTCGCCGGCTAGGCTAAGCATTATAGCGTTCAAATCCTGCCTAGAAGGGATGGATGAGGATACTGCAGATTAGTTTAATAGCATTTTTTCTAAAGACGCATTAGAATATATAATCTAAACTACGCAGGTTTATGGTTGGACTGGTCTGCGAGTTTGTTTAATCGACCCGCTTACGACTGTGGCCTGCATGGAGCGGATTATTGAGCAGCTGCACGTCATTGCCTGCAAAAGTGCATTAGAATTGTAGATGAAATAGGAAATTGATTGCATGATATTATGCTGATACAAGATTCATTGTATAAATCTGAATAATGGAACTATTTCATGTCCTATTAACGTAAGTAGAATTGCCGAAGCCGCTTTGGAGATCCCAAGTCTACCACCAGACCATATAGCTCATCGCGCCCCCATATTCTAGACAGAGAACAAGCCTTTTGATCCCACCTTTGCGTATCCTCTATTTTGATGTTATAGACCATGCTGCAGGATCTGGCTCCGCCCCTCCGATTTCTGCTTGAACCACGACAGCGGTAGTGGGATGATCTTGGATGACACTGACAATCTTTGACTTTTTGACCTTCGACTCAATTGCCCATCTTTGCCTGAAGTCGAACACTTCCAATGAGTTTGTATTCCGTCTTTTTGTGATTCTTTAGATCGTCGAGGAGACTACCGACTTCTCTTCCTGAATATTCCCTGCTCAGCGGCCTTCTTTCGACGGTGGCTCGCCGGCATGCCGTACTGCTCCCATGTGGGAATGTTCCACTAACCGGCAGATTAACTAAGTAAGTGACCATCAGTGAACACCGGCTGTTGTGTCAATCTCGCCGCGGTTCAGAAGTATTCGTCCCAGTGGTCTGCCCAGGCGGGCTCGTGGAGGATGTTTGCCATAAGAAGCTTAGTATCGTCTTCGTTGGTCATATATGTGTTATTTAAAAATATTAATAAATTAAGGTTAGAAAAAAACCATAGTACTTTAGAGGGAATACAAAGAATAGTTGATATTAAAGCATCTATGAATTTAGGTTTATCTGATGTACTGAAAGATGCTTTCCCTGAAACTAAGCCAGTAGTGAAAGAGGCGAATTATATCAAGAATATCCCTCAAGAATGAATGGCTGGGTTTTCAACAGGAGAATCAGATTTCTTTATTACTATTCAAAATTCTAAACTAAGAGTGGTATAGCTGCCTCATTATGTCCTTCTATATCCGTGTCTTTATGGTTCTCCAGATCGTAGAGAAGGTTGTCTACGTCATCTTTCTCGATGTCGTGTTGCAAAGCGAGGCGTTTGTGTAGGGATAGCCGTGTCGGGTCCTGTTCATTTTTAGCTGGCCGGCTGGGGCCTCAATAGACCCCCCGCCGGCCAGCCACTCTTCCAATGTACGCTTGTAGCGTTTCGCCTGGTATGTCGCCAACAATTTGTGATATCCTCTGCGAAAGGCGTTGGGTTTCTGGCTGACCGGCTGGGGCCTCAATAGACCCCCTGCCGGCCAGCCACTCTTCCAATGTACGCTTGTAGCGTTTCGCCTGGTATGTCGCCAACAATTTGTGATATCCTCTGCGAAAGGCGTTGGGTTTCTGGCTGACCGGCTGGGGCCTCAATAGACCCCCCGCCGGCCAGCCATATTTCCCGTTCCATTCTTTCAATGTACGCTTAGAGTGATATCCTCTGCGTTCGTTTCTGGCTGGCCGGCTGGGGCCTCAATAGACCCCCTGCCGGCCAGCCACTCTTCCAATGTACGCTTGTAGCGTTTCGCCTGGTATGTCGCCAACAATTTGCGATATTCTCTGGGAAAGGCGTTCGGTTTCTGTCTTGGCCGGCTGGGGCCTCAATAGACCCCCCGCCGGCCGCCATATTTCGCGTGGTTGAAAGGTTATGGATTTTGAGACACTGCACTAGAAGCTTTGTCGATGTACTGTAGAAAGATGTCTTCTGAAATCTGATCAGACGGGGGCCTCAATAGACCCCCCGCCGGCCGCCAGAAGCTTTGTCGATGTACTCTAGAAAGATGTCTTCTGAGATCTGATCAGGCCTGTGTTCCTCGCTGTTGGAATCCTCTGCGTTATCGGCATTGATGATGGCTGCGATTATGGGCCGTGCCTCTGGATACGTTAATGTGCCTCTGGCAAGAAGGGCCTGTAGAAAGGCTCTATTGCCCGGGCCATAGTTGGTTGGAGGCTCCATGTATCTGTAATCTCTGGCCGATGCTACCGGCGGGGGCCTCAATAGACCCCCCGCCGGCTGCTGGGAAATCATCCTGGTGTGGTTGAAAGGTTGGATTTTGGGGCCAGCCGATGCTACCGGCTGGGGCCTCAATAGACCCCCCGCCGGCCAGCCTATATGCATCTCCTCCGAGAGTGTTATAGCCCGTTGCATAATACCCTGCGCTGGACTGAGGACCGCGTATCTGCACCTTTGGGTTGAACTGAAGGAGTCATTCGGTATTGAGTGGTGCAGGATTTCCAACGATCGAATCAGACTGTGGCCTCTCTTTCGATGGGATTTGACACCCCGTGTTGTGGAAAGAGTGCTGGTGAATGTCTCCGTCTGCAACCGGACAGCTTCTTCGAACTTCGCCGCGTTCAGGCAAGCATCAGTTCAGCGCGGGGAAAAAGGTAGGGCCAGAATCCGGCGATTAGCTACACACTGTCGATAGTTTCTGGAAGGAATTGTTGGTCCTATGTTGTTTTGTGGCACAAGATGGAGGTGGTGATGATACCTCTGAGCATTTTATGCTCAAACTACCCATCACGGAGAGGGTGACGATGATGCCTCTGAGCATTTTATGCTCAAACTACCCATCACGGAGAGGGTGACGATGATACCTCTGAGCACTTTATGCTCAAACTCCTGGATCAACCGACGTTTATTCCGTGTGGCCATTGCCCCGTGAGCCACTGCGACACGCCCAGTTATTCCCTCCTCCTCAGCTCGTCACAAGTTCCGTTCTTCACCATCATCACATTTCCGATCGCAGCCACTTTCCTTCCTTGAGCTCCAGTGCCTCTGGGTATTGAGATTGTTCTCCTTGGGTTTGCTTTTTTTTTGTGATTTCCACCTTTGTGGTCGCTCACGGCCACCCTCCTTGTGCATGGTTTCCCCGAAGCGGTCTGCACACCAGTCCTCAGCTTCCTCCCAGCCATCTGAATTCATGCTCTTGAGTATGGAGTGCTGTCCCTTCTCAGTTTGGTGTTGGTACTGCTCCAGTTTCGCATGGAGACTGCCCGCACCGGCAGATTAGTAGTTGAGTGGGCGACACCGGCAAACACCTCGAGCATAAGCTTCGAACAATCGCTTGACCAAGTCGTTGTTCTCGAATGAGGTCGAAGCTAGCTTAATGATATTCTCTGCCAAAGACAACTGAGAAATATTCTGGAATATCTTCACGGTTCCCTTGACGGCATTGTCCTTGGGGTCGATCAAGCTTGCCGTTATAACAAGAACGTATTTGGCAGTCAGTTCGCACAAAGACTTTTCAGCCTTGAGCTCAGCGGCTGGGGCCTCAATAGACCCCCCGCCGCCCGACCGTTCTGTGTGGCTGGGGCCTCAAAAGACCCCCCGCCACCCGGCCACTCCAGAGGGTGAGAGCCCCGTCTAGCTGGCCACCGAGCCTCTGTAAAGCTCCTTCGGCGAGTCGAGTAGTTTGGGAATGCTGCTGAAAATGGGAGCTTCAGCCGCAGCACTTTGCGCCTTGTTTCCAGCTGCTTCAATAACACCTTGAACCTCTACCGCAATCTCTCGGATGTGGAGGGGAGTTTGGGGCTGCTTC